TTAAATTGATTTGTTTCATGGTAAGGCGGTCAGTGTTGTTATTATTGATGGTAATTTTTGATAATTGAGTTTTTCTCCAACTTTTTTTTCAGGAATTAGAGTAGTTAAAAAAGGTCCATAAATGGAAAGATAAGGAAAAAAACAAATAACACCTCTATGATCATGTCAATTTCTGCTAGCGCGTCTAAGGGATTTCTTATAGTATGTATGCTATTGATGATGCATGTGAACATTTTGGCTATTCTAAATTAAAAGAGACATTTGAATGATGTAACAGACATTAAAATAAATCTGAGCTTGTATGTATCAGTGTTAAAGTGACCCTTTCAGTAAAGAGTTCTGACCTAGTGCAGCTCCTGAAGTCCTAACCAATGGGAGCTTGGCTGTCTACCTAGATACAGAAAAAAATTCATGATTGGTTACGTTTCTGATGGGTGTTGCAAGAATTAAACCCATTTGTTTGCACCTAAACCTTAAAAGTGAAGTAAATGCAAGTATGATGATTATATTAAATAAAAACTGTGTATTTTTTTTTTTTTTGTACTATTTTTTCCAAAGACCTAGAATGCCCTGAGGGTTCCCCACTGAATTGTAGGATAAAGAAGTATTACACACAGTTCTACACCTGCACACCCACGGCTGCCCACAGGCAGGGTCAGTCTGCAGGTGCTAATGTGCGTGCCAGGCGCTGGGTTAACGTACACTCGCAGCTTTTCTCAGTATGTGGGTCAGCAGAGCGGCCTGGAGGAGTTCTCACTCTTTAATCTCTCATCTCTCTGGAGAATCCACGCTAATCCACTTCCCCCTGATTGTTTTCTCCCTGGCATGCAGCCCTGAGACGCTACAGCTATCAAAGTTCAACACCGCTAATTAATGTGCACGTGTAGCCGAGTGCATGTCTTTGAGACAAAAGTCAATTCACACAACTCTAATTTACAAGAATAGTTTGGAATTAATCAAACCCAGTTTAACCACAAACCCCTAATGTAGTTCATCCGAGTGGGGCTGTCAGAATAAAATTTGAATGTAGATTATATTCATTCAGATGCTTTCTCTTTAGCAGTTTTGCAACTGTGTCGTGCATCAGCTACCAACCATACACTAGAGCACAGCATTACTGACCATAAATAAACCAAACAGCAACAGTCTATTTTGGCTTTGATTTAAAGATTTTAAAGCTGCACTGTGTAGGTTTTGGGGATTTCCTCTCTGGTGGAAATGTGTAATTGCACTCAAAATGTAGAGGAACATTTTATAGCATGGGTTGTATTTCAGCCCCCTTACTAAAGGATGCACCGTTATGGAAATTCTGAACCAGTACTGTGTGTGTGTGTGTGTGTGTGAGTGTGAGTGTGTGATAGTTTTGAGAAAAGAATTTCGGTATTTTTTCAGTTATGTTTATGGTAAGAGGTACTTGCAGGCCTTTGTCAGGCAAAATAGTCCCCAAGCAAAGTCTTATTGAGATTTTCCACTATTTCACCATCAACATTTCATATAAAGCTTTGAAGACACGTGTAGGTTCACAGGTGGTTTTGGATGGTAAGTAAAATGTCTATATTTGTGTTGTAGTCATGTTGACCCCTGGTTCCTATCACCACCACTGTAAAGAAATCTGTACCATTTCACACCAAATCACTCTGAATCACTCTGTTTATACCACAAACACTGAATTATGGAGAAATGTTCAAAGTTCCATTTTAATACCCTTGATTACTGATTTGAGAGTAAACGTTGCAGGTGAGCAGGTGTTTGTCATGTACTGTGTTACTCAGCACTGTAAAGTATGCTCTCTTAGTTTTGCTCAGAGTGATGCTGAAGGCTGCATTTTGCTCATGCTGTGGAAAGACCGTTGATGGCTGGTGCTGTAGATACACCACTGCTGGTCTGTCAGAGCAGAGACAACCTTTATGTGTTTGGGTTTCCTTGAAAGCTCCAGGCTTGTAGCTGCATCTCTCCATCCCTCCTGCCTCTCCTCTTTTACTCCACTCAGTTTGTCAGCGGCTGCTGCGCTGCCTGCCTGTCCGTCTGTATTCGGCCTTCCTGACTTTAGTCACTTCATACTAACCACTTTCAGTGAATGTCAGACTGAGCTTATGAGGCTGTCTCTCTCAGACACAGTGCAGAGAGAGAGAGAGCGCGAGAGAGTGAGGGAGAGGACGGACCGAACTGCGTCATTCTTTTTTTTTTCTTGCTAAAAATAGCTCAGCCTCCTGATTGTGTCAGCCTTTTTGTTTCCAAGGCAACCGTGTTCATTCACAGAGTTCTGGTGCTGGAAGGGTGTGTGTGTATGTATGTGTACGTGCTCGTTATGCTATCCTTGTGAGCACCACATGTCCTCACAATGATACAACATGACATTTTTGCTCAAGTTAGGACATTGTTCTGGTCACTTAAGTCGTGTGTGTGTGTGTGTGTGTGTGTGTGTGTGTGTGTGTGTGTGTGTGTGTGTGTGTGTGTGTTGGAAAAACTGAAAGCAGAAAAATTGCCTTTTGCATGCTGAGGTTAAGGTTGGGGTTTGGGAGTCCTCACTTGTTATGTAAAACAGACATTTTGTGTGTGTGTGTGGTGTGTGTGTGTGTGTGGTGTGTGTGTCAGAGAGTGAGAGAGACCACTGCTCTAATTCTACACTAACAGACACTCCATCACCTGCTGTCTGTCTGTCCGTCTGTCTATCTATTGGTCTGTATCTATCTGTCTGTTTCAGCAGTGTCTGTCTGTGCTTTCTTTTTCTTTCTCTCTGTCTTTGCATTCACTTCCTCCATCCTTTCATGCCCCAAATCTCTCTCATTGATTGTCCACTGATGTGGTCAGTGGATCAGTGTATGTCTGTTTGTCCTGCTACATCTTAATCTCCATCTCCACCCCCTTATTTCGCTCTTTTTCCACTCATTCTTTCCCTTATTTTCTTTCTTCCTCTCTAATCGATCCTCTCTGACACCCACACAGCTCTCTCTTTTTTTTCTCTCTCTCTCTCTCTCTCTCTCTCTCTCTCTCTCTCTCTCTCTCTCTCTCTCTCTCTCTCTCTCTCTCTCTCTCAAAATTGATTAAACTCCTCCTCAGAAGCCCGTTATTAGACTGACTGCTGCACTGCTGCTGCTGCTATTTATAAATATGTGGAAGTCGACCCGCAGCACTGCAGAGAGTTACGCTTTAGAGTCACTCCAGTCCAGCTCATCTGTGCTGGTGACTGAGTGCGAGCGTGGAGTTGTTCTGCTCTGAACGCTGATGTCATTGCTCCCACGCTTAGCTGAACTTTCTGAGACATCACTCAGAGTGTGAAAATGATCTCGAACGTATTCTGAGACTCCTCTATAATCACTGCCTCCATCACTGTGTCTGAAAGCATCACTCAAATAACAAGAATGGACATTAACAGGTTTGAGAAGTAGGGGCAAATGTTTAATTGTGATTTTTGTGTCCAATATTGTGGTTGTGATTCAATTGCAGTTATTATATGTAAAGACCAGCATGTACAAATTCTCTCTCTCTCTCTCTCTCTCCATATATATATATATATATAAATATAAATAATAATTATTGTGTGTGTATTACACCTACAGGAGTTTGACATCCCATTCTAAATCCATAGGTGTTAATATGGAGTTGGTCCCCCTTTGCAGCTATAACAGCTTCTACTATTCTGGGAAGCTTTCTACAAGATTTTGGAGTCTGTCTGTGACATTTTTGCCCATTCATCCAGAAGAGCATTTGTTAGGTCAGACACTGATGTTGAACGAGAGGGCCTGGCCCTCGTGACTGTGGGACAGTCAAGCTCTTCCACACCAAACTCACCCAGCCATGCCTTTATGGACCTTGCTTTGTGCACTGGGGCAGAGTCATGCTGAACAGAAAAGGTTCTTCCCCAAACTGTTCCCACAAAGTTGGAAGCATACAATTGTCCAAAATATCTTGGTCTGCTGAAGCATTAGAATTTCCCTTCACTGGAACTAAGGGGCCGAGGCAAATACCTGAAAAACGACCCCATATCATTATCCCTCCTCCACGTGCGAACATCACCTCAAAGAAGAGAGCCAGCCTCGCTCCACTGCACGTCAACAGGCTCACCTGCCTGCACTGCAATTTAATGCTTTTGTAAACAATTGCTAATAGTTGTTTTGGGCTGAAGGAAGATCTTTTTTTACAACTTCTGCAACTAAACAGCCCCCCATGCTGGGGCAGAGTCTGCTATTTTGAGTTACATTTTTGCATGTTATCTTCATTTTGAAAGCCTTCTTGCAATTTAATTTGTATTATTAAATTTGTTTATTTCACTTTTAGTATGATTACATATATTAATGTTACAAATTCATTTAATTAAGCTATCAAGTAGGTGAGGTAAAACAGAAACAGGAGCCATGCCCACAGGAAGCATAGAGGGAGATGGAGGGCATGACCGAAATAATCGCTCACTAATCGAAAAAACAATCGACAGATTAGTCGACTACCAAAATAATCATTAGTTGCAGCCCTAGTTTGAACCCTGCAGTTATTGAGTCAGAAGAGTGTTGGTGACTTTTATGCACTATGCACCTCAGCGACCCACTCTGTAACTTTGTGGTCTGTGGCTCTGATTTGCTGTGGTTCTTAAACACTTCCACTTTCAAAAATACCACTCACAGTTGTTTGTGGAATATCTATGAGGGAAGAACTTTCACGATCTGACTTGATGCAACGGTGGCATCTTATTACAGTACCACACTCAAATTCACTGAGCTCTTTAGAACAAGCCGTTCTATCACAAATGTTTGTAAGGAAGGAAGGAAGACTGCTTGCCTGGGTGCTTGAATTTATACACCTGTGGCAATGAGACTGAGGTGAAACACCTGAATTCCATGATGAAGAGAATTGTGTCCCAATACTTTTGTCCATACAGTGTTTCTTGTACAGTATGTAGAAGTCTGGCATCCCTGGTCAAATGCGTTTTTGTTGGTTTTCTAAGTGAATAAGTGAAAACAAGTAAACGCGCTCTCTCTCTCTCTGTCTCTCTCTGTCTCTCTCAGATGACTCTGGTGATGAAGTCACAGTAGCTCAGCCGGACCGTGCTCTGACCTCTGGTGCTCTGAAGACTCTGATCAGTAAGCTGGATGATCTGAGCACGTGCAACGATCTGATTGGAAAGCACGGAGCGGCTCTGCAGCGGTCACTCAGCGAGCTGGAGGACCTGCGCTGCCCCAGTGACGGAAACGATAAGCTGAAAACGGTCAACGAGCGCGCCACACTCTTCCGCATCACCTCCAATGCTATGATCAATGTAAGATACTGTGAACATTCTAGAGATTGTTTTGCTAAAACTTTTTCGACCTAGTAATCTGCTGTACACAGTCAATTACCACAGAAAGAAACTGATGCCTTTCTCTGTGCTTAGAAAAGCACAGAAAAACCATTGATTTTGAATTGTACTTATAATAAAAAAAAAAACAGTTGGCAGATGCTGAAGCAGGTTCCCATTGACTTGTATTATCAGTGTTTCTGTTATAACAGCTTTTCTGTTTCTACAAAGCAAAACAAAATTATTGTCCATGGTGGTTGACCATATGTTGCAGACATGGTAGGTAAAGATGTAATTGAAAAATGCTGGAATATTCCGTTAAAAGTACTCTATAACACATTTTTGTTATAATACTATAAAACCACAGTTGCTTTAGGCCCCATCCCATTTCCTATTTTTACCCCTACCCCTTGTTTTCAAGAGTCACCTTGCCCCTTGGAACTGAGTTATAGAGAGTAGTGGTTAAAATCTTCCCCAATGAAATGGGACCCTTAAATAATAAAGAACATTACTTCATTAACAGGCTACTAGCGGTACTCTGTAGGCGACCCTGCCAGTCTGCAGTGATAGCAGAGGAGGGTAAAGTTCAGCAACCTCATGGCTGGGCTTTTGTTACATTTAAGGCAACATATGCCTTCAATGGCAGGATGTGACAATTATTTATTATCACCCACCCCTAATTCTTCAGTGACATGAAGCTCAAGTCAGCTATTCGCCAGCTTCTTGTTCGAATTTTCCTGTTCCACTTTAAATGGAGCAGCAGTTACATTCTGGCGCTTCAGGTGTCAGAACTGCTGGACTATTTAAGGCGGAACAGGAAGATTAGCTAGCTAGCTCGCGAGACATTAGCATACTATTAGCAATTTTTATGCTTATTATGAAGAAAAGGACTACAATACATTGAAATGACATTAAAAGGGTAATACAATGGTTATCATAATTGTTTAACAGAGAAAATTCTCACATTTGTGGGTTTCTTTGGTTGCTTGTGCAGCCATCTTGTCGGTTTTTCTTTTTTTTCTCATAACTCTCTGTTTGGAGGGCCGTGTAGCCCTAACACTTCGCCCTACCCCTCTACCGCAACAAAAATCGGGACACCCTACCCGTAAACATGAACGCGCAAAACAGCGAGCTAAGGGCTAAGTCGTAGGGGCGAGCGGTGAAATGGGACTGGACCTTAGAATGTCTTAGACTTTTGAAGTGATTACTCGGTCAAAAATCCATCAACTTGGCACAATCTCCCTCCAAAATCATGACCAGCTGATCAGTTTGCTGTCTGAAGCTACAAGGCTAATGTCACTGAACTCTTGCTCAGGCTTGCCGGGACTTTGTGGATTTAGCGGAGGCACACAGCCGGCGGTGGCAGAGGGCACTGCAGTATGAGAGAGAACAGCGCCACCATCTGGAGGAGACCATTGAGCAGCTAGCCAAACAACACAACAGCCTTGAGAGAGCCTGGAGAGAGGCACCCAGCACTCACCCACGTGAGTAAAAAATAACGTATACATTAAAGAGGACCTGTTCTATTTTATTCTATACTATTTTACAGTAAATTTTTACTGTCTTTTTTTTGTTCTTTTTATTCTAAGATCTGTTTGAATTTTAACGCCTTAAAATCTCAAGCTTATCATACAAGCCTTGTTATTCAGTAACTACATGGACAAAAATGGAAAGTGGCTGAGTTATATTTAAAGGTAATTTGTGGTATTATGAACCAAAAACAGTCATAGTTCATTTCTACATAACCATTTTCCAACCTCTCTCTATCCCTTAGAATTAAACAGGCTATTTTTGATTACTGTTTCTTTAGGACTGATGTATGTAAATGAGCTCTGTTTTGATTGGCTGGCCTGTGTTATGCTTCATTCATTTGCTTCATGTATGTGTGTGTCTTGATGACATCATTGGCTGTCTTTGCACACCAGTTTTCATATATGGACTGTTTTACCTGTGGAGTAAATGTAATGTTTTGAAGCTTTGTGTTGACGTACTACATCAGTTTCATGTATTTCAAAAAAAAGTTCAGTTTTCCATGATATGGGCCCTTGAAGTTATAGAAGTGTGTAATAACTTTAGTATTGTGACTGGTTGTTGGTATGGTAAAACAGTTCTTCACTGTGATGGAAAACCTAGTTCTTTAGGGCAGCGGTTCTCTAACCGTTCCACTGGACGCCCAGGCTGTCCACATTTTTGCTTGATACCAGAAGCTTGGCTATCAATTTCATATTTATTGGGCTCTTTCCATTCAAGTACATAGGAGACTGGTCTCATATGAGTGGAAATAACTGCCCACAGGTGTTGTGAAGTTTGCAGCTGAGTGGACAAGTTTTCCTGTGATGACTATAATACAAACTAATAAACAAAAATGTAGACTCGCAGGTTTGGAAAATAATTAAAAAAAAAAAAGTAATGTTAATTTTGACGTGAATATATCAATGTTTATTTTGATGTTCGTTTTTGATGTGTGTGTTTTTCAGAAGGATCCAAGAGGTCAGGAGAAGTAGACACCAGTGACGAGAATGAGGATGTAGAGTTTTTTGATGCCATGGAGGACTCGCCCGCTTTCATCACCGTTCCTGCATCCAACCACACACAGCACGGGTGAGTTTGTCCCAGTAAAAACAAAAACAGCCAGCATCTGATACCTTACAGCAGCGTTTCACACTCCACTGTCCAGTCCTCGTGGTCTGCAGTATGTCTGAACTGATTTTGTATGTGTTTTTGCAGGAGCACCTTGCTTTTCTTAATACCAAAATATTGTTTAATATTTTTAAGGGCCCATATCCTTATCCTTTCTCTTGTTTCTCCCCCCCCACCCCCACATGAGGTTCACTTGTAACATTTGAGTGGGTTCATTTTTCCAGCCTATCTTTATGCTTTACAGTTAAACAGGATTTATTTATGTGCTTTTGAGACTGATATATGTAAATAAGTTCTGTTCTGATTGGCTGGCCTGTATTTTACTATATTCAAAAAGCAGTCCAAACTGAAAAACTCCTTTTATAACTTCAGTGTGAATGGGTGGGGCGAAACTGCTGTAGGATGAACAGGTGTGTGTGTGTGTGTGTGTGTGTGTGTGTGTGTGTGTGTGTTTGGAAATGTGACATCACAAAACCAGTGAATTCAAAACAGGCTAGTTTTGCAGCTTAGTTTCCATACATGGATTAAAGAGTGAAGGATACGTTTTGAAACTTTGGTAATAGTTACATACATTTTGATGTTAGTACTTCCAGTGAGTTCATACAAAGAGTAGTGAAATAATCAGAGACACCAATAGTTAATAGCACAGAAATGATAGGTTTGTACAAGAGTTATTGTATCAGCAACCGCACTTACTCCAAGTCAAACTTAAAGGGGAACTCGACCAATTTTTTTAAAAAATGTATCTGTAATTCAATCGTTGCCATGTAAACAAAGTCAGAGTGGTTTGGTGTGAAATGGTTGACTGTAGAAACTCAGATATCTTTACAGTGATGGTGATAGGAACCAGGGGTTGCCATGACTACGACGCAAATGTAGCTATTTTATTTACTATCCAAAACCACCAGTGAACCTACACGTGTCCTCAGAGATTAAAAAGGCTGATAATCATAAAACAGTGGCCAACTAACCCAAGTCAATTTTTCTTTGGGTATTTTGGGGTATTTTACCTCGCAAGACATTGACATCTCTGCATTTCATAGATTTAAACATTTTAGGTCCTAAGCTTACTTCTAACTATTATAAACAAATGTCTCAGGCATCAGGCAACATATTCATAACGATCACAACCTTCACATTTTGTGAGGGAGCTTTTAGAGGTGGACGTCTGGTTCCTATCACCACCACTGTAAAGTTTTGAAAAATCAGTGGAATTCTCCTTTTAAATTATGTGATGTAAAGTTACAGTCCAACTGTTAATTTAGCTTCTTATTAGTCAGCAGAGATAGTTTTAGTGACAGGATCACAATCCATAGTCCTTTTTTCCAACTTGGAATAATTGCTTTTATCCTCTTATGGACTTTTTTTTATCTCTTAAATTGATTTAAGACATAGAAATTGACTGAGTTTGAATATTGTTTCTACTATTCATTACTTTTAGCTTTGATTTGTGTAAAACGTTCCTGCTGTGTAGATCAGTTATTGTGATAGTGTTCGTTGAGTGAAGTGATTAAATCCAGCTCTCTGTGTTTGTTTCAGACACTCAGGTGGAGGTGTTAACCAGGGTATGACCGGTACTATGCCCAATGACTGGGGTCAGGAGGACAATGTAGGTTTGATCTTCCATTGGAGCAGATGCCCATAGACCTCTGAGGTGGTGAAGTTGGCGTCATGCCCAGATAAGGAACTCAGGGTCTAAGCTGTTTTTGTCTGTGGGAGAAAAATGAACTGCTTTTTTGAAAATCACTGCTATCTCACACTGTGGTGAGCAAAAATGTTCCAAAGTCAGTGCATTTTGTCCCTCATACATTTTTGCCCTGAATGTAACTGGATCCTCTTAATTTACCAGGTTATAGTCAAAGTGTGTGCGTTGAACTGACACCATAAGACTGGCAACCTCACTTAAACACGACACGCAAACCAGCACAATTTGTTAAATGTGGTAGTTTAGGCTTTGGCAGTTTTTAGGCTGCAGTTTTGGTTTTGTGCTTTGTTTTTTTTTTTTTTTTTTTTTTTTTGGTCATAGCGTTGAACTTTAGTTCTGGGCTAACTTTCATGCGGTTAGTTCACCGCACTGCATAATTCATCTCACCATTCAGATGTCAGTAAAGTCATTCAAAGTGGTTTGATGTAAAATACTTTATTCCAGAGAAACTTACTGACTCAGTAATGTTGATAATAGTAAAAATAATGGTAAAATGGTCTCTAAAAGGACGTTTGGGTATTATTTTGCCTTACAGTGCCCTGCATGCCTCTCTGCCCTTAATGGACATAAACCAGTGGAATTCCCATTTAATGACCTCTTAATTCAGAGGATCCAGTGATCTTCGAGGGGAGAAAAGTGTACTCAGGACCAAACATATCAGCTTTGGAACAGTTTTGTTTACTTTAAGGGACAATAGCGGCTAGTTATTTTTCCCTTTGAGGTAAACATCTTGGAGTTCCTAATAATCGGTTCATACCTACTACACAATTAGTCACTTCAGAGGTCTTCAGAGTGGCTTCCACTGTATGTTTGTTAGAGTTATCAGGTCTTCTGGTCTTTTTTTTAAATTACAAAAGTATTGTCACTGTTTCATCTTTGTTTTCAGGACACGTCAGGCTCGTACGCGCTGCAGCAGCGGAGAGGCAGACGCAGCCGAATCCCAGACAAACCCAACTACTCTCTCAACCTGTGGAGCATAATGAAAAACTGCATCGGCAAAGAGCTCTCCAAAATCCCCATGCCTGTACGATACCTGTGTATATGTGTTTGGTTGTTGTACAGAATTTTATGTCACGTAATTCCTTCTAGGGGAGCTCAAATTCTGTTCTACACAGATTCTCCAGCAGAACCTTTTCAGTTCCTGCTGTGTCGCTCTAACAAAACTGAATCACATATCACATATAAGTTTGTCAGAAAAAAGCCCAGTCATTTGATTGTGGGTGTGTCCATAGCATTTGCCCACACAGCCTTTCAAAGATTCCCCAAATGCTTTGCTGGTAAAAGAATTTCAGTGGTGAATCACCACTGCTGATGCAATTAAATCCAAAACTAGACTTAATGGGGAATTCCACTAATTTTCCAAAATTTCTGCATAATTATATGATTGAAGATGTAAACAGAATCATTCAGAGTGGTTTGGTGTGAAATGCTCAGTTCTAGAGAAACTTACTGAGTCAGAGTTGTTCACAGTGGTGGTGATAGGAACCAGACATCCACTTCTAAAAGCTCCCTCACAGAAAGTTACTACATGAAATGGTTATCAATACACCGCCTGATATCTGAGACGCTGTTTTAGCATAGTTTTGTGATGATTTCGGCCTAAAAAGTAATTTTTTGCGATACGTTTAGAACAAAACAGGTATTGTTAGACGAAATGATCCCCAAAAAAAACATACCCTTTCAGATTTACCACTATTCTGCCATCAGAAGACACATGTAGCTTTTGAGTGGTAAATAAAATGGCTATATTTGTGTTGAAGTCATGGCGTCCCCTGGTTCCTATCACCACCACTGTAAAGAAATCTAATTTTGTTAATGTTGGTAGAATTTTTCTTTTATCTGCATATAGGATGCTAATGGTATGTATCTGAGCAGGAGCACTGTAGGAGAATTTTAATTCTAAATTTGCATTATTATCATGCAAACTGCCAAGTTGTATTTAAATCAAATAGATGAAGTTGTCTTTAATGTGGAACATAAGCAATTAAAATGGGTGTGTGTGTGTGTGTGTGTGTGTGTGTCCGTCCGTCCGTCCGTCCTCCTGCAGGTGAACTTTAACGAGCCATTGTCAATGCTGCAGCGGCTGACAGAGGATCTGGAATACAGTGAGCTGCTGGACCGCGCTGCCCGCTGTGTGTGCACTCTGGAGCAGATGTGTTTGGTTGCTGCGTTCTCAGTCTCGTCTTACTCCACCACTGTCCACCGCATTGGAAAACCCTTCAACCCACTGCTGGGGGAGACGTACGAGCTGGACCGGCTGGAGGAGAGTGGATATCGCTCGATTTGTGAACAGGTCAGGGCTGACTAATGAATACTGGCCCGGAGATTCATACCAGATTACTGTTGACGTTAAACTCTTCTGCACTGTCTATCTGTTGTATAATCAAGATGGCTATCTCTGTCTTCAAAATTATGGCATACCGTAATCAATAAAAGTACTACACAAGAGCTATTGCCTCTGAAGCTCTAGTTTTAATCAAATAGTGCAGAATGCCTGGCTCTTAAAGGGGAGTTCTACATAATTAAATGGTTATGATGTAAACAAAGTCGTTCAGAGTGGTTTGGTGTGAAATGCTCTGTTCTAGAGAAACTTACTGAGTCAGGATTGTTCACAATGGTGGTGATAGGAACCAGACGTCCACCTCTAAAAGCTCCCTCACAGAAAGTTGTTACATGAGATAGTGACGAATACACTGCCTGATGACTGTTTTGAGAGGATTATAGCCTAAAACATATTTTTCATTGGAGAGTTGTTGGGAATAATGTGTTGTGTGTAAAATAGTCCCCAAAGAAAACAATTTTTTTTCAGATTTTTTTTTTTTAACTTTTGCATTTTATATCTTTACATATAAAAGCTCAGAAGACAGGCTCACTGATGGTTGTAAATAAAATGGCTATATTTGCATTGTAGACCCCTGGTTCCTATGTCTGTTTCCTATACTTTGTTTGTGTAAATTCTCAAACCATATTAAAATGCATGTTTTCAAATTTGTAATTTGGGTGACTAGCTGTGCCATTGCAAAATGTCCCTTCCCCACTTGAATAAAGTACTACACAACACAATGCAATGCAGTTCTCTCTCTCTCTCTCTCCAGGTGAGTCACCACCCACCTGCAGCAGCCCATCATGTGATGTCTCAGCGTGGATGGACTCTGTGGCAGGAGATCACCATCGACAGCAAGTTTAGAGGAAAATACATCTCTATCATGCCTCTGGGTTAGTCTTATTCTAATCCTAATCTTAACCTCAACCCTAAAGCTAAACCTAATCCAGTTGATTAGGGGTGTACAAACTAGAGACTAGACAACACTTACATGGTAAATTATAATGTTGATAATTTTTTAATGTATTTTCCTGGTTTGGACCTTCAGCTCATCCATAGTGGTACAGGCTGAAGCCCAGCTGCAGTGCACTGTATGTTCTTCTAATAGCATCTATGATTTTAGCGCTCTTTTAATGTGACTCCTTCAGCATCTTCAGCAGACTATGCTGGTGCTCGTGGCAGAACTATTGATAAGTCAGTCAGCAGCAAACTAACAACGGCAGCAGCTTGGTGAAGCTCCAATTCCACTGCAACAAGAGTCTACGAGCTGCATAGGGATATGTACAAGTGCTCAGTTAACAGTTCAAGGTGCCAGTGTCCAATTACTGAAAGCAGTGTTTGCATTTTTAGCAGGTTTCATCATGGAAAGGTGGAGGAAAAAATGCATACATAAACAGGACAGATTTGTTCGTATTTGTGAGTGCATATATTTCCATTAATATACAACATAATTGAGAAATGTTACTTTAGCTGATGTTTACTAGATCCAGACACAATGAACATAGATTTCTGTTACAAACGAAAATGTTGGCACATCGTCCACTGAAGAGAACACCTCATGAAGATGAGTCCTCAGCATCGAATGTAGCGTAGCTGTAAAGTTAGCTTGACTCATCTGAAGAGGCACAACTAATTGATTAATCGAGAAAATAATCAACAGATTAATCGACAATGAAAATAATCATTAGTTGCAGCACTAGTGTTCAGTATATTTTGTAACAATACTTCTGAATTATACCAAAACATTATGATTAAGTTTGGGCTTTCATGATACATTCCTAAAAAACTTTGGAGAAGCTGTACATGATCCTAGGGTCACCATGCCTAAGTGTGGGTTAGAGGGGTAGAAAGTCCCCCAGCACTGGGCTGTGGAGTAGTGGAACTGTGTTTTCTGAAGTGATGGAGCTCCATCGAATACCTTTGGGATGAGTTGGAGATCCAGAACTGACCATCCAACATCAGTACCTGTCCTCACTAATGCTCAATCAAATCCTCACAGCAATGTTCCAACATCTAGTGCAAAGCCTTGCCAGAATGGTAGAGGCTGTTACTGCAGCAAAGGGGGACAAACTTACTATTAATACCCTTCATTTCAGAGAAACCTCTGGAGGAGCAGACTTTTGGGCATATAGGGTAGTTTATAGTATGCGAATGAGTCATAATCACAGCTGCCTTTATTTGCTGTCTATGAAATATGAAAGACTTTTTTGGGATTATAGGAGTAATGTGTATGAAATAAGCACTATTTTAAGCAGCCTGGCATTCATACTGTGTGAGTGTTGTTTGGGAACGTCTCCACAGAGCTTTGTTCTCCACTCAGAGTGATTTATATCCTCCTCTTCCTCCGTCTCTACGTCTTTCTTTAGTCTTCAGCACAAAAAGTTATTTTCAGCAAATCTTATTAACTCCTTCATGCCTGAGGGGAATATAACCTTCGGAAATAGTTTTTTATTGGCAATGACAAAAGAATGCTGTAATATTATGTGTTGTTGTTGTTGTTGTTGTTGTTGTTGTTATGAGTTGTAGCTCACTGAAATGAGTTTGTATTAGCGTTTTAAAACAAATTATGAGTAAACTGCTCGTGTTCCTTTACAATCATTGCTTCTTTCCATGTTTTATCAGATAGAACCTTCCAAGCAGAAAGCTAGTCCTTCAGATTAGTTTCTTAATGTTGTTTAAAAAAAAAAATCATTTACAAATATAGTAGAATTTTGATGCATTTAGAATACATTAAGGGTGTCTGTGATTTTCATGTATGAAAGAGACGTGTTTCACATGTCAGTTTTGCTATTTGGACGCAAAAGCTCAAAACTGCTCAGAACACCGATAGAACCTTATAATTTCAAGGGTATGAAATAGTCTGGCAAAATGACAATAACTGTAGACGTCTAAAGCTTAAAATTAAGCTTATAAATGATTTGTGTTTTCTCCTCTCTCCCCCAGGTCACATTCATCTGCTGTTCCACTCCAGTGGGAATCACTATGTGTGGAGTAAAGTCACATCCACAGTCCATAACATCATCGTAGGCAAACTCTGGATTGACCACGTAGGTGACCTCATCTTGCAGGGATGCGCCAGTCATAAATTTATCCAATTTAAAGTCCAATTTATTTACAGCTAAACTGGCCAATAATCAGCTTTTATTAGTGTTTTTTAGGCCAATGCTTTATTAAAACACTTTTTATTAAAGCTTTATTATGCTGCTTTATTAGAAACACCTACCTTGTACTTCCACTCACTAGCCACTTTATTAGAAACACCAACCATGAGCTTCTGTTCGCTGGCTACTTTTAGAAACACCTACCCTGTGCCTCCTATCACTGGCCACTTTATTACATAGCTTGTGCTGCGACTCACTGGCCACTTTATTAGAAACACCTGTTTTGTGCTTCTATTCACTGACCACTTTTAGAAACACCGACCTTGTGCTTCCCATCACTGTCCACTTTATTGGAAACGCATACCTTGTGCTTCCTCTCACTGGCCACTTTATTGGAAACACCTACCTTGTGCTTCTGCTTATTGGCCACTTTGAGCTCCACCTACCTTATAGGTCCATTATATAGAATGGTTCAACAGCCAAGAGTGGCTTTGTGGTCAGAAACTGACCATTAATGAGGGGCTACCGCCAAATGTGCTTCAGCAAGTGGGCTACAGTCTCTATCTGCACACCAGCTACAAAGAATAAAATTTAATATCACAGCATCTTCCATATATGGAAAAGTCCAGCACTTTCTAGTATCAGCTTCACCTCCTCCCAGACTGTACAGTATGACTCATCAGTGCTCAGTCTGTCTTCTCTCCTCCATCTGTCTTGTTCTCATCCTTCCATCTTTCCCCTCTCATTCTCTGCCTGTTTCTTTGTTTCCCTCTTCGTTTCCCTCTCTAGATCTCTAATGATGCACTTCAGTGCTTAAACATCACCTTTATAATATGACAATTAATAGGACTTAGATTAATGCTATGAACGAAACCTGAGAAAATTCAAATGTGGCAAAAAAAAATTTTATTCATTTGTTTTTATCAGCCTCAAGTGATGTTGTAACACTGTGGTTCCTCCTCTTTTTCAGTCATTAATGTAATTAATTGACGTGTAATGAATTGACTCATTCAGTCTGCTGCCTGCTGATGATCTTCATTAATGCAGCATTTGTTTCTTCCAGTCTGGCGATATTGAGATCATGAACCGCAGGACAAAGGACACCTGCCACCTCAAATTCTCACCTTACAGCTATTTCTCCCGGGACGTCCCACGCAAGGTGAGACTCCATCAGCTGTTTTGTCAGCTTCATTCAGTGCATTTCAGCTTTCATACTGATGTGTTAGTGAGTGTGCTACTGCCATCTGGTGGTCACTGTGAGAAGATGAGAATGTCAAAAACTCTGACTCATCAGAGTCAATTCTGACCCATCAAACAGGATGTTCTTACTCATCCAAATTGTTCCAGAATGTTCTCTCCCCATTCACACTGTTCTACACTGTTTTCCCACAGTTTATGCTGTTCTAGATGTTCTCCCTCATTCAGCTCGTTTTAGAATGTTCTCCCCATTCACATTATTCTAGATCACCCTCCCATTCAGACTTTTCGTGTGTTCTCTCCCACACACACGCTGCTCTAGAATGTTTTCCTTTTCACAATATTTATAGTTACTTATAGTTTTCATATGTAAAGCATGTTCTCCCTCATTTATACTGTTCTAGTGTTCTTTTCTCATCATTCATACTACTCTTGTGTTCTACCTCATTCACACTGTTCTAGAATGTTTTCTCTTTTCCCAATATGTATATAGTTTTCATAATATGTAAAGCATGTGGACATGGTCTTAACACACTCGCTCGTGCACGTTTAGCAGTCTTAGGTTTCTCTACAATTGAGATTTCCAAGTTGCTTTTGTATGCGTCATTTAAAGGGAGGAAACAGCCATGAACACACACCAGCAGGAGCTTACAAAAGCATGTGTTTGCGACCTTCAAAATGAGAGGCGAAATAGCTTATCTTGGTACTCGCTGTTATTATAAATTTGTGATCTATTACTGTCAAATTTCATAAGCTAAAAATAGAATATAGAGAGCTACTACTGTACACATCTAATCTCTATTTTTCTTAGTCTGTTTGCACTTTGTATGTTCTGTGTCCCTGTGGACATTGATGTATTTGTTCTTTGTTTTTATCTTAACTGTTGTTTTGGGTGTGTTTTGCTTTCAGGTAACTGGTGTGGTGGCAGACAGCGATGGTTTGGCCCACTATATCCTGTCTGGATCGTGGGATGATAAGATGGAGAGTGCTAAGATTGTGGAGAGTAGCCGTGGCTGTGTGGGATCAGAGGTCAAACAGAAAACTGTCTACCAAACTCTCCCTCCTAAACTGCTGTGGAAGAAATACCCGCTACCGTAAGGGACATGACCGTTAGCATGTTCAGCAGCTGTCATGAATGTATGTCATGATGTGAATCATTAAAAACACACAAGCATAAAGTGAAGGCAGGAAAAAACGGAGGTTGCTAGAGGTTCTCTAGACTTGGTCTCTCTCTCTCTCTCTCTCTCTCTCTCTCTCTCTCTCTCTCTCTCTCATATATAATGTATAAGGTTCTATAAAGCACCTAATAAGGTTCCTAAATTGTTACAAATCAAAGACGGTACTACATACTCTTTTTGCTTAAGATGTCAATAAGCCAAGACGTAAATGGTGTCTAAAATAATGAACAAGCTTTCAGGCTTCAAGTCAGCTACCACTGTTTTTAGCTATGCTGTATACTTTAGTCCATGTTTGTACATAACAGTGAGTTATACAGTGTCAGAAAACACATAATCAAGTCTATTAGATTCAGGCATGCAGTTAGCACCATGCTAATTTGTGGGGTATAAGCTTCCATTACTTGTTAGCTACTAGTCAATCATGTGTTAGCTGATTGACTACATCAGGGGCAAGCGCAGTACACTGTCACTTTAATTTTTGCAGATTTATCACTTTAATGTGCAGCTGTCACCATGTTGTGTTTCTGTTCTACACAATGAATATGAATTGAATGAAATGCAAAGTATCATATTTTCTCTCTCTCAGTGAGAATGCAGAGAACATGCACTATTTCTCCTCGCTGGCTCTGACTCTGAACGAGCCTGAGGAAGGCGTGGCTCCCACAGACAGCCGCCTGCGGCCGGATCAGAGGCTGATGGAGGCGGGGCTTTGGGATGAAGCCAACGTCCACAAACAGCGTCTGGAGGAGCGGCAGAGGTTGGAGAGGAAGAGAAGGGAGGCACAGACCAACATCGCTGTGGAGGAGGGTAAGAGACATGCAGAAAACCAGAGACACTCCAGCATATACCTGATTGTTAGAACCTGATTCGAGCAGCTCCAGCTCCGCACAGGTTAGTGTATTCTCTGCTCTAGCATGCCTCATTCAGCTCATAGCCTAATTTAATTAATGATTTATGGAATAACTCGAAACTATACCATGCAAAGGGTGCTCCAGTACTGGATCTGGACAGCCCTGTTGTTGAAACAACTAATCCTGTCTTTGTATCATTCTTGAACCTAATGTTTAGCCCTTTCTATATCCAGATCGTCAACCTAGTACCTAATCCTCTGAGTATCATCTAGATCAGTCAGGATCCTAATGTCTAGTAGACATATCCTAAAACATCCACTCTATGTTATCGACATAATTCTGGAACCTAATATGAAACTCACGGTATATAAGTGAAACCACATTACCTCTTTACCTAATACTTCTTAATTTTTCTTGGCGTCTTTTTCCAGGAGCTACAGTCTGGTCTGGTGTCTGAGTCTGTGTTGTTATCCAGATCAACCTTGAACACATTATCTAATCTTCTATGTATAATTTTATAAACTAATACTGTAAACAAATCATTTATATGTAATGCAGATCATTCTGGAAGTTGATGTCTAATTATAAGATCTAGAACCAAGTGTTTGTGACATCGTTCTAGAATTTAAAGGGTCCATATAATGCAAAACTAAATTTCCCACATTTTCTAAAATAAGAGTTTGATACAGTATATATGAACATTTCAAAACTTACTGTTCACTCCCCAGCACATACAGTCCATATATGGAAATGAACCTACAAAATCAGCCTTTTCTTGAGTTCACTGTTCTTGTGATGTCACAAAAAACAGCACATTTATGTGTCAATTCAGCCTACAGCAGTTTAGCCCTGCCCAGTCACACTGTAGCCATAAGGAGTAGTTAAGCCTGGACTGCCTGGAGTAGTTAAGCTTTTTGAATGAGGCGCAATACAGAGCAGCCAATCAGAACAAAGCTCATTTACATAAATCAGTCTAAAAAGCAAAAAACGACAAAGAGAGGTTGAAAACCCTCTCAAAGTCAAGAAAAAATGACTGCTTTTGGTAAATATAGCCACAAAACCAACATAAGCGTCCTTCATGAATAAAATCCAAGAAGAATGTAGGACATGGGCCCTTCAACATCTAATACTATGCATGTTCTTGATCATTCTAGAACCTCTGGAACATCTATAGACATTCTAGAACAGAGGTGTCAAACTAGGTTCCTTTTGGGCCACAGCTCTGCAGAGTTTAGCATTTGGCTTATTAAGCACAACTGATTCAATTCTTTAGCAAAGCTGCAACACACCACAAAGGCTCCAGCTAATGGCCAACACTCTCGTGGTTAATGTGCTGAAAGAGAATAACTCTCTAAACTTAAAATGTCAATGTTTAAGCTAAACCAAAGTCTTTATGGGGAAGTCTGTCCACTAGTCTGGCAGTCTTGGCAATGCTCATACAAAAGCAGGCTTCTATCTCTTTGAATGGGGAGAGACCTATAAATTTGAATGAAAGCTAAAAGCTTTAGTAACATTTCCAAAACATACTTGAAATCGCTGCTAAAATCTGACAAACAGCATAAATAGAATACCTTCTATAGCAACCTGGCACAGAGTTGTCTTTGAACATGTGTGTCAAGTAGTCTAGATATACCTGTTACATTCTAAAACAAGTATCCTCTTTGATATTTGGGAACCTTTTCTGGGCTATGTTCAGTCAGATCTCCTAAATATTTTAATGAGATCATTTGTATAATTCACTTTTCCAAATTTGGAATGTGCTTTTTTTGTGTTTATAACATTTTATTAAATATTTTCTCATTGGGAATGACATTCAAATACTGTTCTTCAAATTCAGACATTTAAACAGTAAATGTGCCCATTCTTTTTTTCTTGCTTGTCTCCTCGTGCACTTCTGATTCTCCGTGTGTCAGAGTCCTTAGACCAGGGCTCGGCAACTAAGATGCTAAGAAGAGCCATTTTGTCCTTTCAACAAAAATCAGTATGCTTTGGGAGCCACATTTTCCATTTATGTCTATTTATCTAAGTAATGTTTTATCTTATCTGTAAATATCTCTGTATGTGCTAATGTCCTAGTATAGACTAAAAAAATACAGTATAAACGAAAACGCAGACTTGGCTACTTCTGCTTTAATCTTAGCCCAACTATAGCTGCTTGTCTCACATCTCCGGCAGGAAACTTTTCCTCAAAAATAGAATAGTTTCTTGTAAAATGTCTCTCAACGTTCAACTTTTCAGTTGGCTGAAGTCAGCTTCTTATTCTCCAGCTTCTTGTTTGAATTTTCCCGTTCCACCTTGAATCTCAGCCTGAGGTGCCAGAATGTAACTGCTGCACCATTTAAGGTGGAACGGGAAAAGCTGCACGACTTTTGACAGTTTCTTGTTCGAGATTAAATGTATCAGGAAACCAGCTGGAGTGATTATAAATGCAAATAAGCCCATTCGTCTCCAAATTATCGATGTACATCTTAAATCTTTCTGTTTACCGTTTCATTAGCTACTAGCTAGGTAAGATTTGTTGTCTGCGTTGCTATGGTGACCAGCAGTCTGTACACCATCCTTCAAGGTTAAAGGATTAATTAGCAGTTCTACCTTAACTCCAGCGTTTAAGACCATTTATTGTTAAAACTGTGTTCGAACGATCAGCAGAGCTTCATTTTACTGCAAAGGAGGATTATTTTATTTTTACCTAAAAATCTCATTCTGCTGTGGAGCCGCAAGAGGGCAGTAAAAGAGCTGCGTGTGCTGACGCCTGCCTTAGACGAATTAAAACATTCACCTCTGCAGAGCTGTGGCCTGGAAGTAACTCAGTTTGACACCCCTATTAGAAAGGTCTTTGCTCATATTCGCACCGTGCTTTAGAAGCTCCCTTCTGTTCCACTCTTCAAGCATGTTTTCCTCTCTGTCTCTCAGGCCGGGAGGTGGAGATGTACCAGCCGCTGTGGTTCGAGAAGAGGCTGGACTCTGAGACCGGGGAGAGCAGTTACGTCTATAGAGGAGGATACTGGGAGGCCAAAGAGAAGCAGGACTGGAGCCAATGTCCGTCCATCTTCTGAGGCGTCAGTCGTTATTCCCCGCAGGAGGATGGCTGCTTCATAGAGAGCATCTAGTGAAGCTGACGGACAGATTGCTCAGTGGACGTGCGAGGCAGGACACGATTATGGTCCTGTGTGTGTGTGTGTGTGTATTGGGAACATTGCTTAAAAATGCTTCCGATTCAGAGGCGTCTCAAGGATCTGAAATATACATGCATTATTTTTTCCATTCTCTTTAGTAACGTAGTAGATTCACTTGTGTGTTTGGAGTTGGGAGGGTGAGTGTGCGCACATGTTTTGTGGCAGGTGCAATGATCGCTGCATGGATTCGAGCACAAGAGATTCCAGCACTTTATTTATGAGCTACATTTAAACTGTAGGACTCGGTCAGCCCAGGTGAGATTTGTCAAAAATGTTATAATAGACATGTCTGAACCAAAGACAGGCAGCGTTTATTAGCCCTGTTTGACAGATCAGAGTTTGGATGAAGGATATTTAGCGTTTTCATAACTGTGTTATAGTGTTGTCCTTTAACATGGACTATAAATTCAACATGTTGCCCAGTACTTGGAAAAGAACAGAAAACATTCCAAGGAAGCATCTGCCCATAGACTTCTATTATAAGTGTACTTGAGTCAGCAGGTTTTCCGTTCTTTACCAAGTTCAGGGAAAGCTACTAAAATTATTGTCTGTGGTAAATACTAATCCATATGCTGTAGATACAGATAGAGGTCAGACTGAAAAAAGCTAAAGTATCCTTTTAAAAGGTGCCAGCACAAAGCAGTTACAGAATTTGATTTCTCACTGAAACTCTTGTTATTTAGCTCACTGTTGCTGTGTTGACACACTGTAATAGTAGGCCTGTGTTGTCTTGGCCTCTGGTTCTGGGCTGGTTGGTTCTGTGGGTCTGCAGTGGAAATGTGGCTACTGCAGCCTGAAGCCTGGCTCAGTGATTATACTGCAATAGTTCTGACCTATAGTGGGTGATTCTCAGAGGAAGGAAGACCCCTTGGTTAGATTTCCCTTCCTGTAACCCTGTGGCTCCTAATTCCAGTCCATGTTCTGCACGTTTCTGTTTTCCCAGCATGACCCAGCATATAATCTAGTCATAAGAAAATAACATAGGAGATGAAAAAAAGACACATTAACATCTGATAAATCCTTAAACGTAATTTGGGCCTTTTTCTACTGGGTGACTAGTCAGTTCACACAATGTAAAGGACAGCTGAGGTTTCCGTATGCTGTGGAAAAAATTAAATAAAAACAGAAAAGAATGGAGAATTTATCTCAGGAGAGTAATCACATACAGTAGACTAGGAAGGTGTGCAGAGCGTTGGGAACCACTTCCATAAGCACAAGATGCAGATATATTGGTAGATTTTGTTTCTTTAACACGCTTGACCCAACATCAGCTCATGATCAAACCCTTCTAAATCAGGAGGCGAACCTGCTAAAGCCGTTTCCTCCAGTTATAACACAGCATAGATAACACTTCTAGTCATCTTACTGAGACTGAAATGAACTGGTTTAAAGGGTAACTTCACAAAACAGTGACAATCATAATGCTCTGGTCTATCAAAGGAGGTGCAAATAGACTAATGGGACTCATGTGAGAAGGAGCTGGTTAATATACAGTCGTATACAAATTACACATTCCGTGTTTTGTTGATTTTCTGTGAAAGTAAGTTAGTCAGAGTACACACTTCAGTACATTTTAATGCACAATCACTGTTTATTTGCTGAATTCAAATATAAAATAAAATGTGGCCTGTGCAAAAGTTATGGCGCAGTTGGTATTTCATGTTTTTTTTCCCCCCAATATGTTTAACATGGCAAATAAACAGAAATCATGCATTAAAATGAAATTCAACAAAACATGGAATTTGACTGAGGGTGCTAACACTTGCATATATATGACTGTATCTTGTATCTACACTTGGTGTCCATTTTATTAGGTCTATTAACCATATAGGTACAGATTGTAGTCGATCTGTTTCTCATGTAATTTGTTAGCCCCCCTTTTCCCTGACTGTCAGTGGTCAGGACCCTTAAAAGTGGTCAAGACCATTGCAGAGCAGGTATTTTATATATATATATATATATATATATATATATAATATGCATATATATATAATATGCATATATATATATATATATATATATATATATATATATAATATGCATGCTCTCATGTCAAAACCTTGTAACTGGACACAGTGAATTGATTAATAGAAGTGATCTAAAATGATCCAAACTACAGTTAATAACAACAGTTAATAATGTATTTTTCCAAGGTTTTGTTATGACAGCAACGATATAAAGAAGCATACAGAGCACTGCAGAGTTTTGTCTGATTTAATGCACCTGATTGAACTGACCTGCTAAATCTTCTAATTATCCAGGCCTTCATCAGTTAATCTGGGTGTGTTGAATCAGAGTAAACATTGAACTCTGTGGGTTTTCTGTAAATACATTATGCAGCGGTAAGCACAAAGCACATGAGCTCATACTGATGCTGGAGTCAGAGTAAGCTGTATTTACTGTCAACACAAACTGAATTATTGTGGTGAACTTTTTGAAGCACAAACTAAATGTGTAGAGTTATAACTGTGAATTATTCAGTGTGGTTGAAAGAGGCTGGTGAACTGCTGGTGTAGAGAAGCATCCTGGGGTTAACGCTGGCGATGCCGTACCAGCATATGTAATCTCTAAATTTTTGGAGGGTTTAACCAGCAAAACCAACCCCACTGACACAAAGAGATTATACTAAAATATATATATGTACCACTATTTATTAACTATACTGCTAGTGTTGATAGATTTGTGATTATGATCATATCTGTGTGTTGGATGGTTTGCATTCTCACCTGAACTGTGGGGACTCTTTCTGAGCTGGTGTGGCTGTTGCATATGCCTCGGGAGCACAACACACTTCTGGTATGTGAACATCACCTGCGCTTTATCCTCAGCTTAGTAGCCTAGAAATATGATGTGAATTCACCAAGTGTAGTTTTGGCTGTTAGAAATAAGCTGAATATCACATTTAAATGAAACGTTAAAATGGAAATGAGCCCTGTGTTGTGGTCTTTTTGTTTGGTGTTTGGTGCATTCATTTTCTGGACCGTTTTGCCCTTCTCATCTCATCCACTAGGTGGCACCAAAGCACCATAGAATTGTAATAGTTCAGACACAAGACCTTACCCAAAACAATCTATTAGTCACAAAAAGACAGACGGATAAATGGACGGATAAGTAAACAGATATACTATATGGTCAAAAGTATGTGAACACCTGATCATCACACCCATGAGCTTATTGGACGTCCCACTCCAAAACCATGGGCATTAATACGGAGCTTCCAGAGGCAGTTTGAGACTCTGTAGTGAGTGACGCAGCAAAGCATATACAATTTTTATGCGCTGCATGTTTCAACATTTTGGCAGCCCTGTTTTGATTTTGAGTGCTTCACCATTTCATGGCTGAGCTGTTGTTGCTCCTAGATGCTTCCATTTCACAGCAATAGCAATTACAGTTGACAGGAGCAGATCTAACAGGACAGAAATTTCACAAACTGACTCGTGGCAGAGGTGGCATCCTATGACAGTGGCATGTTTAAAGTCACTGAGCTCATCAGTATTACTCATTCTACTGTTTACCTAGGTGTGGCTGAACACCTGAACTCAAGAATTAGGAGAAAACCGACTGCTCAGACTGGCTGGTAGGTTAGACGCCCTTATAGGGATCCACTTTAAAGCACAGTTCAGCATCAAAATTTGATGCAATCTGATACAATTTACTTTTGAAAACAAGGAAAAATCCCACTGCTTAAGCAGGAGCACTAAAATAATCAATATTTTGAAAATATAGCATTTTGTTTGAGTATCGTGTAGCCAGTTACTCTGTACCGCAGCACATGCAACTTTGTCAAACAGATTTGCCTTGCAAATGTTTCTGTGTAGCTCATGTTAGTTTTATAGGAATGTGAGCATGCAAATGGAAACGAACACCGAGAAATGCAACCTGCTGCAGTGGCAGTCTAGATGTTTGGACACACTGATCATGGTTGAAGCCAAAGGGCAGGTGTGTTCCTGTTGAAATGGATGCTCAGTTGTGGTCATGGAGTACTGCTTTGCATAGTTTAGTCCCAACTCTGCCACACCCAGTCAGGAAAAGTTAGGTAACGTGCTGATGAGCTCAATCAGTGGTGGCTGCGCAGGAAAACACTAAACACGCTCCAGGATGGAGACGCATTAACATCATCCGTAGTCCAGAAGGGCTTAATCTTCAGATCTGTGTGGTGGACAATGTGATTCATCAAACTAGGCCACTGACTCATTAGACAGCAGCCATACAGTCGACCTCTGTTTCAGACACACTTCAGCCAAAATCCAGTCTGCCAATCCTAGTCTGGAAGACACTAGCCTGTCCTAGCAAACACAGAACCTAGAATGTTGCTAGCCTTTCCTTGCAAAGAACACGGAACACCCAGATTACTGTCCTGCATACAAGCTCTAGCTAATTTTTAATCTCGTCAAAAAAGATTTTAAATACACAGACATTTTAATTTTGGAAAATAAACTAAGACAAATATTACAAACAACTGAGAAAAAAAAATAATGACTAGACCTGATTTGAAACGGTTTTATAAAAAATGTTGACACTGACAGATTAAATTTATTTACTAATTTACGAAGTATAACTAAAGAAAGAAAGGAAAAACAAGGAAATTGGACTGTGAGCGGAAAATGAGCGATGATAAGTGGAATTTTGTCTATTACTCTGCTTAGCCATTGGTGGGCCGCGCGGAAAATGCTGAGCAAAACGCCAGTGGACCACCAGCTTTGCCAACAGTGGCCCAATATCCTCTTGCTATCAGGATACTAGTCTTTCCCAGCAAAGAATACAGAACACTACTAGCCATTCCTTGCCATGCTAGTCCGTTCCAGCCATAGATATACATACCTAGATGCCGCGTTATCTGTTGTTCTCTATCTGAGGCGATACGTCTGCGCGTCCGCCATATTGGAGCGGTCAGGATCCGCTCGTGAACAAATTCATTTGCATTGAGAGATGATGAGTCTCGTGATTAAATCGGCCACAACTTCATTACTATTCAACCGATTTTCAACAAATTAGTTTTGTTATAATCCTCAGACATATATTAATCTAGGCTGCACGGGCTGTTCTTGGTAGCTTTTATTTTTTTAGTAACTCATCGTGCTAATTAGCCGTACAGATCAGCAGAAAAGTATTCAGTCTGCACCTGATGTTAAAAACTAAGTTTAACGGTAGAATTTCCGGTAGAAACATAATCTCACACACATCAGCAAAAAAAACGGGAAAATTCGACAAAGAAGCTGGCAAACAAGAAGCTGACTTCAGGTTCATGTAAGAAGGTGCTAACGTTAATCTATTATGAATATCTACACGGATTAAGGAATGTTATAACTTACCCAGCTACAACCATTAACCATCATTGTAAATAAATAACTACTACGTCAAGTAAAGATCCCCTGAATAGACTATTAAATTAAATAAGCTTAATATATAACCAGAGGGAAATCACATCAACAGGTTCTCTGTGCTTCACCAACCACACAAACACATCACACAAACATGAGCGTGGATCGCTGCGTTCCCTCCGTTAAATAATCCTATCCCACTTTCTGAGAGCAATATTCTTGAAATAATATAATTTTGGACAGTATCTTTCTTAAACTGCCGTACTGAATGCAGTCCAACAGCGATGTTGACCGCCTCAAAATGGCGGCGCCATTGACGTGCCTGGCTGGACCCAACGCATCCAGCCAATCCGTTTTAGGAGGCGGGTCACTCAGCCAATCCAGTTTTAGGAGGCGGATAAATCATCCAATCCCGTTTTAGGAGGCAGGTCGTTGCCGGAAAACGGGTGGGCAAAAAAGGAGCGAACAGTGATGATGACGTAGTACGGCTGCTGCTTACATGTGATCGGTGACAGAAAAAAGCGATACAGAGAAAGAAGGTGCCATCGTTCATCAGCCTTTGACAGAGCCGGAGGTCCTCGGTAAGCTTATAAAAATGAGCTACCGTGTAAAAATGTGATGTTTTTTCAGTAGCGAGGTTCTTTTCATGAGAGACTTTTAATATGACTCGTTGAGGTCCGAGTCCTGTTTGTGTCTTGAGCTGAGCTGAGCTGAGGGTCAGTGCGGACAGTAATCAGCCATAAACAGAGTATTTATACTGTAGGCGAGAGATGGAGCTTCACATTTAACCTGACCAGCTCTGCTCCCCCGAACGAGGCTGTCGGCTTCCTGTTCGCCAGCTTCTAGTTTGAATTTTCCCGTTCCACCTTAAATTGTGCAGCAGTTGCATTCTGGCGTTGTAATACTCAGGCGTTATAACAACAACAACTGCTGCTCTAATTAAGGTGGAACGGGAAAATTCGAACAAGAGGCTGGCGATAAGAAGATGACTTCAGCCTCGTTCCTGAGTGCAGCTGTATTGCCTCATTCAGTAAAGCAGCTCTAGTGTATCGTTTTTGGCTCAAATGGTGCAGTTTCAGTGGATCAGACTGGCTGGTTTAGTGGACTGTAAAATGAGAAATATACACAGGCGGGATGGCTGGGCTCCGCGCCCGGATGGGTGCTGGGTCGAAGCCGCTTTCCCTCAGTCGAATCACGACTGGTGCAGCCGCCTGCCGGCCTGTACCATCGAGGCTAACATCCTAGCTAGCGTCCCTAGTACTGTCTGTTACTATACTGATAAATCATGAGCTGACGAGAGATAATGAAATCTAAACTTCGTTTGGAGGTCAAAAAAGATTAATAATAAATAATATGCTGTATTTTTATGTACAGTGACATGTCTGTAAATATAGTAAAGTTAAAATAATAAATAAAGTAATATATAATAAAAAATAAACATAAAATAATAAATAATATTGGTGAGATTTGATCACCATTTTTTTATCATACAGTGCTGTATAATGCTTCTATAGTAATCTGTAATATTTGCGCTGTTGCATCCTGTAATTTCCTACAGTACACAGCTACTATAGATAAACTTATAGGCCTTTTTTTCCTGAAGTAATTCTGACAGCATGAAAAGAGAATTAGGAACTAAATGTTATTGGTTGAAATGGTACTGAGAAAAAAGTGAATTACTTTACTCACTAATATTCTCGAAGTACAAATCCATCAAAGTTTTGTTTAGTACATGGGGCTGTACATAACAAGGAGAGAGAGTACAGTGTGTATGAGTTAGAAGAGCTATAATCTCTTACTTTCCAGAGTTTTTTAATTAAAAGACGTCTTAATCTCTGCTTACTCTTCTCATCAGAGTTCAGGTGTGAATATGTAGGACACTGCACATAATGTCTGTTTACTTCAGTAGGAGCTTTTTAAAGGGAGGCTGAAAGGAGACGCCTGTTTGAGTTGTAAAACCAGCCTCCTTTCCAGACTGTACACTTTGTAACCACCCATGTGAGCAAAGCTGAAGGTGGTGCCTGTCTGCCTCCCAAATAACCCGGCACTGAGCAAAGCTGGGGATCATTTGCTTGTGGTTTCAAGAGAGATGCGTTTCAGAAAGTACAGGATGTTGTATTGCAGGTTTTTATCTTGACCTTGTTCGCAGACATGAATGTGTTGTTTTGTGGGTGCGAACTGAAGATGTGTTTGCCCTACAGACGTGAAGATGAAACGAACATGATCAGCAGCACCAATGGCGCCTCTAAACGTGAGCGGAGGAGGGCGAGGGTGCCAGAAACTTTTCACCTTCTGTCCGCCGTCGTCGTCTGGCTGGTGACTGGGACCACCATATCCAGCCTGAACAAATGGATCTTCGCCGTCTACAACTTTAGATACCCGCTACTCCTGTCGGCCCTGCACATGCTGACAGCCATCGTGGTGGACTATGGGCTGATCAAGTACTGGTTCGTCCGCCGCAGAGGGCTTGATGAACACGGCCTGACGTCCAGCGCCAAGTGCAAGGTGTTTCTGCTGAGCCTGACCTTCTGTGCCAGCATAGCGTTCGGAAACGTGGGGCTCAATTATGTCCAGCTTTCCTTCGCCCAGATGATCTACACCACCACCCCCATCTTCACGCTGGCCATATCGTCACTGGTCCTCGGGAAGCAGCACCACATCCTCAAGTATACGGCCATGATGCCCATTTGCCTCGGGGCGTCGTTCAGCATTATGGGCGAGGTCCAGTTCGACCAGACTGGTTGCTTGTTCGTTTTTGCTGCCACCATGTTACGAGGCGTGAAAAGCATCCAACAAAGTGAGTACACAAATTCCATACTTTAAACAAGTAGGACAGCTCTAGCCATACATTCAGTGTTGCTTTCGTTTTGCCCGTAAAGCGATAGTTTGTCAAGAAATCAAAAGGATACAGTTTGACCCTTAACTCAAGTAGCGGTCAATTAGCCAAGGCATGTTTGGTACCTGAAGTTTGCTACATTAGTTTTGTACTGAAACAAGTAAAAGCTTATATCCCACCAATTAGCATAGTGCTAACTGCGCAGCTATATCATTACATGCCTCAAAGCATGTTGTCAACCAGTATCAAATATATTGGCTTAAGTGGTTGCTGACACTGCATGACACCCTGTTATCTATAAAAATGACTGCTTTTGTTCTGTAATATAACAATGCCATATTACAATCATGTGTAACTGTCATGATAGATGCCACAGTGTTTGATGTCGGCTTATATCACATGCAATTTTTTGTTAAGTGTACTCTAATTAGCCATGATGACATCAAACATTCTAGCATCTGCCATGACAAGTGTTCTATTACTATATAGTCTACTAAATTAGTCACAACTTATAACAGCAAATGACATCTGCCGATACATGTTTATGGGACACTTTTGTCAGTGTTATGTCGCAGGGTTAACCAGGGGCTTGTCACATAGCTAAAAACAGCAGTAGCTTGCATTACTGATGCCTGCATTTTCACCATATCTTTCTCCGTTTGTCTTATGAGATTCCCGAGTGGGGACTGAATTAAGAAATATCTGCATAATTCAGTGAGATAGATGAGATGTAAAGAGTTATTCAGAGAGGGTTGGTGTGAAATGTTTCAGATTTCTTTACAGTGGTGGTGATAGGAGCCAGGGGTCGCCATGACTACAACACAAATATAGCCATTTTATTTACCATCCAAAACCACCAGTGGACCTACACATGTCTTCTGAGTTTTATATGGAACGTTAATGATGGGACAATAGTCAAAACTAAAGAGTTTGTTTTTGTTGCCGAACTATCGTTTTAATGGTACAGTATGGAACAAGCTTACACTGTAAAGTCTGACTGTATCTTCTCGCTGGAAAATGCTCGCCATGGAATGGCGTGTCCTGGAATGGAAATATTTCCCGTAACTGACAGCCTCTGACATCAGACTCCACTTCTGGTCTTATGAAAGCGCTTTGCTGTGGTTGTTATGGCCCACACAACTGTTTGTGTTGCTAGGGATCTTTTCTGTGAGGCAGGGCTGTCTGCTACAGCACTGTTGCCTGCTCTGGGCCCATACAGTGTACTTAAAAGAACCCTCTAATTCCTGATGCACGCAAAACTCACAGTAGGGGTAAACACTACTGTTCTTCTTCTGGAGTTTTGTATATGCTTGGAGAGGCAATATGACTATGTTATCATTACTGTAATTACGTTCCAGCACTTTTTCTGAGTATATGATGGGTATCATTAGTGCACCTTCAAAAATATGGTTCTTCAAGGGTTTTTTTTAGTAAAGGCAATGCTTCTGTCTGGTACCATGAGTGTTGTATATAGTTCTATATAGAACCTTTCTGAAAACAATATAACAATATTCTATTGTTATTCACTCTTAAAAAAGAGGTGCTTCTAGGGTTCTTAAAGGGTTCTTTAGTAAAGAAAATAGTTCTATATAGAAACATGAAAATGTGCATAATTGTACTATAGGCTGTTCTATACAGAACCTTTTTGAAAAGGGTTCTGTATAGCACCCAAAAGTTTGATACTGTAACAATAGAAGAACTCTTTTTGGTGCTATATAGAACTCTCTTCAGAAAGGCTCCATATAGAACCATCTACAGCATATTCTCCAATCAGTCTAAAGAACCCTTTAATGCTGCAAAGAACCCTTTAATGATGCAAAGGGTTCTTTGAGTGTTCATGTTTCTATATAAAACCATTTTCTTTACTAAAGACCTCTTGAAGCACCATCATTTTTAAGAGTGTGTAACAATAGAAGAACACGTTTGGTGCCATATAAAACCCTTTAAACATGCAAAGGTAAATGTAGATTTACAGTTGTGTGCAAAAGTTTAGGCACCTTATAGCTTGCAAATTCCATGTTTTGTAGATTTTCTGAATGAAAACAAGTGAACACACTTCTGCGCATTTGTACGCATAATTACTGTTTATTTGCCGAATTTAACACATGGGAAAAAATTTGACAAACGTACGAAATAAATAGAAATTGTGCACTAAAAATGTCACATTTAAGTTTCTTCCCTGTAGAGGGTGTGTTAACTTAGAAAATCAACTAAACATGTCATTTGACTAGGGGTGTTCAAACTTTTACCTACGACTGTGGACATAGTTATCAACTGCAGAACTACCATGATAAACAGCATGAGCACGATCCAGTTATGAAGCACCACAGGTGAACGGTGCAGAGCCTCGTCCTATAGCTTGCGTTTTCCTTGATGATAATATAATTACCATATAATTACCACCTGTGTATTTTGGTTTCCAACCAAACAAATGCACTAGATGTTAACAGAGCTACACACAGTCTGTGTAGAAAACAGACTTTTAGTGGAAATACTACCAGAGTCTGGACTGCAGTGGAGGAGAGGGTCAAATCAGCTGACTGGCAAAGTCCACAAACTGGTAACTTTCTTTTGGACAAGCTCTACCAAAGAGCAGAGCTCATGTACCTGAGTTTCTTTCCAGTGTTCTTTCCCAGATTGAAAATTCATGCTAAAATTAGGGATGCACAATAATGTAGTCAGATTCGCAGTTATTACATAATTGCCTGATCGCAGTTATTTGAGCTGATCATGATCATTTAATTGTAAGTATTTTCCACATATTTCAGTCATATTATGTAATATACCACACGCAAAAAGTAAGGCAAATAAATGTAAATAAAGAAAGCTGTGAATGCGTTTGTTGAGACATAATGGTGCATATGAAAAAATAATTGTTTAGGAGGCAGTGTAAGTAATTTTTGTTTATTTGTTAGCTGTGTAGCTAATTCTAATATTTTTAGCATGTATGCTAGCAGAATGAGGGTTTTTTTGCATATATTTTCACTTTTAAGAAAAATGTAGCTTAGCTCAACTCTAATTTGGCTATTTTAGACTTGTACTTCAGTAGCTGTTTAACAAAAAAATGACAAATCATTATTCATAATTATTTATATAATACTTAATCGTCAGCTAAAATTTCATGATCATGACAGCTCTGTTGGTATCAGCAGATAATTGCTTAAAAATTCAGACATGACCAATATTTCAAACCGATATTTGATGATGTATTTATTGAACCCCAGAATAGCAGAATATTTGGGTGGTGCTGAGTTACTGCACTAAAATATCTGCATTTTATTGATTTTACTGCAACCCTATGGAGATAAATGTTTACAATATGTATGGATATATATATATATATATATATAATATATATATATATATATATATAAAATGTGTGTGTGTGTGTATATATATATATATATATATATATATATATATTGGCATTAGCAGATTTGTACACAAAATATACTGGATATTTGCATGGACCCCAGACTTCCCATAGTGTTTGAATAGTGTGGAGCAATAAAAAAAAATCACATGGCATTTGAAAGAGGACGAAAGAGTCATAATTTGCATAATATTAGCACTTTCATGCTAAATCGTAATCTTCAATAACAACTATTAATGCAAGGGTAATAGATATTGTTGTAAAAATGTTAAAAGCTTAGTAAACACATTTTCTTCTCTTTTTCACAAATTGCCATCAGCTGAGCTTTATTATGTTAAGTGATGTCCTCACTAGAGCAATTACAGAGAGGAATGCTTTAGCTGAAGTGGATAAGCAGCTGCTGTGGAGCAGTTCAACTTTTAATGACCACATCGGTCTTCCAAAGGGAACTGGGTTTGTACAGCTTGAATATCTGATCACATGGTGGCTAATTCTCCAGTTTTCCACGTAATACAGCGAGCTTCATTCGTGCAGAAAGTTGTATTGTATTGTGTTGGTCTTCCACAAGTTACATAACAGAGAAAAGCTCTGAAACAAAGAGTTTAAGGAGAGTATTAAAAATATTCAGGGTTTTCATTCTGCTGTGACCCAATTAACACTAAACTTTAAGGATTAGAGTTGGGTTTTAGGCCACATTAATCGTTTCTAGTGGGCCAGGGAAATAGAATATTTTCTCTAACAGCAGCAATTAAAAACCACGGTTATGTTTTGGTCCATAATTGAAGGAGAATTCCAGTTTTTGATCTGACATGATGTCTAAAACACAAATATAGCCATTTTATTTACTATCCAAAACCACCAGTGAACCTACACATGTCTTCTGAGCTTCATATTGAATGTTGATGATGGTAAAATAGTGAAATAGAAAACTTTTTTTTGGGGACTATTTTGCCTTATAACTCCACTTCCGCCTTGAATGTCTTTTTAAAAATATTTTTTAAGCCAAAAATGCCTCAAAACTATCACAGGTAACAGGCAGTGCATTCATAACCATTTCATGTAATACCTTTCTGTGAGGGAGCTTTAGGAGGTGGACATCTGGTTCCTATCACCACCACTGTGAACAATTCTGACTGAGTAAGTTTCTCTAGAACAGAGCATTTCACACCAAAGCACTCTGAATGACTTTGTTTACATCTTTATAATTAAGTTGTGGAAATTTGAAAAACTTGTGCAATTCCCCATTTTACTGGCTGTCATAACTAACATCATTTGTTTCCTGGTATGGTGTGAAAAGGCTTAAGCTGACAGGCTTTTTTGCTTTGAACAAGGAGGCTAGTGAGATTAAATTGGAAGTTTCTTCTCCCTGAAGGTCCAGTTAAATTACCTGAACCTCTCCACAGCTGAAGAACTGTCCAAAAATACTCATCTAGGTCAACCTGTTGGTGTAATGTTTCAGTGGGTCTATTTAGAGTCGGACCCCCCGGTGCTCTGGAGGTCAGGGGCGTTTACTCTGTGTGGTTTCTACCAGTTCAGCACGTGTTGGTAAAAAAACTCAAATAATCTCTGTTTGCTTGTAGAGGATAAAACTGTGTCAGATATCCTGCTCCAGTTTTTTGGCCCCAGATTGGAGTCCTTTAATCCAGTCTGATGATTATATTTATAATACAGTTGCACAGCTGCATGCCAAATAGATTAGAGTACATTAAAACACATCCATCTTAGACTTCCAATTATTTTAGAATGATGCAGTAAAATATTATTTTTATCGTGTGATTAGTGTGACATACTGATTTGATGTTTATGACTCCAACTCTATTGGAATCTATTACAAACAAATTAATTCAAATTTACACTCTCAATGAATTAGTTTAATGATGAGTTGGTATTTTGAATGGTAAACGAGGTATCTGCTAGTTATTATAAAGCCGTGATTAGCAGGGATCTCTGTTCTGTGCATTAATGAAAGAGAGGAAACTCACACCAGCAGGATCTCACTTACACACATACGTTTGCTATTACAGATTGCATGTACATGAAGTAAAAGGTTTCCTTTAACTAGGTCTAGGCTGAATGTCTCTGCAGACAGCAAACAGGCTGACAGGCTCCTCAGGACTGTTCAGTTAGGCTTTACTGAAAAATTCACTGTAAAATTGCAACATGTAAAAATATGCCACGGATAACTTTATTAATCGTTCAAATGGTGCCTGAGGTGCCTGAATGTAACTGCTGCACCATTTAAGGTGGAACGGGAAAACTGAATTCAGCTTTGCGGCTTTTTAGTGTTTGTCAGTTTCTCGTTGCAGATTAAACATATCAGGAAACCAGCTGGAGTGATTATAAATGCAAACAAGTCCATTCTTCTCCAAATGATCAATGTTTGTCTTAAATCTTTCTCTTTGCTGTTTCGTTAGCTAGTAACTAGGCAAGTTTTCTGCGATGCTATAGTGACCAGCAGTCTGCACGCAAACCTTCAGGCTTAAAGGGTGAATTAGCAGTTTTACATTAACTCAACCATTTATTGTTAAAACTGTGTTGAACGATCAGCAGAGCTTTATTTTACTGCAAAGCAGGATTATTTTATTTTTACCTAGAAATCTAATTCTGTGGGGCTGCGTCAGGGCAGTAAAAGAGCCACATGTGGCTCCGGAGCCACTTGTTGCCGACCCCTGGACTAGAGATGAGCATTTCAGTCATGACTTTATTTAAATAATATTAAGTCTGTGTTTCTATTAAAAATAAATTAAAAGCATACTCCAGGTTGAGTCGAGAGTGAAGACGGTTGAGGATGAACCTCACAGATGGACATAGCTGGCACGCACAAAGAGGTTCTTGCTAGCTGCGCTAGCTTACATGTCGTCAGACTTAAAAATTAGAAACAGTTAACGTTAGAAGAGCTAATTTGCATATAATCAAACATCCCGATTTGCTGTTCTGACTATTCTGACTCATCCCTTTCTAATAACGTTTTAATGGGAAATGTTGTTTATTATTATTAGTATTACTTTTATTGATGAACATTGATTCATTGCATTTACAAGTTAAGCCATTCTGTTTTTTGATATCCAAGTTAATTCATGTTGATTTATTACATTCATAACATTTAATTTATAATTTTATATTTATTTTGGTGCAAAAATGTTTAACATGATGATTTTTACCCTTTGCCCTTGTCTATTTCTGACCCTGTCTCTGTGTATTTGGTTCGCAGGTATCTTGCTCCAGGAGGAGAAGATCCACTCAGTTTTCCTGCTCTACCTGATGGCCATCCCCAGCTTCTGCATCCTGGCCGTGGCCGCCCTGGTGCTGGAGAACTGGGCCGGCCTGCAGTCTCCTGTGCACTACGACCGTCACCTCTGGGGCTTCATCCTGCTCAGCTGCTTGGGCTCAGTGCTCTACAACCTGGCCAGCTGCTGCGTCATCAGCCTTACCTCTGCCGTTACCCTGCACATCCTGGGCAACCTCAACGTGGTGGGCAATCTGCTGCTGTCCCAGCTACTGTTCGAGAGCCAGCTGTCAGCCCTGAGCTGCGCTGGAGCCGCTCTGACCCTTTCTGGCATGATCATCTACCAAAACTCTGAGTTCATTGCTGGGCTTCTGGACGCCCGTTGGGCCAGAGCTGCAGTGGCCAGCCGGGAGAGGAAAACCAGCACTAGAGAGGCAGAACCGGATTCAGGATCAACTTCCAAAACATCTTCAGATATGGAACCACCTCTGAATCAGTCTTTAGAGCTGTCTTCAGAAGAGTGCCACTCTGAAGAACCATGGGCAGAACTGTACAATGACCTAGAACCGTACCTTGATCTTGAGCCATCTCCAGAAACCTCTCCAATACTCTCCCCTGACCTAGAACCATCTCCAGAAGCATCTCCTTCACTGTATCAAGATCTAGAGCCATCTCCTCCAATACTCTCCTCTGACCTAGAACTGTCTCCAGAAGCATCTCCAAAATTGTATCACGACCTAGAGCCGTCTTCAGAAATATCTCAAAAATTGTGTGACAATCTAGTGCCATGTCCAGAAACATCTCCAACACTGCACAATGACCTAAAACCGTCCCCAGAACTGTATCATAATCTAGAAACATCTCCAGAACTGCACCAAGACCAAGAAACATGTGCAGGAACATCTCCAAAACTGCACAATGTCTTAGAACTCTCTCTAGAAACATCTCCAGAATTGTATCATAAACCAGAATCCTCTCCAGAAGTGCATCAAGACCTCAAACCATGTCTAGAAACATCTGCAGAAGTGCACCAAGACCTAAAACCATGTACAGAAACACCAACAGGACTGTACAGTGACCTAGAGTTATTGCCAGAAACATCTCCAGAAGTGTATCATGAATCAGAAACATCTTCAGAAGTGTATCATGAATCAGAAACATCTTCAGAAGTTCACCAAGGCCTAGAATCATGTCCAGAAACATCTTCAGAACTGCATGATGATCTACAACCCTGTCACAGAACATCTCCAGAAGTGCACCAAGACCTAGAACCATGTTCAGAAACCGTACCATCTTCAGAACTGTACCATGACCTTCCAGAAGCATCTCCAGGACTGTTCAATGACCTAGGACCAGCTCCAAAACCATCTCCAGAACTGCATGAAGACCTGGAACCATGCCCAGAAACATCTCCAGAACTGCTCCAAGACTTAGAACTATGTCCAGAAACATCTTCAGAACTGCTTGATGACCGTCCAGAAACATCTCCAGAACTGCACCATGAACTACAACCCTGTCACAAAACAGTTCCAGAAGTGCACCAAGACCTAGAACCATGTTCATAAACATCTTCAGAACTGTACCATGACCTTCCAGAAGCATCTCCAGGACTGTACGATGACCTAGGACCATCTCCAAAACCATCTCCAGAACTGCATGAAGACCTAGAACTATGTCCAGAAACATCTTCAGAACTGCTAGATAACCATCCAGAAACATCTCCAGCATGGTACAGTGACCTAGGACTATGTCCAGGGCCATCTCAAGAAACATGCGATGACCTCATAATGGAAACATTTCCAGAACCTCCAGAGCTTTCTCCAGAACCAGCCCTCCAAGCTGACATGTGGACAGAGAAGCAAGCACATAAGAAAATGGACTGAAGTGTGAAAGAGTGTGGACTGGTGACTCGGGGAGCTGTGGTCAGTACTAATGTGGAATTGGCACCACATGATCTGAAGGTTCGAATGGGTCTGACGGACTTTCACTCAAGTCACTCATGGTACCTCCTCACTGTGCCAACGTGTGTAATTTCAGTCATGGCCAAGCGCACAAGAACTGTGTCTGACTTTAACATATGCCTTCTGAAAGCAGCGGTTTCCTCCGTTTTCGTCCTTTTCTTTGCTTGTTTGTTCTTAAATGACCTCCATTTCTCTGGCTTACAGGCCGATACGCACTCACACACACTGCACACGACGCAGTGGGACTGTGTGAAGTTTCTCTGCACCATCTAGATGACTGTCATCTCCACTGTGAATTAACCAGCAGCCAAAGCGGCTGCGCACTTATGGATATATAAACTGTTGGCAGACTGTCCAAGCACTTTTTGGAACACTTCTCTTCACTCTCCACCCACAGAGAAGGCAGGAGTAGTGTTTAAAAAACAGGATATATTTAAGCTACTGATCTTCTTCTTGTCCCCAGTCTGGGTGGGGCTTTTTACAGGCAGCTTTTCTGTGTGGATTTCAGATGTGCTGCATTTGTTGCCTTTTGTTGTTGTTGTTGTTGTTGTTGTTGTTTGTTTTGTTTTGGTTTTTTTTGTCTAGTTTACGTTTACATAAATTATTTCAGAAGCCCATTTCCACCAGGCATAGGAAGAAAAAATATATTATTGACTTAATATCTTATAATAATGATTCCTTGTCTTAAAATATTGACAAAGTATCTCGTATCTCTTATTTTCTCTGGATATTGACTCAAAATAATATCTCAAAATATTGACTTAGTTTCTTAAAACAATGACTTAGAATCTCGAAATAATGACTTAGTATCTCCTAATAATGACTTATTTTCTCAGGATATTGACTTGGTATCTCAAAATATTGACTCACTGTTTCAAAATAATGACTTATTTACTTATCTTAAAATGACAGCTTGCTTTCTTGAAATATTGACTCAAAATATTGACTTTTTATTGTGACTTTTCTCATTTAGCATCTTGAAATAATAAACTTAATTTCTCAGAATATGGATTTACTAGATAAAAATAAAGGTTATTTTCTCAAAATAGATTTATTTCCTCAAAATGTTGACTTACTGTCTCAAAGTAAGGTGTCTATATAGCACCCAAAAGGATTCTGCTATTGTTATGATGTCATCTTTTAATAATTGAAGAACCTATTTGGGTGCTATATAGAACCCTTTTTTTAAAGAGGCTCTGTGTAGAACCATCTATAGCACATTCTCCATCAACCTGAATAATCATTTCATGAAGGAAAGAACCCTTTAATCATGCAAGGGGTTCTTTGAGTGTTCATAGTTCTTTTATAGAATCATTTTCTTGACTAAAGAACCCTTGAAGAACCATCTTTGTGAGAGTATATCTCATAGTGATGACTTTTATCCCAAAACAAGTACTTACTTTCTTGAAATGTAATATTTATGTTAATAAATTTAATACTTGTTTTGACATAGTATCTCAAGATACTGAGAAAATAAGTCACTATTTTGAGGTACTAAATCAACATTTTAAGGAAAGAAGACATTATTTCGAGATGCTAAGTCAATATTTTGACATGCTGCTGCAGAGAAGGAGGAAAAAAACATTTGTTTTTTTGTTTGTTTTTCTCTCCTCTAGCTGGCAGGAATGGGCCTTCATAAATTACAGACTGGCGCGAGTGCTGGATCTGTATTTTTGGTTTAGTTTACTGTAGGGACACACTGGGCAAAGCGACAGACCGTGTTTCTGTCTCTGTCCTCCAATATTGACGTTTACGCCCAGATAGGAATGGAAATAGACAAAGCGGTTGCTGTGAAAATAAACAGTATTTCCATTTGGATCTTCTCTGGAATTCGCCACAAAATAAACAAGAGGTTTAAAAAGACACAAGCTGATTAATCTATTACCTTACCAGCCTGTACTAATATAGCTACAGTGATATTGCACTCACATTGTGCGTTTATAAATTGTAGTTAGCGTTATATTTATAGATTACTCGTGTGTCCCTGTGGAGTTCAGGCATTAACGGGCATTTTAACAATGTCCTTAACTGACTGCTAAAAAAAGATGGCTGGTTCGTCTTATATAATCCCCCTTTGTGGGTCTTTATTATTAGATTTCTCTCTCTGAGGAGACTCAGACAACTTCAGCACAACGTCATCTCAGTGGAAATGAAGAGGTTTCTGCGGGTGTTTGTCTTCTTCACTGGATTTTGTTGTTTAATGTCTTGATTTTGTTGTGTTACTTGACCTTTGCTGGACAGTATTATTATTAGCCCCACTTTGTGCTGTCAGGGATTTTATGTTCCTTTAAAGGACAGACGCTCTAATAGAGGTCATAGGCCTTTGGCTGTAACACTGTGGTTACGTCGCCATCTGCTGGATCGAAAGTAAAGTACACTCTTAAACCTGGTTCTTCGAGGGTTCTTTATTAAAGAAAATGGTTCTATATAGAACCATGAACACTCAAAGAACCCTCTGCATGGTTAAAGGGTTCTTTGCATCATGAAAGGGTTCTTTGGATTGATGAATGTGCTGTAGATGGTTCTATATGGAACCTTTTTGAAAATGGTTCTATATAGCACGCAAAAAGGGTTCTTCTATTGCTACGATGTCAAGCTTGTAATAATAGAAGAACCCTTTTGGGTGCTTTAAAGAACGCTTTTCGAAAAAGGTTCTGTATAGAACTGTCGACAGCACATAAATGCACAATGTCCATCTGAAGAACACTTTCAGAACTATCAGAAATAAACAATGTACACTCTTTTAAAAGGGTTCTTTAGTAAAATAAATGTTTCTATATAGAACCATGAACACAAAGAACCCTCTGCATGATTAAGCGGTTCTTTGCATTGTGAAAAAATTTCTTCAGATTGATGGAAAATGTGCATTAATGTGCTGTCGACCGTTTTATATTTATATGTCAAGCTAACAGCAACAGAGGAACCCTTTTGGTTATATGTAGAACTGTCTAAAGCACATTCATGCACAATTTCCATCAATCTGAAGAACACTTTCATAATGCAAAGGTCCATTTTCTTTAGTAAAGAACGCTTGAAGAACCAGCTTTTTAAGAGTGTTTGTCTCATTTATTTCTGATTGTTGGTTTATTTGATGTGTAATGGGTGGACATTTCAACGATCCTGTTTCAGCCCTCTGTTTGTGAACAGGGTGGACAAAAACATTGTAATAGTTCTCATGTTTAGGAGTGCTTTTCATCTTCATCATGCTTGCCTGAGCAAACGCGGAAATCCTGATGGGTGCGGTTTATATAGGCTAATATTTGCATGACTAAAGTGTGGATGAATATGTTTAGGTATTTCTTTTGGTATTAGAGCACACCCTGCAATGTATTCGAGCGTGTGCCTACCTGAGGATGTGTTGCTATAACTAAGCTGTAGCCTTTTTAGCTTTATTCGCTAGTGGGCACCCATTTGTCTGTCAAAAGCCAACATATCACCCCCACACTCTGCAAAGAGCTCCAAAAAAGTCATATTGTGTAAGCTATACTGAATACAGTTTATTGTCCTGTAGTGCTGACCCCTCCCGGTCTGTGAATAATACCTGCAGAATGGTGCAGTTGTGTTTCACCAGCTTGTGTAAAAGTTATTTTGTTAGGGAAATAAGCGTAAAGAAGGTGGTGCCTGGCAACCGTCAACTGATGTTAAGTTGCAACGAACTCATACAGGGTTCATTTTTAGTCAGACCTGCTGAGCTAAAGTGGACTGTTGTCGGTTTAGAGTTAAATACCTCAGTCATTATAATGACCTTTAAAATAAACAGTGGTTTATCGAGTAAGACAGGATGTTCTAAGTGCTGGTGACCAGTGAGTATCTCCCATAAATCACCTTCTACAAAGCAAACAAACACCAACAAACCTAAACACTGGGTGTGCCATTTCTAGAATGTTACCTTATTCGTGTTGGTTCATTTGCCTTAAAGGGCCCATGTCATGGAAAACGTTCCCTTTGGTGTTGTTTGATGTAGTAAGTAAACATTGTTAAAGTTTCAAAACATACTGTTTACTCCTCAGTCAGGATATGGAAACTAAGCCCGTTTTGAATTTACTTTTTTGTGATGTCACACAAACCATCCCGTTTACACAAATGTAACAGCAGTTGAGTCCCACCCACTCACACTGAAGTTATAAGGAGCCCAAATGAGGCGCAATACAGGGCAGACAAGCTCATTTACATATATCAGTCTTAAAGGCACAGTAACAAAAACAGCCTGCTTTATTCTGAGAGATAAAGAGAGGTTGAAAATGGTCATTTGAAAGTGAATTATGACTGTTTTTGGTACATAAAATCACACATACGTCTTACGTGGACCTCAGGGGGTAAAAAATAAAATAAAATAAAAAGTGTGATATGGGCCCTTTAAGTGACACTTTATTTTGATGGTTCCTCATAGATTATCTGCAAATGTTCAAATTGTTAACAAGGTTTATTGTTATTATTATTATTATTATTATTATTGTTGTTGTTGTCACAATGTTCAGGCCGGGTTTTGGTTTGAGGTTACAGGGGAGTTCCACCAATTTCTTAAAATGTCCAACTAATTATTTCTAAAGATATAAACAGCATCATTCAGAGTGGTTCTCCGTTCTAGAGAAACTTACCAAGTCAGAATTGTTCACGGTGTTGGTGATAGGAACCAGACGCCCACCTCTAAAATCTCCCTCACAGAAAGTTATTACATGAAATGGCTATGAATATACTGCCTGATGTCTGAGACATTGTTTTACGATAGTTTAGAGAAGGTTTTGGCTACAAACTTATATTTTATTTATCCATTCTTGGTGAAAAACATTTTTTCAGATCTGTATCACCATCATCATCATTCCATATAAAACTGAAGACACGTGTAGGTTCACTGTTCACGTGTGGTTTTGAATGGTAACCATATGTCTATATTTGTGTTGTATTTATGACAACACCTTATTCCTATCACCACCACTGTAAAGACATCTGAACCATTTCGCACCAAACCACTCTGAAACACTCTGTTTACATCACAAACACTAAATTATGCAGAAATTTTTAAACTTTGTGGAATTTCCCTTTAAGATTAGAGTAAGTGTTTTGTTTAGCGTTTAAGGAAAAGTTGAATTTAGTGCATATTTATTATTCATTATTTAGTAGATATTTAATTGAATGTATATTAAAAACAAGGTGAGCATCTGCAGAAGATCATCAAACTAAAGTCATACCATCAGTTTATTACTGTTAGTATTAGTTTACATTAAAAACCAACTACAAGTGCTGGTGTTTGTTTGGAGCTGTTATTCCGAGGCAGAGCTGGTGTGTGTGTGTGTGTGTGTGTGTTTGGGGGGGGGTGTAATGCAGTGTGGGCATAGCAAGGGTGAAGGGGGTTTAATTGAAGACTTTTCTCCCATGGGTTAGAGCACAAAATTGCACTGAATGACTTTGGATACGCTGCCTTCTGTGTGATTAATGGCTTCTATGTGTACAGTTACCCATGTCAGTAAGATGTTGGATGTAAATAATTATTTTGTAATATTTATGTATTTTACAATCATAAAGAGGCTGGCTCAATATACTGGTTTGAGAATGTCACTTGTCTCCTGTCTTCTCTTCTTCACACATACTGTACCAGAGAGTTTACAGTTCAGCAAAATGTGTCCTGAATTTATTTCATGACCTCAAGAAGACTCACCTATCCAGGCTCCACCCACAAATGTGTTCTTTAATAGCAAGTTTTACAGAACACCTATAAAAATCCTGTAGAAAAGACTCAGTTTATATCACAATACCTACATTTAGAGCCAGTTATTCATTCAACCTACTGAGAAACTGTAGAACAGACTCAGTTTATATCAATACCTACATTTAGAGCCAGTTATTTATTCAACCTGGTAATTTTTCACCAGCATTCTGTAAAGCTTCTCCAACACGAGAACAGTAACTAGGAAATGCATCTGTAAGTGGAGCATTTTGACTGTGTTGTCCATCATGTGAAGATGTTTGATTCCATGTTTGACCAGAGAAATTATTTGTTTATTTTATAGCTGCTCAATACATTGTTTGTTCACAGTCCTGATATCACATAGGAAAATGATATGCAAATAATCCCTCTAACCAGTCACTGAATGTTGTTGTGTGCTTTGAGCATCCTCCCAGTGGTGGTGTCTGAATACATCAAGGTCAATCAATAAAACAAGGCCAACGAATCAATAAATGATTCAGTGATACAGGTCATCCTTAACCACATCCCATCATGGTTTGTCAATGTTTTGACATAATGCAGTTTGTAGCAATATATTATTAATAAGGTACTTTGCTAGGGATGGGAATCACTAGAGAATATTATGATGACACACATTGCAGTTTATGATTGAAATTATACCTCTACGTTTTATCTAAGGAGCTTTGTTCTTTATTCACGTAATTTAAATCTAAGCAAATGTCAATTTAAAAGCAGGCACAGCAACATTCAGGACATTTTTATCTACATTTTCATATTTGGATTCAGAGCAGCTTATATATTGCTGTCCTGTTAGTCTACTTGTGGGCTTAATACACATTACAAAGCACAAAGATTACTGTTGCGCTACATAAAAGTGGATTACTACAGGTGCGTAAAGCAAAAAATCAGAATGAAAAGAGAATTGTCCGCACACTGTTGGAAAGTCAGATAAGTCTAGTGCAAGTATTTATTTATTCTGTTAGATTGAGGAAAAAAAACAGACACAAACTGAGCAAACATTTCAGCTTCGTGCTATCATCAGAGCTCATGAAGCAACTCTCACAACCCACTCCTTTTGAAAGCCCAGAAAAATTGCCCTATAGAGTATAGAGTATATCCTCTTGCTGGTGTACCATCACTTTAAGAAGGCCCTGGCAGGACCTACACAGGTAGGGCAATTTGTCTAAGTCTTAAAATAAAAGGAAGCAGGTTGATAGAGTTGCTTCATGAGCACTGATGATAGCAGGAAGTTGAAACATTTGCTTGGTTTGTTTCTGTTTTTTTTTGTTTTTTGTACTCTATCTAATGCACGTGTCAGGCTCCAGTCCTCGCGGGCCAAAACACTGCAGACTTCAGCACACTGCCTCATTAAACCCACCTGATTCAGCTCATCAGATAATTGACAAGCCCTTAATGAACTGAGTTCAGAGTGTTAGATGAGGGTAAACGCTAATCTCTACAGCACTTTGGCCTGGAAGGTCCCCAGTTTTACATGCCTGATCTAATGTAATAAATATATACTTTTGCTAGACTTACCTGACTTTTCAGTAGTGTGCAGGCAATACTCGATCTACTTAATACACATTTAAAATACTAATAATTGAATAACAAAACATCACTACTATTTGGTCTCACCCAAACTATCACAATATTATATTATACCCTCTTTTCATTATTATTTTCTTCATATCAGCGGTTTTATTTTATTAAAAGTCTTTTAGATTAATGAAAGACTCACTTTACCAGGTTTAATGTCAAATAGCTCAGGGCACATAATCCTTTTGCCAAAGACTCCTTCAGCCTTTATCCATCATCGAGATTGAATTTGCCCTCCTTGCCTCCAATGCATGTTGTACTAACCACATTTGACCACAGGGTGGAGACAAAGGCCCCAAACTGTTCAAAGGAAACTAAAGGCAGCTGCTTTGTTGTCCGTGCTGTCTATTACTCTGTCCCAGTTGTTTACTTCTCTGCTGGAGCGCCCTCTAGTGTCTGACAAACCTAGAAGAGATTAGTGAGTGGCAGCTGTCCTCACTGCAAATTCTCTGTAGCAGGAAACTTTGAAATTAAAAATGATCAGCAAAGCATCAGGAAATTTATTAAGTTCTAATTGGTAACCCCACCATATGACATAAAGTTCATTATTATCACTTTTTGTGAAACACATAGACAATAAGCATCTTTATTTTCTGCTTTTCAGGTTGGCACATGTAAGAGTAACAGAGCACTTGCATCCTTACAAACTATCAGACCTAATAGAAAAAAATGTATCTCTTTCAGGCTGAACACAGTGAAGCGGTAAGTCAAAACAACCATTGACGCAGTTTATCACTACATGTAATTAAAATGGCATGAAAGGTAGTTTCAGCAGAGAACTTGTAGAGAGGAGAATTACCACTCTGTAGTGCCCTCGGGGTTTCTCAAAAGCTAGAGGGCGCTCCCGAGCGAGTCCAAAAAGAATGGGTTAAGATGGAGCATTTGAGCAAAATCATAGTTTATAAATGCTTAAACATGTTCAATGTAAAATAATGCAATCATTTCCTGAACACTGAGCAGCATAAAAACATTTAAACACTACTGTTATATTTTTGAGCACTTTTCAACTCGAGTTATAGGAGTTTAAAACAGTGCCTCATGTATGTCAATGACGTCTGTGAGCGCAAACAGCCAATGAGCTGCTCCGCTCGCCAACCAGTCAGTGCTCATTAGCTGTAATGCTGAGTCCTGCCGCCCAAAACTCGTTTGCTGTAGAAAAAAGGAAATATATGGGTTTTCTTTGTTTTCTAAAATTAAAGGAAAGTTCTGGGCAAGTGATTAGAAACTACTTTAACTTTTCATTTTTAGCCGTTTAGCTCCTTTCACCCCCATTCATTAAGGACTTGCTCGCGGTCGCCCTCTTGCGTTTTGCAGTCTTGTTTTTGATATAATGAGGAAAATAAGAAGTGGCCAGGCTCCAGATAAATTGGTTCTGCTTTAAGATAGTGAGTCAGTGGCCTAGTTGCATTTGTCACTCAATCAGCTTGTTTTTTTTTTATTTTGCCCCACGATTTTTGGAGATGTGGTGCCACCCCTGGGTGAATTAGCAGTTATACATTAATTCCAGTGTGTAAGTCCATTTACTGTTAAAACTGTGTTAGAATGATCACCAGAGCTTTATTTTACTGCAAAAGAGGATCATTTTATTTTTAAACGGAAACGGAAAAATTCAAACAAGCAGCTGACTTTTTTTGTGAAAAGGTAATCGTTAAAACAAAAAAAATTAAATTGATTGGTCATTATTTCCTTGCCGTTTTGTAAATCTTAGTTTAATAAAAATTAATATATTACTAAGCACAGGAAGAGAGGGAGAGAAAGAAGCTGAAGGAGACTGACAGGACTGAAGGAGCAGATCTGATGAAGGTTGGTGATCAAGAAGAAAGCAAGGAAGAGTCGTATAAGCTTTCAGTTACATTAATACTGAATTTAATTCAACTTAACTGAGAAAATATTTATCACTATGACCATGAAATTCTGTCATCTAGCTTATTAAACATGCCTACAGAGCAAAATCACACTCTTTCTTTGTCTCTACCCACGTACTGCTCATGAAAAATTCACATTTTGGCCTTGATGTATGAAGCAGTGACAGGAGGACACGTGTATCTCTTGTCTCCTGTCTCCAGGACAGAAGAGGATGTGGCTGTGTAAATAGCAGAGCTGCTTCCAGGCCATGTCTTTTCCTGCTTTGCCTTAATAAGGCTGTGTTTCTCTCTCTCTCCTTCAGTATTTACCCCTCCCTCGGCCACATGGTCGATTACATAATCATTATGTACATCTGCTGCAACTGAAACACACACACCACACTTTCAGACTTCTTTGCGTCATGCTATATACACTGCCATTCAGAAGTCTAGAGACTTTTTAAAGCGTTATTAATGCAAATAAGTAAACCTAACCAGATTACAACCAAATCAGGTCTATTTAGATAAAAAAAATTATTGTAAAAATATTAATGATGGTAATAGACAGGGTGCTGAGGGGACAGAAAATGACAGTTTGATAAATATTAAGCTGAGTGTTGAAGATAAATACACGCAAAGCAAAGCACAGAGCTGCTCCATAATGAATAAAACGTTACAAAATTATTTTTCTTACTTAGTCAAAATGTGTCCCCCAACTTTCGACGGGCAGTATACACAGGTACAGGTAGATGTATTCAGGTTTAGGTAAAAACAGTATAAAGTTCTGTGTGAAAGGAGAAGTCCACCACTTTTTCAAAAATTTCTGTAAATTTAGTAATTTAATTGTTGAGACACAAACAAAGTCATTCAGTTTAATGTGAAACAGTTTGTTATGGAGAAACTTGCCGATAGGAACCAAGGGTCACATGACTAGAACACAAATATAACCATTTTGTTAACTATCCAAAACCACTAGTGAACCTACGTGTGTCTCCTGAGTTTTTATATGTAATGTTGATGATGGTAAAATCTTAAAAAAGCATGTTTTCTTTGGGGACTATTTTGACCTTCATGTCATCCTCTGCCATGACCAAAATCTTCTCTAAACTACCATAAATCAATGTCTCAGACATCAGGCAGTGTATTCATAAGCATTTCATGTAATAACTTTCTGTGAGGGAGCTTTTAGAGGTGGATGTCTGGTTCCTATCACCACCACTGTGAACAATTCTGACTCAGTAAGTTATTTTAAAGATCTCACATCACTGGAACTGAATTTTCCTTCAGCCTTTTTTATTAAATTGAACTATTTGTATAGTATGTAAATACTTTGAATGTCTCATAAAGTGATATTCTCTCCCCAGTCCAAGCAGTCATAAATGGAAACTGAGCTGCAAAAACAGCCTATTTTTAATGAATTGCTTTTGTGATGTCATCAAAAAATTATATACATTCTCCCATTCAACCTACAGGAGTTTAGCTCCGCCCTTTTATATAAGGGGTGTTTCAGCTTGACTTGCTTTTGGAAAGAGTTACAATACAGGCAGCTAATCAGAACAAAGCTCATTTTCATATATCAAGCTTAAAGGCACAGTAACAAAAAAACAGCCTGTTTCATTCTAAGGGATGAAGAGATGCTGGAAAATAGTCGTGTAAAAATGAATTACTCTGGAATGTGTGGTAACTTTGTTTTACGCATTTTGATGTTTTGACTTTGGCTTTAGTGTTTGTTAAAAGAGCTATGTACAAAAAATGACTTGTTTATTATGTGGAGAAAATAAATTGCTGTTTTATTTAAAATAACGCATTCTCTTGTGAACGAAAGGAACATTTTGGCCCAGCATGGTCTAAACACTTAACTCTCTCATACCATTCATTTCTTCCTTATCCTCCTCATCCTCCTCTTCCTCGCTGCCCTTGGCAGAGGCTCAGGCTGGGAGGGGTTTCTTCAGTGCTCTGAAAACTCCCACAGTGAAAAACTCTCAGACTGTGAGCTGAGTGTAAGACAGCAGCTCACACAGCTGGACTTAAACCCACCAGCAGCTGGCCAGGTGAGTGCCATCACAGCCTTCACTGCTCCGAAGGAATCAGCTCTAACTACATCTACACACATATTACCATTATTTATGGATAAAAATATAAACTAGCATTGCTTATTGATACATTACATCTGTAGTAGTACTGCACATAGGTAGATTCCCTACTAGCACCGCTTATAGATAAAAATCTATACTAGCACTCTTCACAGACAGATTCTAGGTATACTAGGTTTGCTTATAGACAAAATGTATAAACTAGCATTGCGTATAGACAGATTATGTCTATACTGGCGTTCCTGACAAAAATCTATTCTTGCATTGCTTATAGATGAAAATATATACTACCATTGCTTATAGATAGACTCTACACAAGCAATTTTTGTAGATGAAAATCAACATTTATGTGTCTATACATTTAATTAAATCTATACTAGCATTGCTTGAGGACAATCCGTACTAACATTGCTTATAGATTGCTTAGACTGCTTTATCAGCATTACTAATATAACTATAATCCATAACAGTATTGCTATAATAGCATTATTTATAGAAATACTGTAACTACTTGTAGATGGATATATGTCTATAGTGGAATAGTCTATATAGAAATATATATGGAGTAGCTTTGCTTATAGATCTATACTATACATCTATAGTAGCACTGTTTAAAAATAGACTTTATTATCTATACCTTTTTTATCTAGGTATAGATAAAAAAGGTATCTTTTTTATCTGTACCAGTATTGGTTTTAAACATATTATAGATACTTAGATTATGTCTATGCTAATATTGCTTACAGATAGATTATATATATGCTAGTATTGCTTTGGATAAATTATAAACACTTCAACATAGATTATATCTGTACATAGATTATATCTGTACATATCTACTTTATTTGTATCTGTAGATGACTGATAGATAGATAGATAGATAGATAGATAGATAGATAGATAGATAGATAGATAGATAGATAGATAGATAGATAGATAGATAGATAGATTAAGATTAAGAGAAGAATAAGGACCATTTTATATCATTATAACAAAACAAATTGACACCGTAACACAACCTACACATATTTTTGCAGTGCTAAACCAATACACTGAATCATTTGCTCTTAGCCATGTGTGGGATGTGTGTTACTGTGGGTTAATGTGAAACATTCAGTAATGTGTGGGATATGGCTTATAGTTTTTATTGTATTTTTTATTGGTCATTTGTTTTAGGGGCATTTTCTTATTAACCATGACTGAAATTGATCTTCCTGTGTTCTGAGTAAGTGCGTGGTTGTGATTTATTTACTATTTAAAGGATGAAATGTTCTTTTCCTTTTGTGCACACAGTAAATACTATTACAGTATACAGTACACAGTGCTGGTACAGTACATACTGGTACAGTGTGCAGAATACAGTGTGTATACTGGTGCAGTGTGTAGTATACAGTATATACTGGTACAGTGTGCAGTATACAGTGTGTATACTGGTGCAGTATGTAGTATGGACTGGTACAGTGTGCAGAATACAGTGTGTATACTGGTGTAGTGTGTAGTATAGGTACAATATGCACTGTACAGTATATGCTGATGCAGTGTGTAGTATACAGTATATACCGGTACACTGTGCAGTATGTACTGGTACAGTTTGCAGTATAGGTACAGTATGCACTATACAGTATATACTGATGCAGTGTGTAGTATACAGGATATACTCGAACAGTTTGCAGTATACAGTACATACTGGTATAGTGCGAGATATATAGTACATGCTGGTACAATGTGCAGCATAGAGTATTTACTGGTACAGTATGTAGTATATAGTACATACTGGTACAGTGTGTATTATACAGTATTTAATAGTAGAGCGTTCAGTATATATTAGTACAGTGTGCCGTAAACAGTATGTATAGGTACAGTGTGTAGTATAGCATAAGCATACAGTTTGTAGTATATAGTACATATTGGTACAGTGTATAGCATACAGTGTATACTGGTACAGTTTGGAGTGTGCAGTATATAGTACATACTAGCAAAGTGTGCAATATACAGTATATACTAGTACAGTGTGAGGTATACAGTATATACTAGTACAATGTGTAGTATACAATATATACTGGTGTACAGTATACATTATACACTTGTACAGTGTGTGGTATACATTATATACTAGTACAGTGTGCGGTATACAGTATATACGAGTACAATGTGTACTATACAAGATATACTGGTGTACAGTATGCAGTATACATTAGTACAGTATACAGTATATATTGGTGTCCAGTATGCAGTATACAGTACTGGCACAGGGTGCGGTACACAGTGGTCTATAATGTAAACATGTGCTAAAGTAGCTGATTTAGTCATTACACAAACTACCAGTGTTACAGAAGCTTAATGTAAACATTTAATGTAAACATAGACATATCTTCAAATAGAGTGTTTATAGTGACACTGGAATCCTCCGCTGACTCTCACGGTGACTCAGAGAGTGTGCTCCGCTGCAGGTGTGTGTGTGTGTGTGTGTGTGTGTGTACTGTGTCCAGTGGTCTTCACAGGGAAAACACTTGAGTTATGAGCTTGTATTCCTGGTTTATTTCAGCCCAAACTAACACACTCAGTGTTTACCCTCAGATCAGCCTGTGATAGTGGCCCGTTACACAGATAGGGCTCTTCCATTTAAGTCCTTCGGCAGCTCACTGTGAGACTGGAGCACATTGGATGTTGTACTTTATCAAGCCCTCTGGAAAATAGCCCAGGGCAGAGAAATTTAGATGTGTGCCATGTGCTCCAAACCTGTGACTGCATGTAAGGCAGCACTGGTACCCTTCTCAGCAAAATGTTTGGGGACACAAAGGTTTTCAAAATGTTTTTAATGAGCAAAATTTATTTGACTGCTTACAAAAAGCATCTTTCTGGAAGCCCCCTAGTATTTTGTATGATAGATTGGAATTTACCACAACTAAATGACTAACATCTCCTACTACCAGCTAGCAGTAAATGATATGGCAAAAATATAATCATCACAATACTTGAAGACATTTTAATGAGACACAATCACAATGTCTACTTTTTCTGAAGTTTGATAAGATGGAACAGAAAAAGAGTCGCATTATAAAAAAATATGTGTAAATGGCAAGATATCCAAGGCCCCTGTACACAGAAGATTAAGATAAATCTAAAAAAAGCCTGAGATTTTAAGAGGTTAAGTATTGACTGTGATTATGAGAAAAGCATATTGTGATGTAATTTATCATGATTACTGTAATTTATCATCATATTGTCCACCTCTGGTAGTCAGGGGCCCTAAGCAACTGCTTATACCACAGCAAGAGATGACCCTGCTCCTCACCCTTCTCTCCTCTAACCTCTTCTTCTTCTCCTTCTCTCCCAGGTCAGTCTCAGCAGCCAGTAGAGAAGGAGGGAAGGATGGAGAATGAAACAGGGGACAAGATGGCCAGCGCCGGTCCACTGACACAGGAACAGCTCGCTGCCATACAGGATGAACAAGTGCTGAACGACATGGTGAGAGAGAACAGCATTCAGGTCACAGTAGTCAGTTCCAATGACATAATCTAATTCTGTTTTTTCACCATAACTGTATCACAAGTCAAGTCAAAGTTTATTAATGTAGCACATGTTACAACAGGTGTTGTCATAAAGCAGCTTTGGAGAGAAATTCAAGAATGAGCGTCGCCAATGGCGACAGTGTCAGGGTAAGACTTCCTAAGAGCAAGAGGAAGAGACCTTGAGAGGAACCAAGACTCAGAAGGGGAACCCATCCTCCTCTGGTCAACACTGGATAGCAAAACAAGAGCAATATGAACAGAGAATGAGGTTTTGACATTAGTAAAAAATATTAAAATAGAGAAAAATGGAAAAACAGGTGAACAATGGCCATGATTAAATAGTTTGAGTCTGTGCAGCAGCAGCATCATTAGGAGGGTCAGCTCATGCAGGTGATGTTTGCACAGCGTTGTACAGTGAGGCTGAGCACCAGCTGCAATTAGGTTTACCCTGCAGCTGATTGTTACCAAAGATTACAAGAGGGTCCATGCCTGTCAATGGGACGTAAAAGGGGTTGCTAAAGTCTTGCATCAAATGCTTCGTCCCATCTCCTGGGGCAAGAGCAGCAGCCTGTGCAGGAAGACTGGGCAGGGGGCAGAACAAACCAGAAACAAAACTGTTTTTTTCTTAACATCAGCTAATCAGAAAATGCCTGTTTAAGCTCAAAATACTCAAAAGCCCAAAATTATTGGCTATAATCTTAACCCTCTGTGGTCTGAGGACATCTTGTCGATTTGTTTGTATCTTCTAAAGTTCTCCTTTAAAGGCTCCTTATATAAAATAATACTCATATGTTTCATATCAAAATGCTCTGTTATCACTATTACTACTTTCCAAAACTGCTGCAGCAACTTCAGCAGCTGTAAACTCTCTGCACGCCATTTCACACGTGTCTCCGATGTGGACTGAATGAAGAATGAAGAGTTTCCGACATGATGGGTCAGTCCTTAGTGATTTCCTGAGTGTCCATTTGTCAGTTTCACACAGAATGTAGACGGACACATGAATCCACCAGTTCCACACGGTGAGAGGCAGATTACGTGTATCTCAGCCCCTCTTCACAGCTTCATAACTCCAGATGTGAGTCACATATGATCTTGTGATAAGATGGAATGGGAAGGGCGACTCTACAGATTCAAGAAATGTTTGAACCATATTTCTGCACCGGATTATGACAAAGATACAAAGAAACATCAAATTTCACATGTGGTGAGTTTGTGGACACCAAACTCTCAGAAAAAAAGGTACTAAACTATCAACTCTTGTCACTGGTGTGGTACCTTCAAGGGTACATCTCAGTACCTTCAATCAGGGAACATAACTGTACTATAATCTATTGAAATTATATTTTCTAAGTTGTACTGACTCCACACACCCCGTCTCGTCTCCAGGTTTTTTATTTTATTGTCCTGTTTTAAAATATTAGCTTATGAAAAAGGGTACACTTAAAAGTGCCTGCTGGCTAAAGAACAGCACTGAGAGCTGCTCTGTTGGAAGGAATTGCCAATATAAAAGCACAGTTGATACAATGTTGCTTTACTTTTTTCTTTATTTTGCAGAACTGTTGTATAAAAGCAATTCATCACTCACACTTGTCTGTTATTGTGAATGACATCACTGCTCTGATGATCCACAGCTGTGATGACATTCATGACAACACACAACCTCTAGTGTTCTACTGCTGATGTATCACACACTGTACTAATACCCGCACTGGAGCAGCAGGCAGCGGGATTACAGCACCTTTTTTGGGCTGAAAATGTTTGGGCAAGTGTTCAATTACACTGTGTGTGTGTGTGTGTGTGTGTGTGTGTGGTGCAAAGACAAAAAAGGTTAAGTTAAAATGTGTTTCAGTTTATCACACTTAAAACTGGATGAGCTCAGTGACGCAGAATGACTTCATATCACACCTAAACTCATTATTAACTAATAACTGTCTCTGGTGTTTGGGCCTAAACGTGCATGCACTTAAAAAAAGTAAACTTAAAAAATGTGTTTCAATTTATCACACTGAAAATAAAGAGGAGCTCAGTGAAGATGGAACACTGGATAGACTGATTATTAACCCCTTAAACTGCAAGATTACTGTTCAGTGACTACTAAGTTATTCAGTTATTCAATAACCACTATGATTTATACACTAATTGCAATAGGTTATGCAATAACTGCTGTGAATTATTCAGGATCTACTATGAATTATTCAGTATCTACTATGAATTACTCAGCAACATCTATGAATTATTAAGTAACTATTATGAATTATTTAGTATCTACTATGAATTATTCAGCAACTACAATGAATTATTCAGTATCTACTATGAATTATTCAGTATCTACTATGAACTATTAAGTATCTACTATGAATTATCCATTATCAACTATGATTTATTCCGTATACAATATACTATATACATATTGTATTGTATACAATATAATCGTATACAATAACTATTGTGAATTATTTAATATCTACTATGAAGTATTTAGTAACTACTATGAATTATTCAGTAAGATTATATACCACTGTGAATTATTACTGATCTGCTACAAATTGTTTGTTATCTATTATGAAACTAATGTGCAGGTTCTGTAGTTAAGAGAGTGGAGAATTGAAGTAGGACCCTCGTACAGACCCTTATGTTTCAAAGAGATTAACTACTCTGTCTTTGTGTGTGTGTGTGGAATTCAAATAGCTGGACAAAGCTGTGGATTTTGAGGAAAGAAGAATGATTCGTGCTGCCATGAGGGAGCTGCTGAAGAAAAAGCGGGGTGAGGTGCAGGTCATAACCCTTCAGGCTCATAACTACTCACCAAACATGGCGAGCAGCTCCACACAGCTCAGAACACTAGTCATTTTTTTACATGTCCATTTGTAGTAATATTGGAAGGGTCATGGCCATTAACAGCAATAACAGTAGACATTCCTCAGTTTTAAGGGCCAAATCTTGCCATAACATGTTGTTAGCAGCTCAGTATGCATGCTGGGCTTGTTTATCAGGACACTTTGAGAAATGTAATGTTGTGACATGTTGTTTATCATGTCCTTTGCTAATGGATGTGTGTTTGTTCCTGAATGGACCCTCAGAGCAGCGGGACCGTGAGCGGGCAGAGCGTCAGCAGGACCTGCGTCAGCGGGGTGTGTGTGCTGGACGCAACCCAGCCGGACAGAGCACAGGCCAGAAACCAGCAAATGGACCAGGCAGCACCCAGCAACACACGCACAGTAAGTTTCCTTCGCACTGAAAGAGTTACACACATTAAGTTGTTTGTAAACACAATAAAACACAATAATAATAAACATAATTTAACTCAGTAAAAAACTTTTATAAGCTTTGACTTGCACTGTGGCAAAAAACTAAAGCACTTCCAAAACAGGTGGAAATTGCATTTTATGGCTACTGTGAAAAAGGGTTAAGCTGCAAAAACAGCCTGCTTTGAATTCATTGTTTTTGTGACTGCTGTTAAATAAGACTTAGTATAGGGCCAATCAGAGCAAAGATCATTTACAACACTGTTTCCAAAAAAGTTGTGACACTGTGCAAAATGTAAATAAAAACAATATGCAAAGATGTGCAAATCATTTAAAAGATAACATAACAAATGTAGAAACTGAGAGATGTTATTGTTTTTTGAAAAACATTCGCCCATTGTGAATTTGATGCCAGCGACAAAAAAGTTGGATGGGGCAACAAAAGGCTGATTAAGTTGTGTAATGCACTGGTGGAACATTTCACAACTTATAATTGGCAAGAAGCCCTGCCACCTTTTCTGGGCCTGAGCTCATTTAAGATGGACCGAGGCAAAGTGGAAAAGTGTCCTCTGGTCCAACAAATCAAAATTTTAAATTCTTTTTGGAAATCATGGATGCTGCATCCTCCTCTGTAGTAAAAGAGTCCAGGTGCTTAACTGGCCTGTCTGCAATCCAGACCTGTCACCCACTGAAAACATCTGGCACATTATGAAACAGAAAATATGACAAAGAAGGCCCCAAACTATTGAGCAGCTAAAATTCTATTTCAAGCAAGACATTTCACTTTCAGAAGTACAGCAGTGTCTCCTTAGTTCCCAAATGCTTACAGAGTGTTGTTAAAAGATGAGATGATGCGACACAGTGGTAAACATGACCCTGTCCCAACTTTTTTAGAATGCATTGCTGGCATCAAATTCAAAATGAGCATATATTTTTCAAAAAACTATAAAATTTCTCAGTTTCAACATTTGATATGTAGTCTTTGTACATGTTCAATTAAATATAGAGTGTAAATGATTTGCAAATCTTTGCATTCTGTTTTTATTTACATTCTGCACAGCATCCCAACTTTTTTGAAAACAGGGTTGTACATAAACAGCCCATGCCATTCTATAAGATAAAGAATATGTAAATGTAAAAATGAACATGTAAATATAATGTCATGTAAAAATGAACTATGACTGTTTTGGTGCATAAACCCACAGAAATGTTATATGTGGACATCAGTGGGAAAATAAAAGACACGAAAACTATACAATCTGGGTTCTTTAATAGAATCATTACAGTTGTTGTATTTAAAGTTTCCAAGTATGGAAAATTAGCCAATAAGGATTGTTTTCTCATGTGGTACTCAGGTATATGCAGCCAAGCAAGCTCTCCTATTGGTTAAGACTTCAGGAGCTGAACTGAAGGCCTTACACATTAGATTAGCTAACAACAAAATTAGGAAGTGACAGAAGAATCAACCAATCATGCTTTGATGTACAATGGGATCAATTTTATGGAAAAATGTCACTCTAGTCCTTCTGGATGTTCTAGATACATCACTGACTGAATACAATCCGCAGTCTAAGCAGGTTTGGGTTAGTTGTTAGGAATGGAAAACAGCAGCAGCTCCTATGCCAGAACTCTTTACTGAAAGAGTCACTGTAAAACTGATACATGCAAGCTCAGATATATGTTAATGTCTTTTACAAGCTTTAGATGTCTGTGTTTAATCTACAATCTACAACAACCGAAAAGGTTTCAGTGCATGGTCATTAGTTTAGCACCAACACACTGTAAGAACTTCTTTGTAGCTACTTTGTAGCCCCTGCTATTATGTATATTGCTAGTGTAAATGTACTATGAAGGTACATTTGAGATTCAAATTTAGCTCCAAAACTGACTGCAGCCTTGATTAAAAAGGAACATCTCTCTGTTCATCTGTTCATTCACTGAGACAGTTTATCACTCAGTCTGTTTGTCTCCTTAATTTCCGCTTTCTGTCTTTATTCAGTGTCTTATTGATCTCCTTGGTCTTGTTTTCTCTTCTCTGATTAGGAGCAGCTCAGGCAAAGTCTCCCAATCCATCATCAGCAAGTTCCTCCCCTAAAGTCCCTGCCAGGTAAGAGTTTTACAGTGGCTGAAATGCTGCTAACAGATGTGCTTCAGGGAATGGAAGCAGCCCAGTCTATGGGATAGTTCAGTATTGTATGGTGCCGCATTCCTATCTGAGCCAGAACTGAGAGGTTTCAGACCTGGAGTAGGACATAGCCAGTTGAATGATCCTCCAACTCGTAATTCCCAATCAGGGTTTCTCAAAAGGTCAGAATTCTCAGTGTTGCAATTTCATGTTGTCTCTTTGAATAGATCAGTGTTTATAGAGTTGTGAGTTTCTATTTGTGTATGATAGGCTTTAAGATTCTTAAATCTTAGACTAAGGTTTAAAGGTTAATTTTTTCTGTGAAGTTCAAATAAATTTAATACCTAGAATGATGCTCTAATAAAAATGATTATAGAATATCATTTGAACAAATTAACAGCAATTATTAAAATAACAAGTGATTCCAAACTTTTGAACTGTGGTGTAGATAGATAGATAGATAGATAGATAGATAGATAGATAGATAGGTTACATCCTATACCTGTCTTATTTTACATTAAATCTATATTATATTTTATAATATACTATATTATATTATATAATTCCCAGCTATTATAAACACAGCATTAAATAGCATTTAACGAAGTGTTATCAATGCTGTTTGTTAAAATTAGTATTTTCCCACTGTTAGCCATTGTAGCATTGCCTGGCTGAACTTTCCCTTTAAGTCCATCCTCATTTCTCATGTCTTTCTCTCTCCTGCTCAGCCCGGCTCGTCCCCCAGCTGTTGGTGTCAAAGTTCACCGCAGCTCTGCGCTTGGCGGTCCAAACACCAAAGACGTCAAACAGATGCTGCTAGACTGGTGCAGAGCCAAGACCGAACCATACGAGGTGAGCACGGGGGGGTGCTAAAACTAAAGTGACCTCTACAGTAATAATGGCACCTACCATTTCAACCCTCAGACATCAGCCCTGTCAGTCCCTCTGTGGAACATAGTTCATTTTCTCTTTTAAATCATGCACCATTACAAGTCTAGAGTTTTCACTGTTCGATTCACATTACATAATTATGTACATGTGTTACGTAACTACATACGTGCATAACTATGTAATTGATTGTGTAGTTATGTAATGAATTACATTTACATTCAATTTACGTTCTGTATCAACAGGGTCGAGCTGTGCATCTGACTTTGTTTTTAAGTGTTTCAACGACAAAAATGTAAAAGATTGTCTCTGTTTCTGAATAAAGGGAGTGGACATCCAGAATTTTTCCTCCAGTTGGGCCGATGGTCTGGCGTTCTGTGCTCTGGTGCACAGGTTTTTTCCTGAAGGTTTTGATTACTGCACACTGGACCCATACGACCGCAGGGCAAACTTTGAGAAGGCATTCAAAACCGCAGAGTAAGATATATATATACATATATATATATATATATATATATATATATATATAAAACATTCAGTACAGCGACAGCGGCCTGTGTGTGTGTGGCCTGTTGGGGCGGCTGTGTGTGAGTATTGACGTGCGTGTGCATGTGTGTGTGAAGATGTTATAGCATCCAGTGTCCATGTGTAAACACCAATCGCATCCAGTACACTGACTCTGGCCTACGTTACAGCTCAAACATTTACAATCACTATTCTCAATACAGTAAAGCCAGTTTGGTTTCAGATAAATATCTAAAAAGATTCTAATATTCTGGTCCGGTTTCACACAATTACTATATATAAATATTGATGTGTCCAGCTGTATATTATACTGAGATAATCCAGAATGATTTTTTCAAAATTAACATCCAGAATGATTTTTTCAAAATTAACATCCAGAATGAGAAATTCAAAATACAAATTTGTAAGTTAATTAAACATATGAAAATTCCAGGCTAAACTGAGGGACCTCCTTAAAGTGCATTTTATATCTACTATGAAAAGGGGTTTATAAAATCTTGCTGATCCCAAAATACTTTCTACATCATATGAGTTGAAAATATAGCAACACAAATTGTTAACACAATACAGTGACTCTGTGTGTATGTGTGTGTGTGCATGTGTGTGTGTGCATGTGTGTGTGTGTGTGTGTGTGTGTGTGTGTGTGTGTGTGCGTGTGTAGACGGCTGGCTGACTGTTCTCCTCTTCTGGATGTTGACGATTTGATGCGGATGAGGGAGCCGGATTGGAAGTGTGTGTACACCTACATACAGGAGTTCTACCGCTGTCTGGTGGAGAAAGGCCTTGTCAAGACCAAAAAGAAGACCCCCTAACAACCAAGCACACACACACACGGTCCGAAAGGTGAGTCAGAACACACACAGCGGACCTACAGTGAGGGAATAGTCAATGCTCTTTAGTCAATATAATCTCTATCTGCTGCTCTATCAGCTTAGATGTTTTCCAGTATTTAGAAAAGACCTGAAAACCAATTGACCTCAAATACACTTACAATGGACATCAATGGGCAGTTGTTGAATTCCATCACACTATAAAAAACTGATTCAAAGTTTTAACTTCATAAGTAAGAGTCTTGGTTGCCTTAAATTTGATACTGTATACAGAGTCTATTGAACTTCTAAAAAGTAAGAGAACAGAATAATCATATGTTTTACACATATTATACATTTGCTTCTTATATTATTTAAAGTGAAGTCAATGAACGTAAAAAAACTTTTTTAGGTTCTTTAAGCTGCGAATCTGCATAACTGGACCATTTCCCCAAAGAGCTAAATTTCGTCTCTAGTATAGAACTGTGGGTGGAGTTTCCTTAGGGTGCTGTTCATAAAAACCTTAAGGAAGGAAAAAATAACTGGCACTGCACACAGCTTTACCAAAACCACATCAGCATTTTTATGGAAAAAAGGACGTTGTGTTCTCTGGGCCAAAGAAGAAAAGGACCATCCAGTTTGTTAACAGCATAAAGTTCAAAAGTCAGCATCTGTGGTATGAGGGGGGTGTTAGTGGGTAACCTGCTTATCTGTGAAGGCACCATTAATGCTGAAAGAATCTACACATTTTGGAGCAACATATGCTGCCTTCTACATGATGTATTTTTCTGAAATGTCCATGCTTGTTCCAACATCATAGCACCAAGAAACATTCTACACATATAATCCACATCCTGCTGCCTACTCAGAGAGGAGTGGCTCTACGGATCTGCATGTGTGTTATCAAGCCTTCAAAGCAGTATTTTACCATTATCAGTTTGACATAGAAAACTTATAAGACACATGCAAGTTTACTGGTCATTTTTGATAGCAGATAAAACGGTGATATTTGTAGCGTAGACATATGGACGTCTGGGTCCTAGTACTACAATGGTGAACAATTCTGACTCGATATATTTCTCCAAAAAGGTGCATTTCACACCAAACCACTCCGAATGGTTTTGTTTACATCTAAACCATTGAAGATTAAGTAATTTTGCTAAATCAGTTCCTCTTTAAGGAATGTGAAGGTAACCAAAACTACTGTTTTGTTGAGTTGCTTATGTGTTGTAAAGTTTCATACACACTTCTTTTTAAAAAAAAATTCAGTCAGTGCATTTCATCCTAACACCTGTACTATTAAAGTGGAATGGTTGTTGTTTTGATTTTGCCTTATACAGTCAATTATCTCCATTGTGCATTCTCATAAATTAGCGACTGCCCATTGACGTCTGTTATAAATGAGTTTTGAGACAACAGGTTATCGGTTCTTTTCTATGTTCAGGGCAACATATCAAAATTATTGTCCATTGTATTTGACCCTATGATTCAGATGTGGCTGATAGAGATTAAGTAGAAAAACACTGGACTATCCCTTTAAGTCTTTAAGTGCACTTCTGTAATTTAAAATGTCATGGGTAAGTATAAGCACACAATGCTATGGCAAATATGTGAGAGATTTAACATTCTAGACATTCTAGAGAGATTACGTCTGTATTAATCTCACTCAGCATAGAAATAGAATATGTGTGTGCCTGTATGCCTGAATGACTTTTTATGGTGTTGTTTCTTGCTAAGCTGAAAGCTGAAAGCCACAATGCTTATTGCGGAGATTAGATCTTAACTAGGAATTATGTTTACCCCATATTTGTCTGGCGTTTAAAAATATCCACCTTTCAGCGGGCTTAACCGTTACATAACAGATTGTGGAAAACTGACCTCTACATCATCAAAATGGTGCCGCTGGATCAGAAAGAGGAACATTTCACATAGTTGTTTGTCCAGGAATAGGTGCAGTGACAGCGATACTGTCATAAAGCAGCTATATAGCTGCATAAATCACATCACAGAAGAAACTTATAGATTCTTTCCCATGTGTCTTTTCACCAGCAGCTGAGGTCTGAATGAGAAGTGACGATGGATTGCTACAGGAGAGCTGCAGGCCAGCACACATACACGCTTCCTCAGGGACAGAGAGACGGCTCCATCAGTTCTGTATGGGAATTAAAGGGGAATTCCACAGAATGTTCTAAATTTCTATATACTTAAAAGGTTGAGATGTGAACTCATTCAGAGTGGTGTAAAATGGTTGAGTGTAGAGACTCAGATTTCTTTAAAGTGGTGGTGATAGGAACCAGGGGTCACCATGACTACAACACAAATATAGCCATTTTATTTACTATCCAAAACCACCAGTAATAACTTTCATGTAATAACTTTCTCTGAAGGAGATTTTAGAGGTGGACGTCTGGTTCCTGTCACCACCACTGTGAACAATTCTGACTCGGTAAGTTTCTCTAGAACAGAGCATTTCACTCCAAATCACTCTAAATGACTCTGTTCACATCTTAACCATTTAATTAGATAGAAAGGGCAGAATAATAAAAAATATGTGGAATTTCCCATCAAGCCAGTGTTCAAATCCTGCCAGTTTACTTCACTGTAGCATAATGGTTTGTGCACTATATGTTGTAACTATATATTGTGTTGAAAAGAAATAAAATATTGCTGTTTGTCACAATAAATTTAATTTTTTTCACATTCCCATATGCATACTTTTGATTTTCATTTCATTATGTGAAACAGGTCACTTTTCTCCAAAAATGGACCTCATTAAAATGTTGCTCCTAATTATGGCCCTGGTAGACTTGTGTTCTCATAATATTTCCACTTTTGTCAGGTCAAGTTAGATACTGCAGTGCTGTTCATAATCTGCATTATGAGATTCAGTGAAACGAATTTGAAGATTTTCAGGTTACTGATTTTTAAGGTACAGTCTCTGAAAGTGTCAGAGCATCAAGGCCAGTTGTTTCTGCTATATGCTGAAGACATTTAGGTTTTGGAAATCAAACACTCTTAGAAAAAAGGTACTAAACTGTCACTGGGGTGGGACCCTGAAGGGTACATCTCAGTACCTTTAGTTAGGACATATATTGTACCATAATCCATTGAAATTATATTTTCTAAGTTGTACTGACTCCACACACCCCGTCTCGTCTCCAGGTTTTTCATTTTATTGTTCTGTTTTAAAACATTAGGTTATGAAAAGGTACAAATAAGTACTTTTCACCTGGGACAAACTTTACAGTTCACAGTTGTTATATTGTTAGTACCTTGATGAACAAAAAATGTACCTGCACAGAACCTTTATTCCTGACAGTGAAAGATGAATATCAGATGATAGATCAAAATTTTTATTCTGGTATTTATTCATTTTTATTTTTTGTTATTTTTTGTTTCTTCATATTCTAGATGTGTTAAGCAATTCAGAACATGGCACCTTTTGTTTGACCTCATTTTTTAAGTGAGCAAAAACATTGGAACATGTGTCTGACATGAGTTTCTTATTGCCCAGATGTGCCCTGTTAGACTGATTGTTTAAACAATGAGTAGCTCTGAATGTCCACTCTTAGTTTGAGTCCTGGGTTTCACCTTTGAGGACCGCATGTTTTCTTAAAAGGGATAAACCAATATGAAGAGCAAAGAGCTGTCTTTGGGAGAAAAGCAAGCCATTTTGACACTAAGAGAAAATTGATCAGAGCTATTGCACAAGCATTGGGAATGCCAATAAAACAAATCTGACATGTCCCGTAAAAGAAAGAAACTGCTGGTGTACTGCTGTAGAAATATGGTTCAAACATTTCCTGAATCTGTAGAGTCGCCCTTTCCATTCTTTCTTATCACAAGATCATATGTGACTCGCATCCGGAGTTATGAGCCTATGAAGAGGGGCTGAGATACACGCCATCTGCCTCTCACCATGTGGAACTGGTGGGTTTGTGTGTCCGTCTACATTCAGTGTGAAACTGACCAATGGACACTCACTAAGGAAATCACTAAGGACTGACCCATCATGTCGGAAACCCTTCATTCTTCATTCAGTCCACATCGGAGACACGTGTGAAATGGCGTGCAGAGAGTTTACAGCTGCTGAAGTTGCTGCAGCGGTTTATGGAAGTAGTGATGAAGAATGAAACATATGAGTATCATATTATAGGAAGAGCCTTTTGAGGAGAGTTTAAGAAGATATGCACAAATCGAGAGAGAATGACCAAAACATACAAGCTCACTGGTCAAGCATGGTGGAGGTAGTTTCATTGCTTGAATTTGCATGGCTGCTTCTGGAACAGGATCCCTAATCTTTAACCCCTTAAAATCCCAGGCTTACTACAAACTAAGGCTTATTATTCGGCCAGTACAGGGACTTCAATGCAAACTGGTTGAGTTGTTCTTAGGTTATAGAAGTCAGTAAAAAATCTTTGGGCCTGCTGGCAGGCCCTGCCCATGTTAGGGGTTAATGATGTCACTCATGATGGTAGCAGCAGAATGAATTCAGAGGTCTACAGAAACATTCTGACAATCTAAGAGAAATACATCTAATTAAATCAAGACAATGATCCAAGCACACTGCCAACACAAAAAAAAACAACTTTATCAGGGGAAAAAAGAGGAAGGTTTTAGACTGGCTTAGTCAACCACTTGACCTTCACCCAGCTGAGCAGCATTTCACCTCCTGAAGAGGAGACTTAAGGGAGAAACCCCCAAAATAAACAACAACTGAAAGAAGCTGCGATAAAAGCCTGGAAAAGCATTGCAAAAATTGAATGCAACAGTTTGGTGATGTCAGTGGATCACCGGCTTGATGCAAGGGATATGCAACCAATATTAAGTGTTTTTACTTTATTTCATTTCAGTCCTACACTCTTAAAAATGATGGCTCTATACAGAACCATGAACACTCAAAGAACCATTTGCATGATTAAATGGTACTGTGCATCATAAAATGGTTCTACAGATTGAAGGAAAATGTGCTGTATATCAGGGGATCTCAATCTTTTCCACCCCAAGGCCCACCTGTGTATAACTACAAAGCAGCGTTTTCACAGAAAATACTCCACTGGCTTTTCCAAAAGAGTAACTGTTTGGTCTCAACATGTGTATCTAGTTTTGAGGGTTTTTATGATTCATTTTAAATAAACCACTCTCCACTCACGGCCTTTTGGGTTAGCATTGTCACAATTAACAATAATGCTAAATCTTACCTGTTATCTGCTTCTTTGTCATTGGTTGATCAATTTGAGTTTAACCACTCAGGTCACTGATGTTCAACCAAATATACGCTCCATGATTACCGGCCCGAATTACTGCCTCCCTCTGAGTACAGGCCTGCGGACCACTAGAGGGTGCTTCATGGCCCACTGGTGGTCCGCTGCCTACAGGTTGAGAAACGCTGCTATAGATGGTTCTATGTAGAGCCTTTTTGAAAAGCGTCCTTTAAAGCATCCAAAAGAGGTCTGCTATTGCTATCATGTCAAGCTTGTGTCACTAGAAGTAGCCTTTTTGGTATATGAACCCTTTTCAGAAAGGTGCTATATAGAACCATCTACAGCACATTCTCTATCAATCTTAAAAACCCTTTCATGATACAATGAACCCTTTAATCATACAAAGGGTTCTTTGAGACAATTTCTCTTTACTAAAGCCTTAAAGAATCATCTTTTTAAGAGTGTAGAGAGGTTTAGCTGGTTGTTGTTGTTTTGTGTGTGAGTGTTTGTGTGTGTGTGTGTGTGTGTGGTATGCAAGGACAAAATTCCTGAACAAACACTCACATTATGAGGACTCTGATTTATGGGAAATTCTCTCTGTCCTCATAATTAATAGGTCTCCATAAAGCACGGTCTGCACTGGTGGTCCTCATAAGTTCCATAAACTAGTACGCGTGTGTGTGGACTGTTTAGAGTGGACGTGCGCGCTTGTTTGTAGCGTTTTTGAACTAGTTGTAGCTCGTGCGTTTCAGTGACGACAGCGTCTCTTACAATTTAGTGACGTTTGTCCGCGGTACGTGTTTTTTTTTTCCCACCCGTATTCTGACAAGTCCCGCCTCCTGTGGTCTACGATTGGCTAGTTAGTGTCACTTTTCCTGCGCTAGGATTGGTCAATAGGGAATATTCAGGTAAAATAGGATACTTCTTCCAAACATCAGAACAGTCCATTAAAACCACTGGCTCATAACTCAGGCGATGCTAATGTCATTTTACTGATACATTTCTATGTGGATCTATTAGGATCTGATCCTAAAAAAATAAATAAATAAAAAATAAAATTAATAATAATAATAATAATAATAATACTTTTTCATACTTTTATACTTTTTCCTATTTTTCCCACTTGCTAACTATCCCCCTTCCCCGCCAAGCTCTCCTGGACTCCTGACCACAGATAGATGTGGGATCATGCATGTAAAATACCGTTAAGACATTTTACCATGCAATATAAACATTAATAATTATATATATGGTGGTGTTCTACCACTGGCTGCTGTAAAAGAGCAGGAGATGTGGCCGTAGGAGAGACATTTATTATAGATAGCTATAGTGGTGTTAGATGCTCTATTCTGTGATGTGCTGTGGGGTTGTTGAGTGGGTTAAAGTGTCTAACATGGAGTGCAAGTGCATGGCTTGCAGTGACTTGTCTGCTATCCTGTCTGCTTGAGTAGTGCTGAGTGACAGTTCTCCCTTGCTGTTTGTTCGTGCGTGTTTCCCACGTTTTCTTTTTCGCTGATGCCACACTGGTGTCAGAAGTGGGACAGTGCCCCCTCCCCAGGAGAGGAATAGTGCTTCAACAAACTAAAAGGCAGATGGCGGAGAAGTCTGAGGCTGGCGGAAGACTGCAGAAGTAGAAGGAGTGTGACAAGGACCAATGAAGATGGCAGAAAAGGCAATGTGGCAAGGCTTATCAGTGGAGCCTGACTGGAGGATGGCAAAAAAGGCAGCAGCAAGGACGTCTGGATGGTAGCTGGCCACAAGGACCTGGTGGCGGGGCAGCATGACGGATAAAAGTAATAAAGTGAAAAGGTTTAACACTTCAGTGAAGAAATCCTTTTTTCATATTGATAAAATATTGCTAATCTGTTTCACATCTTTGGTGCATACAAAAAAGCTGCTTCAGCACTCTTCATAGAGATTCATACAGAATATGAATAAAACCAACATTGTTTGATCTTAAGACACAGTGTGGATGTTTATCAGACATTTAGGCCTCTTTTCCACTGCTGTGCTGAACAGTTCTGAGCACCAAAGACCCAAGCACATCAGTAGGGATCCAAGCACCCCAGTACAAGTTAGATACAACTAACTTGTCCTTTGCTATCGCAAGTAGACAACAAAAACTTACAACAGCAAGAGCAAAGTCAACTAATTGGTGTTGGAGTGACTGAAAGCCAAAATCGAACCTGTTCTGTAGGGTTTTAAGCTGTAGCCTGCTAGGCTAAGCTAATGCGAGCGCATTACTAAATGCCTAAAAAACACCCATTTAGAAAATAAAGACTCATGTCTGAGAACGCATGTTCGAATGTCTGCTGTTAAAGGGACAGAAGGATAAAAATAGACTTATTCTGTGGTGCTTTGAGCTGTACCCTACTGGGCTATGCAAATGCTAGTGTAGTTAGCCAGGTACAGGTGCAACCCACTGCAGTACAGGCTTAGTTTCAGTAACTGATGCTCAAATAACACCAGTAGAGGATGAAGAATCTGATAACACACCGAGAGACTGTTTTTGGAGTAACAGACAGAATCAGATCTGTGTTGCTGGGGGTGCTGTGTGTGTAGTTAGTCTGTTAGCAGTTATCTTTTTGTGTAATTTTCTTTAGTATTTCCTGATTCTGATCAGGCACAAGAGATGGAAAAAGATGTACCCGGTCTCACGAGTCCGAACCAGTGAATGGCACAGTACTGTCATAAGAACCATTTGGCTCAACGGTGGAAAAGAGGCCTTAGAGATGTATAAAGGTGTTTTACTATTAAGATATTTTAAAACAAGTAAAATTTTATTCAGCTCTAAAGCTGTCAGGCAGTGGACTGACGCTGAAACTAATCTCTTTTCTAGTGAATGTTCATATTCTGGTTTAAAAATTGCTTCCACTTTCAAAATGCATTAACATAATATCACAGGTCACAGTGTTGATTGACGTACAGTAACAACTTTTATTCGTAATCAGCACACTAGTGGCCAATCGCAACGCAGCACGCGGTGCGTTTCTAGCCAATCGTAGTCGCTGAAGGCGGGGTTTGTCGGAATATGGGTGGTAAAAAAACAACGCCGGTCGTCCGTTAGAAAAGCGCGTGACGGTCTCTGTAACCTCCACAGCACTGCAGCGTGAGATAATGAGGACTCTTCGGATACACAACTTTAAAAACACAAACCCAATGAGGCTGTTTTCGCTTCTTTACACTGTCAAAGAGCTGGAACTGACAAGCTAGCTCGGTTTTATGGGCTACGTTGCCACACAAGGATGCGGATGGACTGATTTTTTTTTCTTTCCTTTCACCTTGCGGAGCCAAAAAGGTAAACCGGTTTCCTTAGTAACGCATTAACTCTGTAACGGTCTTACAGTAATTTTACCCACTGTTGACGCGTTTACTGAAAAATATTCAGCTCCGAAAGAAGAGATTTAGCCACCCGTGAGCCTTAATGTGAGGTCTGTGATAATACTAACCTTACTACTGATAACTGACTTCACATTCACGAGGCTGAAGTTGGCTTGCTATTCGCCGGCTTGTGTTCGAATTTTTCCGTTCTACCTTAAATTGTGCAGCAGTTTTCCTTATTACGCCTGAGGCGCCAGAATGTAACTGCTGCACCATTTAAGGTGGAACGGGAAAAATTCCAACCATATACTGGCGAATAAGAACTTGACTTTATATTGTAAGTTTCCAGAGTCTTCATATTGTTTAATTGCGTAAATCAATCAGCGCTGTCGTTCATGGTGAAATAAAAAGTACACACTTAAGAAGGATTTTTAGTAAAGACAATGATTCTATTTAGAACCATGAGTTCCATATAGAACCATTTGCATGCTTAAATGGTACTTTGCGTGGTGAAATCGTTCTTCAGGTTGATGGAGAATGTGTTGTGTATGGTTCTATGTGGAACCAAAAAGCGTTCTTCTATTGTTACAAAGTTGACATCACAATAACAGCAGAACCCATTTTGGTGCTATACAGAGCCATTTTCAGAAAGGTTTTGAATAGAACCATATACAAGACATTCTCCATCAATTTGAAGAACCATTTAAGCATGCAAATTGTTTTATATAGAACTCCTGGATCTAATTTGAATCATTGCCTTTACTAAAGAGCCCTTGAAGAACCATCTTTTTAAGTGTGTATTATAATATTATTTGGCTAGTGACATGTGAAGAAGCCTAAGTAACTATCCTGCAGTCCCCATAGTGGAGCCTGGGACCCCTTGTGCCATGGTCCCCTCAGAGAGATCTTCTCAGGTTCCTTTGACTGGAGAGCATGTAGTTGGTTCCTGTGTTCATCCAGAGAGAGAGAGATACAAAATAAACAGCAGTTTAATGATTGTAATGATGGATTATTTCATTACCTACACTAAATATCCTATGGTAAGGACTAGAAGCAGAAAAATACCTCTGACTGACCAGAATTTTTCCTCATCTGAGCTTTTGGATGCTTTTTGGAACTCCTGAGTAGCTGTGCTTCTAAAACACAGTGAAATACTGGTATTTTAGCCTCTCTAAAGGAGAAAATATTCATGAACATGCATTAGATTTGTTCATTTGTGCCTTATAGGGACTAAACCTCTCAGAAAACATTAGAATAGTGAAGAGAGGTAGCTAAATGCTACATTCAAATGTTTGTTGAACTTCTAAAATGAAGGGTATTAATAGTGAGTTTGTCCCCCTTTGTTGCAGCAACTGCCTCTACTCTTCTGGGAAGGCTTCATACTAGATGTTGAAACATCTAGTGTTAACTTATCAGCACTCAGTAGCAGTAATGCTAAACAATCAGAACTCAGTAGCAGTAATGCTAATCAATCAGCTCTCAGTAGAAGTGATATCAACCAGTCAGCTCTTAGTACCAGTAATGCTAATCAATCAGGGTGTCAGTAGCCGTAATACCAACCAATCAGCACTTTGTAGTGGTAATGCTAACCAGTCAGCTCTCAGTAGCAATAGGGCTAACCATTCAGCACTCAGTAGCGGTAATGCTAATCAGTCAGCTCTCAGTAGCAGTAATGTTAACCAATTACTACTCAGTAGCAGATATACTAGCGTCCAATTGCCCAAAACCTTGTTGTTGTACAAAAATGACAGATATTGATATTTTTTTCATTGATATTTTATGGAATATATCTTTCTAATTTCTAAAATCTAATCTCTTGGTTTTAGCTGTTCAGCTAAATTAACCACCAGTCACTGAGCACTCACTCATGGGCACTCTTGTTTTGCAGTCTTGTTTATTCACATTGTAGAAAGACTGGGTCTGAAAAGAGCACAGTTTTTTTCAATGTTGGAACATTGCTGTGAGGATTTGATTGCTTTCTGCCACAAGAGCATTAATGGGGTCAGGTACTGATGTTGGATGATCAGCTCTGGATCGCTCCAACTCATCCCAGAGGTACTGGATGGAGCTCCATCACTCCTGTGAACACAGTTCAGCTGCTCCACAGCCCAATGCTGGGGGCCTTTATACCCCTCTAGTTGACACTTGGCATTAGGCATGGTGACCTTAGGCCCATGTATGGCTTCTCCAGAGCATCCCATTCTGTTGGTCAGTGTTTTTCTATGGAGATCATACAAGCTTCATTTGCACAGTTGTTAGAATTTATGTAACTCAAACATAAACTATTAATTATATAAGCCAAAAAATGCTCACAAATAACATTTGTGCTTTAACTTTGCCTCTCACACCATCGTGTTGATCACAATAAGATAGGAAAATGTCATCCATCCTGCCCACCAGTGTGTGCACTCTTCTTGCCTGTGAAACACTGCAGCGTATGTGATCTCCCTCAGTTTGTTTATAAAGATCCGTCCCAAGGTGCCAGCATGCAAACTCACTCAGCTGTCTTCCTCTAGCAGATGGAACCAGAGAGGAAAGTCAGTCTGGATGCAATGGTCTGCTTTTATGGACTCAGATCAGGTCTAATGCTAAGAAACAATATACTGAGAATTTTTTGTTGAAGGTGTTCAGCTAGATGTAATGCTGAAAAGTGACCTCAGATCTATATCTCGGCTAAACGTCAGGCAATCAGCATTAACGATTAGTCAACCAACGTTTGAAGGAAACGTGTGGGATCTTAAGTGGACTGACAATTCCAGCAGGGGTTGTTAGACCATGAAAAAGTTGTTGCCAGGCAACGTGAAAGTGGAGCAGGACAGGGGAGGGAGTGTCCGACGGTACCCGTCTGTCATCTGCAGGGCAGGAAGTTGATCTTGTCCTGAAAGGCTGCTGATGTCAGCAGTGACGTGCCGGTCAGGACAGAGACAGGGGACGGACGCTCGCAGAAGGGACGAACAGTGCTGGACATGGGCCAAACCCTCTCACACTCACACACACACTTCTGCAGACAGCAACAGTCTGTGTGCGAGGGGGGAGGGGCAGGGGTGTGAAGGGCATACTAATTCAGCTCACCTTCCTCTGCCTGTGCAGTGCTCACCTGCCTCACTTTCCCATCGAAAGAGAAAGCTTTCTGTCCAACAGGGCTGCACATTATACGGCAGTTAGTTATACCTAAACAGTCTGATTCACTGAGAAGTGTTCTACTCAGCTTTTATTTGTGATAACAGCAATGAATTTCTACTGAGGAGGACTGCCATTCAGTAACACTAGAGGGCGTGCTTGAGCAAGTCTAGAACTAATGGGTTGCTATGGAGCTTTTTGTGCAAAATCGTGGTTTAAAAAAATATTTAAACACATCCTATTTTTTCACGCTTTTAAACTCCAGTTATAGGACTTTCTCATGCTCTCAATGCCAACCAGTCAGCACTGAATAGCAGTAATGCCAACCAATCAGCACTCAGTAGCAGTAATGCTAACCAATCAGCACTCAGTACCAGTAATGCTAATCAATCAGCACTTAGTGGCAGCAGTGCCAACCAATCAGCACTCAGTAGCGGTAATGCTAACCAATCGGCACTCAGTAACAGTAATGTTAACCACTCGGCACTCAGTAGCAGTAATGCCAACCAATCAGTGCTCAGTAGCAGTAATGCTAACCAAGCAGCTCTCAGTAGCAATATGGCTAACCATTCAGCACTCGGTATTGGTAATGCTAATCAATCAGCTCTCCATAGTAGTAATGCTAATCAATTACCACTCAGTAGCAGATATACTAGCATCCAATTGCCCAAAACCTTGTTGTTGTAAAAAATTGACAAATATTGTTAAGTTTTCATTGATATTTTATGGAATATATCTTTCTAATTTCAAAAATTATAGGAAGTTCCCACAAAAAAATAGAAACATTTAATTTCTTGGTTTTAGCTGTTCAGCTAAATTAACTACCATTCACTGAGCACTCACTCATGGGTGCACTCGTTTTGCATTCTTATTTATTTACATCATGGAAGGACTGGGTCTGAGAAGAGTATGATTTTTCACAACGACTACATCATTTCACTGAACACCGGTTGCTAAGTAATTACTTATTTTATGCTGCAGCTAACCATTACTAAGATTCTACTTCAGCACAAACAGAAACAGAAAATTGATACGTCAGGTAACTTCAGACTTTGAAAAACCACCTGCAGTATGCAGTACGTCTGTGCTTTAACTAGACAAAGGAAGCAAACCCACCTCAAGACCCGCAGGGAAGGCTGTTAGGGCTTCAACGTTTAACAAGTGCAATAGCATTTGGACAAATGATTTCCTTTCATTTTGCTGTCATGCATGAAACTAACAAGGCGGTTGTATCAGTGGTTTTGTATCAGTGGTTATGTCCTCCGCTGCATTTTGGGATGCAGTATATCACAAATATTGCTCTGCCCACGTACTGAAATATTTGGACGGAGTAGTACGTTGTTTGGAATGAAAACCCACTGGCCCTTTGTGGGTAAGATCAGACACCTCTGGTGGTGTCAGGTATTCCAAACGCATAAAATGTTGAGCATGTCGTTGATCCTAAGCAAGCTTTTTGATCCGTAGGTGTGACAAGAACAACTAAACCAACTGGAATCGGTCAGAAACAGAATACAGTTGAGCAAACAAGACGGGCTGTGAAATGCTTTACAGACTGTCTGGAACTAAACCTTCAGATTCGTCTGGAAAATATTGAAAAAGCTGAGCTGAACCTGATAATGCGTCAGTTTTTTGGACTAAGGAATTTCAGTACTGATATCTCAAAAGACAGTCTTTCAATGCATTTGTCACATTTACTTTGCTATATAAGAACCTGATCTAACAATCTGAAATTTATAGATTTATAATTTGTTTATGTAACAAAAATTTCACTGAGCGTGGCTTTTTAGATCTTCTGTAGTATTATTTATTGCTCAATTGCACTGTTTCATATCTTTGTGCGAAGGCACAAATCATATTGAATCTTGACCTCTGAGATTCTTTGAGAATCAAAAATTGTATTTTGTATCCTTAATATTTTAATTACCTCCTTTCATTCTTGTTTTTTCTGGTCTTTTCCTCTCTGAATACTCTCTCTGAAGTTCAATGGATCCAGTACAGTCCAGCCAAAGCTCATTCCTGGAAAGAAGCACAGGAGCTATAGGGCTCCTACCATCCCCAGTGTCCAACCTGCCATCCCTGACCTCCCCCATGGAGAAGGTTGGAAACCCTCCAGGTTTAGGCACTGCTCAGCTGTCTGATTCATCCCAACTGGATCGGGAAGGCCCAGGGTCTAAGGCTTTTGTTGCTGGTTCTGTTAGCATCAGTCGACCCAGGCCTACTGTTAAACCTTCCAGAACTGTGGACCCTCCTGCAATTTTGCCCTTAACTCCAGTTGCAACTATTCCTTCACCGCTGTCCCATTCCCCTACAGAGCCACCCCAGCCTCACCTCAGCCCACAGAGCCCCCATAACACCCAGCTTAGCCCCAGTTCTGTACGCAAAACTGTAGCTTTCCCTAACCCTCCAGCACAGCACAGCCGCATTACTCAGCACACTCCAAACACACACCCCAGCCTTATCCCTAAACCCAACCAAAACCACAGCACCCAGTCCAGCCCTGTTCCCAAACCCGGCCAAAGTCCAGAGCCCACTGTGACGAGCCCCAGCAGCACAGCAGACAACAGGCTTCCGCTCAAGAAGCCGAGCACTGAGGATGAAGGCTTTAGGTGAGACTTTCTCTTTTTACAGCTCATAAATATTTACAGCTTTTCTATCACTTTCTGAATGTGTTGCCATAGCAATCATTTTGTGTTGTGTCAAAAGAATGTCTTTCGCTGTAGTGTATTTGTATTAGAAATGGCATGAGCCCTTTTCAGCCCTGCGATGGACTGGCGACCTGTCCAGGGTGTATCCTGCCTTCCGCCCAATGACAGCTGGGATAGGCTCCAGCACCCCACCGCAACCCAGAAGGATAAGCGGTTTTTAGATGATGTATGTATGTATGTATGAGCCCTTTTCATTGGAGGAGCTATTAAGAACTCTCTTAGAGGTTCATGTGAGGATTTTTTGATGGTAAGGCAGATTTACACTCTGATTTTTGCCACGATAATGCTATCACCAATCATGAAAGAATTCTTTGATTAAAATCAGTGGTCTTAGACTGGCTTTACACTTTATGCAGTTTCCATGCAACTTGAAAGTTTCACAAGCCAGTTCAAAAACAATCAATGTTGCATGCAGCACATACTCCACTAGTCACTAGCCAGATTAGCAGCTCATATTTTTGATACACTGTAACATTCTCACTATAATGTGTAACTTACATATTTGCAGCATTTTTTATAATCTTTGTATATTTTTTTCAGCTGTCACTGCCATTCTGCTTTCTGTATCTATACATCTTTTCTATACACACTATATGGATACAAGTATTGGAACACCTACACATTACACCTACTGGAGCTTATATGACATCCCATTCTCATTCCGTAGGCATTAATATGAAGTTGGTCCCCCTTTGCAGCTACAACAGCTTCCACTTTTCTGGGAAGCTTTCTACAAGATGTTGGAGTGTGTCTGTGGGAATTTTTGCCCATTCATCCAGAAGAGCATTTGTGAGGGCAGACACTGACGTTGGACGAGAGGGCCTGGCTCGCAATATCCATTCTGGTTCATCCAAAAAGTGTTTGATGGGGTTGAGGTCAGGGCTCTGTGAGGGCCAGTCAAGCTCTTCCACACCAAACTCACCCAGCCATGCCTTTTTGGAGCTTGCTTTGTGCACTGGGGCAGAGTCATGCTGGAACAGAAAAGGACCTTCCCCAAACTCTTCTACCGGTTAGCAAAGGGTCTGGCTGAAACACCTGAACTCAACTTTTTAAAACTTTTGCACAAGCCACAATTAGTGTTTTTTCAAGCTAATAAACAGTGATTGTGCATTAAAATGTGCAGACATATTCTCTCTGTAGAGGATATGAACTTATTTTCACTTAGAAAATTAACAAAATGTCATATGACCAGGAGCACCCAGACTTTTGCATACCACGTGAAAGATTTCGGCTTAACGGCCCATACTGATATAAAATTTCCCGTAGAGATGCAATTTAACTGAAGTATTTTTACTTATCCAAGTATCTGATTTTTTCTTAAAGATGATCCACCAGATTATCATAAAATATCATCTTGTCCAAATACAAATCAGATCAGGTTACAAAGCCAGAAATCTAGTTTGTATCTGATAGGAACAGTTTAACCTGCTCTGTAAATGGAGCCTGTGAGTTTTGGGCTGTGCTGTTTTGGGACACGGCGTCTCTGGGGCGCGCGCCTCAGCGGAGGGTAGAGTGATTAGAGCGGAGACTGTCTGATTTCACACATCAGCTCTGCAGATCTCCGCTCTGTCTCTGAGTGACAGAACGGGTTTGGAGCTTTGTGGCCGCGCTGCCTGCTCCAGATTTCACACGGCATTCTGTGCTCCGTCATCCCAAACTCCTCTGCCAGGCGCGTGACGAGGAGCCCTGATGATATTTACTGTGATCATGCATCTGCTCATCTCCATGCCAGGAGTACTGTGGACGTGTTACGAGATCTGTTGATTACAAGCGTTCTACAGTACAATCTTTATTATTCCTATGACACAATGCACACTAGTTCATGGCCAACTTCCAAACATTTTCCTGGAAACCTAAAAGTAAAACTAGCCATGGAACAAAACTAGACTGCTCAAAAAACCCATATATCCACAGTTGCACTGCCATTACTGCCAGTGCATATATATTATAGCTTTCGTTTTGATACATGGTGTATATTATGGTATTTTGAGCACAAAACAATTATTGAGGAACTATAATGTGGTTCTCTTATTAATGCTGTTGTTCTCATGTTAATCAAGTAGTTCTTGTTAATGATGTGGTGTTATTCTTCTTAATTATGTGTTAATTAATTACAATTAATTACATTTCTTGTTAATGGCATGGTTCTCTCATTAATTTTGTAGTGCTCTCGTCAGTGTTGTGGTTCTCTTGGTATTGGCATGGTTCTCACATTAAGTGAGTTTACATGCACTTTATAATCCGATAACTGCAGAAAATTTGATTTTGTCAGTGATCCGATCAACACGTTTACATGCACTTGAGTAATCAGATAATGGGAAACTCTACATGAGTCTACATGAGTCAGAAGAACTCATAGAAGAACATAAACGTAATGTAAAACTCAAACTTCATGCTGCGTTTTTTTTAAACATCGCACCACTTTACCTGAAAATATGAACATACATCATTTAGAAGATGAAGAATATTTAAATCCTTTATTTCATGTTTGGTTTCAGTGCCTCCCCAGTACATCCACCATCGGATTTCTTAATCGGATTTCTAAATCGGAGTATGGTGTTTACATGACCATTTGAATAATCGGATAACTGCAGAAATCTGGTTATGATCGGATTATTGAGTGCATGTATACGCGCTCATTGATTATGTTGTGCCCCTTTCAGTGGTGTGGTTCTCTTGATGATGGCATGGTTCTCTCATTAATTATCTGGTTTTCTTGTTAATGCCTTTGTTCTCTCTTTAATGTTTACTCATTAATTACATTTTCATTTTTATTGGCATGGCTCTCTCATTAATGGCAGGGTTCTTTCATTAATAGCATGGTTCTCTCATTAATTACATGGTTCTGCTGTTAATGGCATGGTTCTTTTTGTAATGGCATGATTCTCTTGTTAACGGGCATAGTTTGCTTGTTACTGGCAGGACTCTCTCATTAATGACATGGTTCTCTTATCAATTTCACATTATTAATGATGAGGTTTATTAATTATTAATGCCGTGGTTCTTATTATTGATGAGGTTTTCTTATTAATGGCATGGCTCTCATTAATGTCATGGTTCTCTTATTAATGTTGTGATTATCCCATTAATGATGCGTTTTTTGTTAATTCCATGGTTCTCGCAGTAATCATATGGTTCTCGTTAATGATGTAGTGCTCTCTTTAATGTTATGGTTCTTGTATAAGTAACATTTTGCTTATTGAGCCCCACATATATATAAACCATATGTTAACCATTTCACCCTTTTTTGGATAATTATTTTGTTTCCTGTTTTATTTTGTACAATCATTTACATTAAAAAGCCAAACTATGCTGTATTTAAATTTTGGTTACCCCTTTATTTTAAATACAGGGCATCAAACAGTGCCATACCATGCTTATGATTTTTTTTAAAAAATGTCACGTTTGTTGTTTTTCCTTTGAAGAGCTCAATTAATAACAATATTCTTTCATTAATGTTGTGTTTATCATTAATGACAGGGTTCTTTTGTTAATGTTCTGATGTTCTTAGGTTCTGATGTTAATTATAACATGTTCTCTTCTCACATGTTTGCTTGCTAATGCTGTAGTTCTAATTTTTAATGACGTGGTTCGAGAGAGTTCTCTCGTTAATGACTTGGTTCTGTTTTTAATGCTGTGGTTGTCTTGTTAATGTCATCGTTCTCTCGTTAATGTTGTGGCTCTCTTGCTAATGACATGCTTTTCTTGTTAATGATTGGGTTCTCTCATTGCCAGGGTGTACATTGTCACATGGAACGTTGGCGCAGCGATGCCACCTGATGACATCAGCGCCTTGTTCGGCCCTCGGGTCAGCGACGGGAGCACTGACATGTTTATCGTTGGGTAAGATGCATCATTTTTTCTCTACATGGTGAAACTACTGTGCAGCAGGCATGTCCAAACCTGCGCCTGGAAGCCTCTGATCCATGTGAAGATGCTCCAGTGCTAATTTAACATACTTCTAATTCTAAGATGCTCTTAAAGACTTTAATTGGCTGGAGCAGGTGCAGTATTTGGAAAGGTTGGAACTGAAATCTCCAGGGTAGAAGAGCCCTTAAGGAACAGGTTTGGGCACATCTGATGATGGAACTGGTATTTCCATGTACTTGTTTATTTCTTGTCTCACTTTAAATCCCTTCTGTCTCTCTTGTTTTTTGTCTTCATCTGTCCTCCCACAGGTTTCAGGAGGTGAACTCCATGATCAATAAAAGGCTGAAAGATGCCCTCTTTACAGACCAGTGGAGTGAGCTGTGCATGGACACTCTTAGTCGCTTTGGATATGTTCTGGTCAGTGTGGTGCTGCTTCTAAGTAGAACTGGGGTGAAATGGAATTAATTGCATTGTCATTGCTGTGCATTAGTTCCTATTGTGTAACACAGTTGTCACCAACCCTTACTTTGGGAGATATCTTTTATTGCAGAGTTTAGTTCTGCTAAACCTGATCCATCGAAACAGACCTTGATTGGTAGGATAAGATGTATTAGGTCCAGGGGCTAAATTCGAATTTGGGAGGTAGTGTAGACCTTGAGTGAGCAAAGGAGGAAATTGTGACTCTATAGGCCAAGCCAAGCCAGTTAGCTCCAGTTACATGTAATCTGACAAATTTGGAAGTTATGAAGATGAGTTAAAGATAAGCTCATTGAATATGTAATTAAAATTTTGGTTAGACTGACATACAATAAATTCAGCTTATGTTTTATTCAACTTCTGCAGACTATGCTCCACACAAACAGGCCGCACACTGCAGGAAATGAATGGAACAGTGTCTGTCAAAGACTTTATTTTTCCCTATGGAACATAATTGGCCCTTATTTATTGTGCAAAGCTTATGTCTGCATATTTCAATAGTAAAGACATAACGTTATTTGAAGCAATTTAAAACAAAAAAGACCATTCTATAGAAACTTTCAGAATTTTTACAGTGGTGGTGATAGGAACCAGACATCCCAAGAGTTTAATGCCTCTCCAAGAGTAAAAGCTCCCTCACAGGACATTATTACATGAAATGGTTATGAATATGCTGTGTGATGTTTGAGGCACTGTTTTATTATGGTTTTGAGATGGTTTTGGCCTAAAACATAATTTTAAAAATACATTAATGGAGGAGGGATACATGCAGGGTGTTGTGAGGCAAAATAGTCCTCAAAGAAAACATTCTTTTTAAGATTTATCACTATTTTACTATCATCAGCACTACATATAAAAACACAGAAGAGACATTTTGTGTAGTAAATAAAATGGCTATATTTCTATTGTAAACAATGCAACCCCTGGTTTCTGTCACCCCCAAGTCAGAGAGGTTCTCTAGCAAACCACTCTAAATGACTTTGTTTACATGTTAATCTTTGAATTACAGAAAATTAAAGAAAAACTTTTTCCAAGTTATGTAGATGCTGCACCTGGTTACATATGGGTTGAAACTGAACTCTGTAAGAAGGGAGCTTTACTGAAGAAGAGTTAACAATCACTGCTGCAGCACAAACTGGCTGTGTAATTGGTCTGTAAGTCGAGTTCCTGCTCTGACCTGCAGGTGGCGTCACAGAGGATGCAGGGGGTTCTGCTGCTGGTGTTCTCCAAGTTCTGCCACCTGCCATTCCTGCGTGGGGTCCAAACACAGAGCACTCGCACGGGTCTCGGCGGATACTGGGTGAGTCAGCAGCAGACTGCACAGTGGGTGGGAGGGAGATCAGCACACTTAAATTCAATCACTACTCCTCCGCTTGTGGCTGCGCTCCACTGACACTTTTGATGTTTAACATCAGAGATGTGCGTAAGGCAGCGATGGCTGGGTTTAGGGGGATCTTTGATGATCAGATGAAAAATGAGTCAAAGAAAAAGAGAGGTTACGCTGGGTGTACGTTGATGTACATGTGTGGCGGGGTGGGGAAAGGTTGTACTATACATTTTCTAGAACAAAAAAAAAAACTTTTTGAGAAAAACAGAAAACAAGGGTGAACTACCGGACCAAAGAGTCCTCACTTGATTTTAACAAAACCTTCATGTTTCACTTTTTATGACCAAGTGCAAAAGGATTTCTTTTGGTTTTAGGGTTAGGAACAGGTTTGAGATTAGACTTAGAATATTCTCATTATATTTAGATGCCTGAATGTATAATACATAGGGGGCATTTATTATTCCATATAGGTACTTACAAGCATTGTGTTACAGGGAAGTTACTGTAATACAGTAAGGAGAGTTTGTTGGTTTATTTTAAGTTTAGTGCAAGGTCCGCATGTCTGGTTGTCCTGGTTTTGATGGCCCTGAATCTTCTACCACACGGAAGTGACTGAAAGAGGTGATGTCCAGGATGACAGTGGTAAGCTGTAATCTTGCCAGCACGTTTTATGACCGTGCTGTTGTAGATGTCCTGAAGTGTTAGCAGATTACATCAGATGATCCTCGCCGCTGTCCTGCTATTGCGCTGGAGTTTGGCTTATGCTTTGGTGGGGCCTAGGAAGTTGGGTGATCCCACAGAGGAAATATTTGCATATATAATACGTCTGGAACATGTTATTTTTACATGTAGATACATACATTTGTAAAATACACATTACTGTAACATATACATTATATGGACGAAAGTATTGGGACACACCTCAATCATTGAATTCAGGTGTTTAATTCAGTCTCATTGCCAAAGGTGTAAAAATCAAGCACCTAGCCATGCAGTCTTCCTTTACAAACATTTGTGAAAGAATGGGTCGTTCTAAAGAGCTCACTGAACTCAAGTGTGATGCTGTAATAGGATGCCACCGTTGCAACAAGTCATTTTGTGAAATTTCTTTCCTCCTAGACATTCCACGAATGACTAGAATATCTTGGAGGGACGAAAGAGTGGTATTATTGAAAAGTGAAAGTGTTTAGAATGCACAGCAACTCAGCCACAAAGTGTCAAACCACGTAAAGTTACAGAGCAGGTCGCCAAGTGCTGAGGTGCATAGTGCGTAAAAGTCACCAACGCTCTGCTGACTCAATAACCGCAGAGTTCAAATCTCCTCGGGAATCAGCATCAGCACAAAAACTGTCTGCCGGGAGCTTCATGGCATGGGTTTCCATGGCTGAGCAGCTACATGCAAGCCTTACATCACCAAGCACAATGTCAAGATAGAGTGGTGTAAAGCACACCACCACTGGACTGCGGAGCTTCTCTATCTGGCGGTGTGATGGACGAGTCTAGGTTTAGCGAATGCCAGGAGAACATTACCTGCCTGACTGCATTGTGCCAACTGTAAAGTTTGGTGGAGGAGGGATAATGATATGGGGTTGTTTTTTAGGGGTTGGCCTAGACCCCTTAGTTACAGCGAGGGAAAATCTTAATGCTTCAGCAGACCAAGACATTTTGGACAATTGTATGCTTTCAACTTTGTGGGAACAGTTTGGGGAAGGTCCTTTTCTGTCCCAGCATGACTGAGCCCCAGTGCACAAAGCAAGGTCCATAAAGGCATGGCTGGGTGAGTTTGGTGTGAAAGAACCTGACTGGCCCACACAGAGCCCTGACCTCAACCCCATCAATCACCTTTGGGATGCATTGGAACGGAGATTACGAGCCAGGCCCTCTCATCCAACATCGGTGTCTGACCTCACAAATGCTCTTCTGGATGAATGGGCAAAAATTCCCACAGACACACTCCAACATCTTGTAGAAAGCTTCCCAGAAAAGTGGAAGCTGTTATAACTGCAAAAAAGGGACCAACTTTATATTAATGCCTGTGAATTTACAATGGGATGTCATAAAAGCTCCAGCAGGTGTAATGTGTAGGTGTCCTCTTACTTTTGTCCATATAATATAGGTACTTATGTATAATACATATGATGCATATTATTACATGTAGATATTTACATATAATCGCTGTTTGAACAAAACTCTGTATCTCCAAAAACTTTACAGAAACATAACTTGTAATGGAAGTTAATATAACAAGATTTTTATTTCCAAGTAATTTTGGATTGTTTCTATTGGTTCATTCATCATGACATTTTAACCTAAGGCAAAGGGTAACTAGGCTTTTCAAATTATGCAAAATAAAAATAAATAAGGTTACATGTATGAGCATGGTATTATTTATAGGTTTGTATAGGTACATACATACATATAATACATTTTATACATGTGTGTATGTGTGTGTGTACTGGGCATATTATTTTTGATCGCTTTGTTTTGTCTTTTTTGCTACATATAGGTACTTACATTAATAATGGTTATGGTCTATTTTATTATTATATATAGATACTTACATATGCGTGTGTGTTTGTCCTGCATGCTGGTGTGATCATGGCTTTAGGGTTGTACTGCAGTCTCCTTTAAGCTGGGTGCAGTAGGACACAGCAGCTCTGTCTGCGCACACACACTCGCACACACACACACACACACACACCAGCAGTACTCTTCCTCCCTCTGATACATTAGAATGAACATTTGGTCACCACTAATACCACACACATAAGAGTTTAGAGAGGAGGCTTTTTCCTGCACTAACATCCATACAGAGTGCTGAAGACATATTTATTCTATATATGTTTCTCTCATTTCCCTTTCATTCCTCTGACAGGGTTTAACACCACAAATATCATATGGCAGAGCAAGCATTGCTTTGAATGCATGTAACTCAGACTGCCACACTGCAGAGCTGCAGAATGTGCTGGAGCAGAAGTAACTGTCACTACAGTGAAACGCTGTGCTGATTCTGGATCAGCTGAATTGCTACAGGGCAGCTACAGTTGGAACTTGCAATGAGTTGACACTATTACTGCATTATCAGCTACAAGACACCATAGGGCCTGCAGCTGTTTAATGGTTGTGGCTGTTATGACTACTACAGAATAATTTTAATATATAAAATATTTGATATTTTTATTTTATTTAGCATTTTACATCATGTAAAACATTGCTTGAACATTCCATGATGACTGGGTCAATAGAAATGGTCAAAATTGACTTGGAATAAAATCTCGCTATATTACCATGCAGTACCATGCAACAGTTTTTGCACCATCTGAGGAAATTATATGTAAATCTGGGCAGTAAGCATTTATTTTTTAAAACACTTTGCTGCACTAAATCCATTTAAGCAGGACTATTCTTTTGTTTTTGTAATGAAACTTGCTGTTATTTAGAGTTTATAAAGTATTAACAATATCCATAATATGCTCAGAAAAGCATGTTAATATCGACATATTAATCATCCCTAGCTGGAGTTCAGCAAGAAGTCAACCTAACCAAACCTATATTCTTCTAACTATAGTGTTCCAATCAACATTATAAACGAACAATTGTCAGACATTTTTACTTCAGTAAAGTCACCATGTCAGAGATATGAGGTTCTCTTACAACAACAATGATACATTAAGATTGAATAGTGCAATATTATAGGAATTATTAAGCTTAAACAATAAACATATTCTGTTTAGGAAACAAAAAAGGGCAGCCCTGTTCAGCTGAGCGTGACTGGCATTGGCAGTGTTGAGTTGGCATGCCCGAGGGAATACATTTGTTTTCTTTCCTGTTTTGCAGCATTAGTGCTGCCACATCACTCCTGCCACCACAACAGCTCCTGTATTATTAAAAACAAGCCATTAGACTCTAACCTCTCACGATCTCACTGTCTGTATCACTCTCACCCTCATCTCTTTGTCCTTATCTCTCTCTCTCTCTCTCTCTCTCTCTCTCTCTCTGTCTCTCTCTCTCTCTCTCTCTCTCTCTCTCTCTCTCTCAGGGGAACAAGGGTGGTGTGAGTGCACGGATGATGGTGTTCGGTCACCCTGTGTGTTTTCTGAACTGCCACCTGCCGGCCCACATGCGGAACTTGGAGCAGCGTGTGGAGGACTTTGAGAGCATCTTGCAGCAGCAGCAGTTTGAGGGCGGAGCAGCAGTGGGCGTGCTGGACCACGAGTGGGTACCTGAAAGAGCGGAGCAGAATGACATGGCATGATTTTATGCTGCCTATGGATGATAAGTGTTTTTGCTTTGCTCAGGTTAAAGCAGTGGCACATCATCAAGATGTACATGCTGTGTTTTGTCTCGCTGGTTGCGCTTTAAAAGTGTATTTGAAAAATTGAATTTGAATAAACTCAGAGTGCAGCAATAAGGCATCAGATCTGAGCAATGTGCAACATTCAAGGAGTCGCCGCTAGATAAAGCAGCACTGCTCACTAAATAGGAAACACAATGGCCTTGCTGATAGGAAGCAGTTTTGCCACTCATCATCTGTAGGCAGCCTTATGGTGCGTTTAGACCAGGGCTGTCCAGTCTTGGCCGTAAGGGGCCGGTGTTGCTGCAGGTTTTCATTCCAACAACAGAGGAGCACAAATGATCAGTGAGACTAAATGAATAAACAAGTAGAATCAGCTTGTTTGGAGTGAAAACCTCCAGCCACACTGGCCCTTTGTGGATAAGCATGCCTAGTTTCGACAATCTTTATAAACTAATGAATTTTCTAATTTACTACAGGGGTGTGGCAGTCCAGCAGCTGAGAAAGTCAAGAATATAATATTGGCCTACTATGGATTTTTTGTGTTTAATTTACAGTATAGTAATAGTCATTAGTTGGCTAAGGAGGTAGGCTAGCATTGTTTGTTAAAAGGCTACAGTGAATTACACCAGTAACAGAGTGAAAAATGCCTGTGGCTAAGTTAAATCTGCTGGTGGCAGAGTGGAACATCCATTTGTAAACTGTACTTAGGTTCAAGTGACTTAAAGTCGTAAATTACTCAATAGGCACTTCAGTACACAAGCTAGGAAAAATGTCTGGAAATGAAACAGGAGGTAACATTAGCATCCAGACCTTACCCATCTAGGCTACCAACATAGCATGCTAGAAATAGGGTATAAATAGCTTGGCTATGAACAACTAACAGTCCATCAACCTGGTTCCTAAGCATCATTAGCAAGCTTAATATTTGCTATTGAGAATATGATCTAGTCTAAAGTAACATCCTCTGATAGTAAAATGTGCTGCACATGTACTGCTACTAACTGTTAAATTCCTCCTTATAACATCATTGCCGTTGTCTTTTGAGAAAGAAAATAGTGACTGGAACCTTAAAACAGTTCATTTATGAAACATGATTCTAATTGTTTTTTATGTTGGAAGTGCAAGCACGATGCATTTTGGCAGCTTGTCAGTCAATTTAGCCATGCCCTGATTATGTCTCTGCATATAACTTAAATCAGCGTACAACTTTTTGGAGGTGTGCTGGTAAAAGCACATTACATTTGGCTCAAAAATAATTAAAGTAACACATAATATACAACCCCAATTCCAAAAACGTCAGGACGCTGTGTAAAATAAAGTAAATAAATGTAAATAAAAAAGGCTGGAAAAGTAAGTGGTACTAATAAAAAACAGCTGGAGGAGCAATTTGCAACTAACTCACTTGACTACGTATAGAAAGATTTTAGAGAGTCTCTGAGAGAGTCTCTCGGAGTCTCTGAGAGAGTCTCTCAGAGGCAAAGATGGGCAGAGGTTCACCATTCGTGAAAAACTGCATCTAAAAATTGTTTAACAATTTCAGAAAAATGTTCCTCAACATAAAATTGCGAAGACTTTGGATATCCCACCATCTACAGTGCATAATATCATCAAAAGATTCAGAGAATCTGGAGAAATCCCTGTATGCAAGGGACAAGGCCAACGGTCAACATCTCCGGGGCCACAAGCGGCACTGCATTGAAAGCAGACATGATTTTATACTGGAAATCACTGCATGACTCAGGAACACTTCCAGAAATCATTGTATGTGAACACAGTTTGCCGTACAATACTGTATCATGCAAAGAAGAAGCCATATGTCAACACAATCCAGAAACGCCGCCATCTTCTCTGGGCCAAAGCTCATTTAAAATGGAGGCAAAATATAAAACTGTTTTGTGGTCAGATTAATTAAAATTTGAAATTCTTTTTGGAAAGCATGGACGCCGTGTCAAGAGGAGAGGGACCATCCAGCTTGTTATCAGCGCACATTTCAAAAGCCTGCGTCTCCGATGGTATGGGGTTGCATTAGTGCCTATGGCGTGGGCAGCTTACACATCTAGAAAGGCACTATCAATGCTGAACAGTATATAGAGGTTTTAGAGCAACATATGCTCCCATCCAGACAACGTCTCTTTCAGGGAAAGCCTTGCATATTTCAGCAAGACAATGCTAAACCACATACTGCATCCATCACAATAGAATGGCTTTGCAGAAGAAGAGTCCAGGTGCTGAACTGGCCTGCCTGCGGTCCAGACCTTTCACCAATAGAAAATATTGTTGAACAGCTAGAATTCTACATCAGACAAGAATAGGACAACATTCCTCTCCCAAGACTCCTGCAGTTGGTCTCCTCACTTCCCAGACGTTTACAGACTGGTGTTAAAAGAAGAGGGGATGTTACACAATGGTAGACATGGCTCTGTCCCAATATTTTTGAGATGTGTTGCTGCCCTCAAGTTCTAAATGAGTTAATGTTTCTCATGAAATGGTAAAATGTTTCACTTTCAACATCTGATATGTGTTCTGTGTTTTATTGTGACTAAAATATGGGTCTATGAGAATGGTAAATCATGTATTGTTTTATCTACATTTATTTACATTTTACACAGCGTCTCAACTTTTTTTGGAATTGTGATTGTAGATCATTTTAATGTGATGTACCTATTTTTTCTTCAATTTTCATTTATTTTGCTGCTGACAGTGAGATCAGTTCTCTAAATGTTATAAAAAATCAATAAATTACATGCTAATATATTTTTAAATATTATTTTTCATTGTTACCCAGATTAGTGTGCTTTGATAACCTCTTTAATAAGATATCAGAATAATGCACTGACAGCAAAACCTGATCTAACATTTGCTTCATAATATGTTGTTTTTTTCTGCAGTGTAGTGTTCTGGTTTGGTGACCTGAACTTTCGCATTGAGGACTATGATATCCATGTGGTGAAGAGCGCCATAGAGAACAATAAACTGCCCCTGCTCTGGGAGAGAGATCAGGTGAGTCTTTTATGGGCCTCAGGTTTCAGGAGGAGCCTATTTTAGACCAGAAGAGTATACAGTTACAGGTGTTTCTTTGTAGACCCAGGAAAGGTAACCCTCCCTTTGGACACCTGGAAGATTTTGTTCGTATTGCAGTCTACCAAATAATGCAGGACCTATCTATCCTTTACAACAGTCATTGCGGTTCCAGATACTGTCACAAGAGGCTGCTGTATCACCACTTTAATCAGTGTGTTTTAATCCAGATTCTTAAGTGATGTATGAGTGTGGGATGGAGAACATCAGTTAGTGCTAAAACACTACCTGTTCGGATGCTTGGTTATTATAATTATTTTTCCATCTTCAGCTCAACATTGCGAAGAACAGTGAGTCTATTCTGGATGGATTTATGGAAGGAACACTTAACTTTCCTCCAACCTACAAGTTTGATGTGGGAACACACACATATGACACAAGGTTTGTGTGTTTTCACTTTATTACTATAACACCTTTCATACATTAAAATGCATCTCAAAAAAGTGCTTTATAATTAGAAAGGCAAATAAAAGCCAGCATAAGAAAAGAGAAGCAGAAAACAGAGAAAACATTGAAGAAAAGAAAGGAAATCAAAAATGTAAGTCTACAAAGTTCTTTAAAAATTAAAAATTCTAATTAAATATTCGAATAAATATTTGAATTTGAATATTTGAAATATTAGAGTAATTATAAATGTGTTAAACATTTTAAAATAAGATAATAATACAACTCTGTTTCCAAAAAAACAGAATGTAATGCTATGCAAATCATTAAAACCCCACATTTAATTGAAAATAGTACAAAGACAACATATCGCATGTTGAAACTGAGAAATATTATTATTTTTGAAAAATATATGCTTATTTATGCACAGTTCAAATGCCAGCATCCATGATGGTATGACAGGCCATTAGTGCACAAGGCACGGGTGCCTTGCACGTCTGTGAAGGCACCATTAATGCTGAATGATATATACAGGTTTTGGAGCAACATATGAAAAAAAAGACAAAGACGATCTTGAGCCGTTGATCAGCTGAAATCCTGTATCAAGCAAGAACAGGAAAACATTTCACTTTCAAAATTACAGCATTTGGTCTTCTCAGTTCCTAAACACTTACAGTGTCAAAAGAAGAGGTGATGCAACACAGTGGTAAACATGTCCCTTTTTTAAAATGTGTTGCTGGCATCAAATTCAAAGTGGGCATATATTTTTCAAAAAAAACAAAAAATCCTCAATTTTATATGTTGCCTTTGTACAATTTTCAAGAAATTACAGGGTTTAACTGATTTGTACATCATTCCATTCTGTTCTTATTTACATTTTGCACAGTGTCCCAACTTTTTTGGAATTAAGGTTGTATAAATATAAAAGATAAGATAATAATGATAAGACACAACAAGAAATTGTAGCACATAATAAAAAAAAATTAAATAAGTAAAATAAGGTAAGACTTAATAAGGTAATAGCTGCCAAAGTCAAATGTTACCATACATAAAACAAGACAAAAGCAAAAAAAATATAAAAATATGTGTTTGAAGCTGCTTTTTAAAACTGCTAACTGAAGATGTTTGCCATATGTCTTGTGGGAGTGAGTTGCACAGTTTGGGAGCGTAAATAATGGCCCCATCACTTTTTCTCTTTGTGTGATAACTGAAGTGACTGTGAAATTATAACTTTAAACAATTATTGGAGAGGTGGACTTGGGAGACTAGTAGTTGGAATATCAGGAATGACATTAAGGAGTTAGTACATCCAAGGCAACTTGGTGTGTCAATCTTATATATACTGTAGATTGAGTTAGAAGAATAGTTTGGCAAAAAATCTAATTTACGTAATTGCCCCCCTTACCTCAGATGTAGTCGATCAGCAGGGACATATTTGGTGTCCAAATTTTGCTTCTTTAAACTGCTCTTTAGTTTACAACTGGCACTATGAGGCTAATGATGCTAGCAAACATGAGAAGTCAGTAGTCACCCAAAGCTTTTCTGTGAATGCATCCGTAAAATATCTCTCATACGCGTCTTCATTAAGGTCACACAGACTTGTCGTTGTGGTTTAGGGCACAAAATGACTTACTGTAAGCTATAAAAACTGAACTGTGGGCAGCCATTTCAGACAGCACCAGGGCTACTATTCACAAAGCGAATGTAAACTAGAGGACTGATGTTGGATCACATTTCTCTGTGTTTATGACAGTTATTTCACAAAAACTGATTCTAGATCAGCACTTTGACTCCTGAGGCGGTTTTGTGAGTACAGACCTTGTTGTCTAAAAAGGCTGCTTGCAGTGTTCTGCTACACAGTGAAGATTTGATCTTTGTAGGTATAATTTTTTTATTTCACATAAAGTCATACACTGTCTTCAACCATATTGGTAAGACTTCGTAATCTTAACGAAGACCAAGATACAGTTTGAATGGGTTGGGAAAGGTTTCTGTAATATTTTTTTATGGAAACAATTTAGATTATTTTCACTATTGAGTTCTAGTGTTTGTCAGCAACATTAGCCTTACAGCTCTGGTTGTAAACTGAAGAAGCAAAATTTGAACACCAAACATGTCTTGGCTGATTGACTACCTCTAGGGTAATCTGAAAATTGTGTAAATTTGATTTAATGCCAAACTGTACTTTTAAAATACTGACAGCAGAGGTCTTAGGTAATATAATATGACATCAAACCAACGGGGATAGAAAAGAGGAGTGATAGTTTTACAGAGGGAGTGATTTATGTTTTTTGTTTTTGACCAGGGGAATGGCTTCCGCTTGCATCCCCTTTAAAATCAAGTCCTGACTGTCCTACATGATGTATCTTTCAGTCTCTAATTTTTCTCCCCACTTCTGTCTCTCTTTAGTGCTAAGAAGCGGAAGCCTGCTTGGACAGATCGTATCCTGTGGCGTCTCCGAAGGACAGGTTCCCCCGTGCCGTCCCACAGCGCCGCGCTGCAGCGGGGCCTAACCTCATGGCTGGGCGGAGCTACGAGAGTGACGCAGCACTTTTACCGCAGTCACATGGGCTTCACCATCAGTGACCACAAGCCTGTGTCCGCGATTTTCTCTCTGCATGTGAGTCAGTGGCCCCTGAAAGCAGGACAGAGCCTCAGACGTTGACGTCTATGTGGAAAAATGCTGAAGCCAGATGTTTCCGGCATCTCTAAAGCCTCTTCCTCTCACTGCAGTTTCCCTTTAAGGTCGATTTGCCCTTAGTCCAGTTGGAGGTCGAGAAAGAGTGGACCAAAGTATCTGATGCTACAGCCCGGTTCACCATAACATCTGGCTTCCAGAGGAGCACGTGGGATTGGGTGGGGCTGTACAAGGTAAGAAGTGGCTATGTATTTAGACCCTGAGGTCCAGAAAATGGCTATTGTTTTCATTTCTTCTTGTTGACGTATAGTTTGCTTTTATGGTTTTCAATCAGGTGGGATTCAAACACCACAAGGATTATGCAGCCTATGTATGGGCCAAATCGGACCATTCGACTCAGGTGGGACATAGTGTACAATAAACTCAAAATGCACCCAAACAAACGACTCACTGTGTTGAGCTTACTCTAAAGACCTTATGATGCTGGAACCACCAAGCTCCATTGTCTACTTTGCATAATCCAACTGATTTTCTATATCCTTTAATAATGCTTATTGTTTGCCTTCAGGTGACATTTCCAGAAGAGGATTTGCCTAGAGATGCAGGGGAGTACATTCTGGGCTACTACAGCAACAATATGAACAGCATTGTGGGAATTACGGAGCCGTTCCAGGTCAAGCCTCTGAACAAAATTCAATAAACACATGTGAATACATGTCAAAGACTTTAGTCTTAAGGTCTTTAATTATTCGTCCACACAAAGTTCTTTCTAAGCAACTGCAGTGAGGTTAGACAAGCTTTACAAAATACTGGCCTACTAAATCAAATTAATTGAGGTTGGAGTTTAGAGCCGCTACATATTGTTGACATTGCATTTTAAAATGCTACAGTACCAAGCTAGACTGTAGAGCCGTTGTTGTAGCTAATCAAAATTAAACAGGTTGGATACAATGAATTTGCAGTCATGGTAATGTTGGGATGATTATACAACAACAGCAACATCAAAAAAATCTATTGTAACAGAATAAAAGCATACAAAATAAGCATCATTTTAAAATCAATAACCCACTTCATAAAGTTCGTGAAAAAACTTAGTACCATGGAAAAATTCAGTGACCACTTTTTATTTAATTTCCAGTTCAGCATATAAACGTTTAACTGAAGATTACACAGCCTTAATAACTAAATATATAATTTTTTTCAGCATTTAATATGTCCACTTTATGCCTTTATTAAAGCTTCCATTCTTTTCAGGAGACTCATTTTCAGTTTTTCAAACAAATCTGGAGGGATATTTTTTTACACCTCAAAGTTCAGTCTTAGAAGTTGGTTGAATTTTTTACTTCCCACAATTCAAGTAATCCCAAACACATTCAGTGATGTTGAGGTCTGGACTCTGGGGTGGTCAGTCCATTGTTCATCTTCTTTGTTTGATGTGTCTGTCTCCTTTTCTCAGTGAAGCTTCTTAGCAGGTACATATCCTTTTAGATGCTTATTTTTCTTTGACTTTCTGCTTTTCACCAGCATTCTGTAAAGCTAGCATACCAAGTCACAGTTGCTATGAGCGTGCATAGGTTAATTACTAACAATTGATATTAGCCCAGGGGCAAGAGCTTTTGGCTCTGGCCCAGCTCATCATACATCCACAGGTCCTAACTGCTGGCTGCTGCAATTGAGCCACTGAGCAACTTACTTAACCTCATTACTATAGGCGCCAGGCTCCTACTCTTGGCTAGTGAATGTTTTTGTGAGCAAAAGCTACAGCTAAATGTAAAATGCCACTGCTGAAGATTTCAGTATTATGCTTTAGGCTGCAGGTTGACAGAAAGTGTGATCCAGTGATGAGTGACAGCTGGTTATAAATCTCAGATACAGCATGTCTGCAGGCTGCAAGTGGAACGTGGAAGAATTTATACAGAAACATCTGCAGAATGAGCAACAGTGAAAAATGTGGTTACATGACCATTTTCCAAACCTCATCAGTTTAGCATTGTGTAACTGCAAGTATAAATCATCACTCAGCTCACACCGTGTTGAGTTGATAAGTAATCCCAATTGAACTGACACTATGGCATAGTGTTATTTATAAACAAGGACTTGAGTACTGACAGAGCCTTCAAGATAGCTGTTACTGCTGTTTATAGCTGTGCACTGTAATATTTTTGTCCATTTTTATACATCAGTGGTACTCAAGCTTGTCCTCAAGCCACCTAGACGGTCAACATTTTTGCTATATTGCAGCTCCCAAACCAGAGAAGAAAAATGTGGACTGTTTAAAGGGCTTTAAGAACCAGTTTGAGAATTACATTTAATTAATTAACTAATTAATTAGATAATTGAGGATTGATGTTAATCCACTTGAGACTGTTTTGGGAATATTTGTATTGATAATAATAAAAGGTAGAGTTTCACTGCATAGCATTACTGCCTCATCAGAATCTCATTTCATAACAGTTTCTTTTGTAAGGCCACAGGACACCTACATACACCTTTCATGACAACATGAAAGAAATGATCCAAAACTTTTTTTTATTATTCGGAATAAAATCTTGTTACTTCAATGTACAATAAAGTACAGTAAGGTTTTCAAAGAAAAAAAGATACATATGCAGAGTCTTTTTCTTGTTTTTCTCCCATTTCAACTAATTTCTCCTCTTCTTCTTCATCTCTCCTCCCTCCTGCAGGTCCAGTTGCCTGTGTGCACTCCTCCGGGTCCGGGGTGTCCCTCAGGCTCGGACAGTTCGGACGTCAGCTCGGAGGATGACAGCACTCTGGTCCTGCTGGGTCCCAGCTCACGCAGCCCCAGTCCTGGAACACGCTCCAGCAAACACCACCAACACCACCACCACCACCACAACCCGCGCCGCCAGCGCAGCCGCAGCCCAGCTGTTCCTGCCCTGTCCTCCACCCCGCTTCCGTCTCTGCAGTCACTCAGTCTGCGGCCCCGCGACGGAAACGCCCGCAGCACTTCACCTCGCCCCGCTGCTAATGCCAAGAAGGAGCGACTCATGTCTCCGGAAGCTCTCACCTCCCCCTCACTCAGCCCCCTGAGCCCCCGCAGCCCTATTTCACCTGGGAACGGGGTCAGTGCCCCAGAGGCGCTGGTTGTAGCCATCCTCGGAGAGCACCGGCCACCTCAAGGGCCAATTCCTGGGACTGGCACTGCAGCTAAAGCTGGAGACGTGAACCTATGATACCCTTTCCTGCACTGAAAAGTAATACATTGAATTTGCTCATTTCAAATGTGTTTATCATGTCCACATAAATAAAATATAATACAGCAACATCTTTATTAAAAAAACAAAAGTAAATAAAAACAAAACTGTGTAGCTAAAAAGGTTCAGTATATAGTACCAGAAAAGGTTCTAATGCAATAGCAGAACCTTTTAGTGCCGTTCTTAAATCATTCTTTTTTTTTTTTAATCTTTTGAAGATCTACAGTACTGTGCAAAAGTCAGAGACTTTAAATTTATTTTATTTCCAGCCAAACAGTCAAAAAATGACACAAAACACCAACAACTAAATATAATATCAGATTTATTTATCAGGGATATTTTTCCAAAGTTTCAGCTTAGAAGTTGGTTGGCTTTTCTGCTTCAGACATTCCAAGTAATGCCCATTACAAATTTAGACTCATCAATCTGTAAAACCTTGCTTCACATCTCAGAGGTCCAGTTTTAGTATTCTAGTGCAAGCATTCTTCTTTTTTTGTCTATTTCTGTTTCTCAGTGAGAAAGCTACAGCTACACATCCTTTCAGACGCATAGTGTTGAGTTGTCTTCTCACAGTTGAAGGATGAACAGAAGCACCTGTGGATATTTTTTAGATCTGCTTGATTTTCTCCACTCTCTCAAAGATGAAAGTGCTGTTTATCTGATGGGGACAGTTTTGGTCTTCCAGGTGGTTGTTAGGAGTCACAATTTTTCTGTAGCTTTTCATTATGTTTCTAACTCCAATTTTGGAAACTCATGTTTTTCATTTATTTTCCTTTAACTTTCTCCTTTTTGTTTACATTCTGTAAAACTTGCAAATTCAGTGTTTTCACTTTTTTGCAAGTGGATGATATTAAATCTAATCTCCTCTGAAATATCTCTTTTAGTTATTTTAGATACACAATGTGACGCAGCTGAGATGAGTTTGGGTCACTTTTTGTGTGAATGTTAGTGTGGGTCTGAAGGAGACCATAACATCAGTGACTTTGGGAGCAGCGTTTGTTGAGAACAGCTGAAACTGGTTGGTTGAGGACTGGATGGAAGAGTTAAAGTGGCAGTGTGTGAACAAAAGTAAAGAGTGTACAAATTAAATACTGATAGATTTGAACTCAGAGTCGGCAGATTCTGTGTAAAATAAGTCTTCTGTGTTTTACTGACACTGAAACATGAATAATTTGTACTTAATGCCTGTTTTGACTAGAAATTAAATAAATGAAAGTGGTCTCTGACCTTTGCACAGTAATGTCTATACAACACGTTCATTAAGATTATACACAATAATAATAATAATAGGCCTAATAATGATAATAAAAGGAATTGATACAGTGGAGGATGTAATCACTGACCATAACCTTTTAGAGGAACTGTAGCATCATTAAAAAGGCACACATTCATTTTCCTGCAGATAACCAGTTAAGCATTCAAAGTGGTCCTTTGAGTTCTATGTATAGCCATTGCTTTTGCCAAAGCACCCTTGAAGAACCCCTTTAAGATTTTATTAGCGTGGAAATGATGTACGCATTTGAATAAATTCCATGTATCACTTTTTTTCAGCGTGAACCCCAGCACTAGACACATAACTGATAAAGATGTGTGCATTAGAGTGTCATGACCTCGTCCACACGCCGTTCTGAACTGACTTTTCACTGTCTCTGAAGTCATGCTGACAGTTTATTCTCTGTGCTAGTGGGCTAAAACTCCACGTATTAATCTGCACATTCATCTCAGAAGATGTCAGTGACCTTTGACGTGGCTGTTGATGGTCTTTCGGTCATAAGAAATGGTCTTCAGCTGGAGATTTGGTGAAGAATCCTCTTCTTGAACGACAGCCCACATAATGCAACTGAAAAATTCATGTAATGTTGTTGTTCATGTAGAAAAAAATCAAAAGCCATAACACATCTCCAGCCTTATTGCTAAGCCCACAGTTGCAGTGCTGTAGTGGTGAATGGGGTCCAGTTCTTCTTGACTTTCTGCGTATGTTTCTTTGTCTGTAGACATACATATTCATAGATCTGTGGTATATGCTTAAGACTACTATCGAAACGTCTACAGTGAGTTAGTCGTTTACCCACTACTGAACTTGATTTGTTATAATATCTACTGTATCCAAGCAACTGTCTGTTGCTAGAAGCAGCTGATTGTAGGAATCCAGCCAAACCTCTTCTGGTCATCTGCCGTGTTTGGTGGTTCTTGTAAACTGTGTGGGGGTTGTGTTTGCATCTTTGTGGTCATTCTGGTGAATGTTGTGCAATGTAAGGGCTTCAACACATATTTACAGTGCAAAATAAAACCAACACCATGAAGGTATGTCTGTATTTCTTATTTCGCAAGCATCAACGCAACAGAGCATCCATGAAACGGGTTAGGAAACGTGGCTGTTAGCTGTTATGAAATTGCAGACAGACTGGGTGTCAACTGTAAATGAGTTATTTCCCCCAAGTAAGCCAGAAAGCAGGTTGTAACTAGTGATTACTCGTTTCTTCAGCGTGGTAATTTAAACGCAGGTGCCTTGGTACCCTCAGGGTTTCTAAGCTAATATCACCCCCACATTATTCACGTAATAGCAGCAGGAAGTATGAAACCTGTCAGTTTCAAAGCAGCAAACATCAGAAGAAAATATGAACCGACATGAACAGGAACAGCTTCAGAGTTTCAGAGAAAATTCCACAAAGACACTGTTTACCAGTTCTTGCTGTTGAACTATAACAAGAAAATTAAACATTTCTAGTTGATTACAGTATAACTCTGTTGGCATCTCATGAAGCACTTTGGCCTGTGGAGCGTGTGAATGCATCTTCAGGACAGAAAGTAAATTTGAAATGTACTGGCTATAAATATTCAGAAGAAAAATGTGTGGTCATGTATTTCCTCATGTCCAATATATATGTCAATATAGCAGATACAGAGAGAAAATATATGTACATATTTCCTCATATCCAAAGTATATGCAATATGTCAATATATGTGATGTCTTAGCACTAAAATGTTATATGTCCTATACATTAGAAAAATATATGTACATATATTTCCTCATTTCCAAAAAAATATGTGTAATATATGACAAAACATGTGATGCTTTAGCACTGAAATTCCAAAGGAATTTGGAAGGAAAATATACAGTGGTGTGAAAAAGTGTTTGCCCCCTTTCTGATTTCTTATTCTTTTGCATGTTTGTCACACTTAAATGTTTCAGATCACCAAACAAATTTAAATATTAGACAAAGATAACACAAGTAAACACAAAATGCAGTTTATAAACAAAGATCTTTATTATTAAGGGAAAAAGAAATCCAAACCTACAGGGCTCTGTGTGAAAAAGTGATTGCCCCCTAAACGTAATAACTGGTTGGGCCACCCTTAGCAGCAACAACGCAATGAAGCGTTTGTGATAACTGGCAGTGAGGCTTTTACAGCGCCCACTCATCTTTGCAGAATTGTTGTAATTCAGCCACATTGGAGGGTTTCCAAGCCTGAACCGCCTTTTTAAGGTCGTGCCACGACATCTTAATCAGATTCAGGTCACGACTTTGACTAGGCCACTCCAAAGTCTTAATTTTGTTTTTCTTAAGCCATTCAGAGGTGGACTTGCTGGTGTGTTTTGGATCATTGTCCTGCTGCAGAACCCAAGTGCGTTTCAGCTTGAGGTCATGAACAGATGGCCGGACATTCTCCTTCAGGATTCTTTGGTAGACAGGTAGAATTCATGGTTCCATTTACCACAGCAAGTCTTCCAGGCCCTGAAGCAGCAAAACAGCCCCAGAACATCACACTACCACCACCATATTTTACTCTTGGTATGATGTTCCTTTTCTGAAATGCTGTGTTACTTCTATGCCAGATGTAATGGGACATACACCTTCCAAAAAGTTCAAGTTTTGTCTCGTCAGTCCACAGAGTATTCTCCCAAAAGTCTTGGGGATCATCAAGATGTTTTCTGGCAAAACTGAGACGAGCCTTTATGTTCTTTTTGCTCAGCAGTGGTTTTCGTCTTGGAACTCTGCCATGCAGGCCATTTTTGCCCAGTCTCTTTCTTATGGTGGAGTCATGAACACTGACCTTAACTGAGGCAAGTGAGGCCTGCAGTTCTTTGGATGTTGTTGTGGGGTCTTTTGTGACCTCTTGGATGAGTCGTCGCTGCGCTCTTGGGGTAATTTTGGTCGGCTGGCCATTCCTGGGAAGGTTCACCACTGTTCCATGTTTTTGCCATTTGTGGATAATGGCTCTCACTGTGTGTCGCTGGAGTCCCAAAGCTTTAGAAATGGCTTTATAACCTTTTCCAGGCTGATAGATCTCAATTACTTTGTTTCTCATTTGTTCCTGAATTTCTTTGGATCGCAGCATGATATCTAGCTTTTGACGATCTTTTGGTCTACTTCACTTTGTCAGACAGGTCCTATTTAAGTGATTTCTTGATTGAGAACAGGTGTGGCAGTAATCAGGCCTGGGTGAAATTGAATTCAGCTTTCCAAAGATGTGATAAACCACAGTTAATTTATGTTTTAATGGAGGGGGCAATCACTTTTTCACACAGGGCCCTGTAGGTTTGGATATCTTTTTCCCTTAATAATAAAGACCTTCATTTATAAACTGCATTTTGTGTTTACTTGTGTTATCTTTGTCTAATATTTAAATTTGTTTGGTGATCTGAAATATTTAACTGTGACAAACATGCAAAAGAATGAGAAATCAGGAAGGGGGCAAACACTTTTTCACACCACTGTATGTCCATGTCAAAAAAGTCAAATTTATTTATATAGGGCTTTTTATGGAAGGTGTCGTCACAAAGAAGCTTTACAGAAAATCTGTGTCCAAGCTCCAGTGAGCAAGTCATATGTCCTGCTATTCAACATATATGTATAGTATCTATTTCCTCATTTCCAAAAAGATGTGTAATAAGTGACAAAACTTGATGCTTTAGCACTGAAATTCTGAAGGATGTATGTATGACATGTAATGTACGTGTCAAAAAGTCAAGTGAAGTCAAGTCAAATTTATTTATATAGGGCTTTTTACAGCAGGAATTGTCACAAAGCTGCTTTACAGAAAATCTGGGTCCTAAATGCAGTGAGCAAGCCATGTCCTGCATATGTCTTGCTATTCAAAATATATGTACAGTATGTGTCAATACATGCAATGCCTTAGCACTAGAAATTCTAATATTCCTATTATCCAAAATATATGCACAATATA